AAGAACTGAAAGGGAGAGATAGATGATATTACGTGTGTTTCAGAATAAATTGCATTAAATCAATATTACATTTTTCTCTTACTTTCTAAGCATAAAAAGATTTCTTTATATGTGAAAAACTAGAGAGTTTTAAACTTTATTAAACTGTCGACACTGTTTTCCAAATAAGTTTAACCTTGTCGATGACTAATTTAAAATATTCACGTCTATTCATTCATGCAACTACGATTTCATATTCTTTGCTGACGTTTATTAATTTTTCTAAAATCTTTACTCGTCAAAACTGATGCCAAAAATAAATTACTTAATACTAATAAATAGAGAATTTTGTGCTTTACGCTTCGGGTACCTATTTAAAAAATCCCGAGGCAGACGTTTACGAGAAAACGACTTTAAAATGACAACTCTCGGTATTATTGAATGCACTTTGGAAACTCATATTTATAAAAGCTCGACTTGCTCTATAAAAAAATTATTATTAACACTATCGGATGTAGAATTTAATCATGAACAAAATTGTGTACAGATTAAATTTAAGTGTAAAAATATTTCGATTATTTTGAATTATAAAATAACGATGGCATGCTGCATTATGTTTCTTTTACTTCAAAAATGTTGCTCTCAAATATTTCCTTTCGAACTCTGAAACATACATATCTAGATATAAACATTTTTAAGACAAATTTTATGAGATAGTTGATGGTATGTGCGTGAAATTTTTTTGTTATCCAGGTTCAGTCCCACATTCGTATAACAGAAGTCTTTTATTTATTAGAAAACACAAATATTTGTCTCAAGAAAAGAACTTTTCCTCAGTTAATTTTCATACAAATGACATTCCTTGAAAAGATGTGCCTACGTCGACATATTCACTCATGCAGAAAATATACTCAAAATAAAGATTATGGTTTTTAGCCATATAAAACTGTCTAAGATTAATGCAAAATAGCTTTTAATACATAATTCGATACGCCTTACAATCTGAATGGATCAAAAGAATATTTTGGCGCAAAATGTTTTCGCTGCAGTAAACTACTAGTTTTTCAGAGTTCTGAAACTTTGAACATCTAGCAGCATGGGAGATCCTGATATTTAGATTCAGCATGGCTGATTACCTAATGTCCACTAGACTTCAGCTCTAAAGCAATTTGTCACGTGGATATATCTCCTCGCGAGTAGATGTTCTCCGTCTATATATTGCGTCGACAAGTAAAAGTTGTTTGAAAAACAAAATCGACAGTTTTGTAGAACTCGAAACTCTCTATTCTTAGGTATAAGAGAGAGATTCTTTTTACGATAAAGAAACAAGAGAAAAATGCATTGAGATTTAGTGCAATTTCTTCTAGGACACTTGTTAGAATGATTTGCACTTTTGTTTGTTTGTTTTTTTTTTTTGTCTTTTTAAAATGCAATATTCAAAAACTCTGATTAAATATAATTAATAATTTGAAATAAAAAATAATTAATCGATTTACTTCATCATCGACTGTTTTCACCGGAAATGGATAAACAAGTTCTTTTTTATCTACATCTTCTTGTTGTTGGTATTGAGCTGCTTGTTCCATATCAGCAATAACAGCCTAAATATAATATTCTTAATTCAATAAGAAATTGATTCATCAATACACATACTGCAACACTAGCTGGTGTAGTTGATACTGCTTCAATGACTGCTGTTGTATTTTCATTTACTTGTTGATGTGGTACAGGTGGTGGTGGCGATAAAGTTCTTTGAATACGTCTTGGTTTTGTAAATAGAGGCGTTCCTCGACCCCATTGTTGCCAATATTGTTGTTCAAGTTTACTTTGTTGTCGTGCTGTACGTCCAGCTATAGTTGTTGTATCTCGTGCATGAACAAAATTCATTTTTGTATTAGCCATTGGATGATTTGACGGTATAATAAAAGATTCTTTATCTTGATTATCTTCCATATTAAATTCCTCTTGATGTTCATTTAACTCTATTTTTATAAGTTCATATTGTTCACGTCCATCTTTATTTAAAAATAATTTAACATCAAAACTTTCAAATAAAAAACGATTTAATGCTTGTTGAAAACAATTTCGTTTACATAATTTTTTATTTGTACCTTGTCCAAAACATATATAAACTTCATCAATATAAAGTTTGCCACGAAATGTTTGTGTTAAAAATGAAGTAGCATGTGTACCATGAGAACTTGATTGATTCAATAAATCATCTGGACGATAATCAATAAATAAACGTTGTTGATTACCAACTTGATATATGTGTTCAATAGCATGATCATTTTCATCATTACCAGTACGATTTTGTGCTTCTTCAATTGATTGTTTAAGTTGATTTGAAAATGTTCGTAGACGGATAAGTTTTGTTTCAGTAGATTCATATAATATTGATTTTGGATCTATTGATGAATGTTGAACTTGTTCTGAAGATATACTTGGTGGTTGTGGTGGTGGTGGTGGATGAGATGGAATCGATGATGAAAATGAAACAAAATTTGATGAACTGGAGAAAGTTGAATTTAATGGAACGTTGGACATACTTATACTAGAAAAAGACAAAAAAAGAACTTTAAGAATGTTACAAAAAACGATATTTTTTGTATTGTACGTAGAAAATTGTTCAAAAACTGTATCTAGAGCTTCTAGTATATGGACCAGTTCAGGCAAAATGGTAAATATTTACTTTTTATTTGACTTTAATTGTTTACAAGAGTTACTTTTCTGAATAAGTTCTTTTAGCATAGATGTATGCGGCTGTTTCAGCTGACTATTGATTAAAAAGTAATTAGTGAGTGTCTCTCTAATCATATGAGAAAAATATTCGAAAACTCCAGGATAGACTCTATGACATGAATTACATCTATGATGAAGTTTTCAGCAAGATCCGACTCCAAAAATTTTCTCTTAAAAGCTGATTTTCTAGAAATTCTATCAAGTCTTGAAACAAAAATTTTTGCATCATCACAATAGAGAAATTCTGAAGGATTTGTTGTCTATTCGTAATCTCTCATGTCGCTAACAGAAAAACTTTGAATAGAAATTTTGTAGTCTCAGAAGGTGTCTACAAAATGTACTATTTACTTTATCAATTGGAAGTTTCTTTTTAATTAAAATGTATAAAGTGAAAGTCTATGTCTTTTGTTGTGTCATGTGGCGAAAGCTAGTTTTTTACTGGAAAATCTTCTGAACAAAAGTCTCTAACGCTGATTTTTTCATAGTATCTAAAGTAACATGAACTACATGTAACATATAAAAATTAGTCACTAACGAATGAATTTGGCGATGTACAAGATAGCCTAGATTGAAATGATTTTCTGTAAAATAAGTATCAAAGGAGATTATAAAGTTTAGCAATAAACTGTTAGTTGACTGTTTAAATTAATTTTCCATAGTTTTTAGCAATGGTTTAATCATTATGGAACAAAATGAGACATACAAGATTTTGATCTACCTCATAGTTTTACTTCTCTTAAAGTCTACTCAAGTTTGTTAAAATGAATAAAAACTTTAGAGTATTTTCGGCCATCTGCCATAAAAAAAAAATAGAGTCAAACAAGAAAATTAGTTTTTAGATTTGCTTGTTTTATTTATGTAACAGTGTGAAGTGCTTACATTATAACAGTTGAGAAGCAGAATGAGACCAAATGCATATGATACTAATTATCATAGCTGAAGCTCTCATTAGTCATTTAATTTATCTTCATTGGAATATAGATTGTGAAGAAATGTTCTAGCGAATCTTTCTAGCTCTTTCAAAACTTATCGCAATGAAACATATCTTCGAAAAAGTTCGATTTGTAGATGTTCTCAAATCTTTTGTTAATATATCGTTGTACATAAGCCTCCATTGAATCCTTTTGGATCAATGTAAATAGTCATCCACAGATAGAAATGAATGTTAGTGTACTATTCTAATGGCAAATTTCAATTTTCTATTCAGTGCTTCTCGCTACATCTTCGAAAGGAACGGATAGAAAAGAGAAGATCTATGCAAGATATGGAAAAACATATGAAAGAAAGCATTATCTTAAGACAAAGACCGAAATTCTTCTGCTTCATTGCATTCACTTCAGTTTAACCAATACATTCTCGACTTTTTCGAGGCCCCGGTCAACCGCTAGTTTCAGTGATATCTTGGTAGTCCATGTGAAGCTCAAATATATAACAAGAAAACTGTTTTAACTGTTTTGGCACATATAAATCCAATAGAACTTACTATTGTTCTCATCCTTCCTGTTAATATACACATTCTGAATGGTGACGAATTACTTTAATATGAAATAGTGTTTAAAAAAATTATTAATTCAACTTATCTTCTATTGTCTCTATAATTTAATTGTTTGGTTTTTTTTTCGTATAAAGAACTTACTTTGACATGGGTGCATTTCGTTTATTATTTATATCAGTTGATTCCTGGCTTGTTGGTCGCTTAATAGAAGAATTCGTAAGTTTTTCTGAAAGTTGATCAAGTAATGATTTTAATGGTTCAGAATATTTGCCTAAGAAAAATAAACGAAAAGAAAATAATAATTTTTTAAATATTTTAACAATCTATTCAATTAGATTTATAATATTCAAAAAGAACATTTAACCTACATCCAAGACATTTAGTATTTGCATAACATTGTGCAAGACATAGAAGTCTTTCTTCATTATAATCCAATCGAAATGCTTCAATAAATTGTTTTCTATAAAACCATTGTTGATCACTTTCATTTGTTAAACGAAATCGATCAGCATTAAATGTTGTTATCGATTGATTTTTATCTGTTGTATCCATTAAATTATCATCCATCATTTCTATTATCCAAAAGACAAAAAAAAAACAACAAATCTAAAAAAAACTAATTAATCATTATAATTATATGAAAAAAAAATCACACATGTCATTCACATCACATATGACTTGAATGAAATAGAATGGATTACAAATAGATCGGAAATTTAAGACAAAAAAAACATTCTCTATTGCACTGAAAATATCATCGATTATAAACGGCATTTAACTTCGCTTAATATTTTTTCCATTGTTTCATTAAACATTGAAATCTTTCTTGAACAGCATTTGAATAGGATTTTCCATGTGGTTGATGACGATTAATCAATGATTGTAATGCAATTCTAGCTCGTTCAACTACCTATTCAAATCAATAATAAAAAAGACAAAGACAAATATTAAACTTCCATAAAAACTAAACTCACATCATCAATCGAATCTTTTGACATATCATATTGCACAGGATCACCAACATGAAAAGTTATTTTAGCTGGAATTGGGATTTGAATAAATGTTGATAGAAACCATACAGTTGAAGCTAATAGAAGTAAAACTGGACTAAGATATGGAATATTTAAGTTAAGAATATAAGCAAATAAACGACCAAGTCCTAAAAGATTCCAAATCCAAAGTATTGGATTCCAACGCATTTCATCAACATTCGATATGCATATGGGAATAATGGGTACATCAGCGTCAATAGCAATATGAGCAAAACCTTTTCCTAGAAATCATCAAATTATAATAGAATGAATAAAATATTTCTATTCGAAAAACTTACGTTTTTTAGGCCAACACACTTTATATGCATTTTCATGACCAACCATACCTTCATCAGCCCCACCTGAATAAAAAAAAGAAAAAAAGTCAAATTATCTGTGAAAATAAATATTAAAATATATTACCTGGCATCACACCTACCCAAAATCCACTTTTTAATAATGATAATGCACTTTTTGGTTCACCTGGTACAGCACCCATCAATCGTAAAACAGGAAAAAATGGTGTTAAAGATCGATGCATTAAAGATCTAACTAATTGAAATAAGACAAAAATTTTAAATATAACAATTGCAGAAAATTACCGAAGAACTCGTCCTGTCATATGATATATGCATACAATAGTTCCCAATATTTCACCATTATGTGTGGAATGTCGAGCAATAAGAAGACAACCATGATAGTGATCTAGTTTTTCGATTCCTTTAACTATTGAACACAAAATAAAAGAAAATTTTGATAATAAAAATATTCAATTTTAACCAAGGGGGAAACGGTGGATTTTCGGGATTTTGAATCCCAATAAAAATCCAAAAATCCCATGATAATCCCAAAAATCTAATATAATCCCAAAAATCCCCTAAAAATCCCATAAAAATTTCGAAAATCCCATGATAATCCCAAAAATCCAATATAATCCCAAAAATCTCATGTGAATTCCAGAATTAGGATTAAAATTATTAGGATTTTATGATTATTTTAAAGGGCAACTATACACGAGTAAGTGTAATCCCGTGACTATCCGACTTTTTCTTATAAAAATGGTGCGCATTCAATCTCTTCGTGTTTTAAAATTTATAGTTCCATAAAGATACTGTAGTGNACCCCATAATCGGCCCGAATAACACTATGTTTTGTCCTTACAATAGTGGAGAAAACCTTCCCTGATTCATTTTTATACCTAAATTTCACATTTCATAACTCCTGTTAGAAGCAACTTGGGCCCGAACTAACTTAGGATATATCACTCCTAGCTATGCCCGATCTAACCATCATATCCCTGACTGAAAAGCTTTTTGACACCTCGGGTGGTTCCCTCGTAAGTTCTACTCACAGCCAAAATATGGAGTAAAACGGCGCCCGACACTTGAATATGTTCCCTCGTCAGTTTCAGAGCATGGGATCCCGATAAAACTTATGGAGGATGATATGGGACTCAAATGATGAGTGTTTATCAATAAACTTTTGCATTCGTGGTTTGCGGAAAATTTTTTTTTCTGAGTTCCCAAGACTTCTTTTCTGTTTTTAGTAGTATTTTGGTTTTTAGAATTTCATAGTAAGCTACATTCAATTTTGTCGATAGATTTCATATTTCATCTTGAATTATGCATCCATACAGAAGTTATAACGTTTTGAATTTTTGCTGCAATTTTCGCAAATTTCGATTAGAAAAATTTATGTATAAAAACTCATCGTTTAGGACGAACGTATGCGATCACTATTTTGAGAAAAAATCTTCACCTTTGCTTTCTCTCTTCCCTATATATGCTAGTCATTGAAAGTTAAACGGCTAATAAACTTCCATACTCTATTTTGTTATAAAAAAAGATCTCCCTCTGATGTACTTCAAAATGTTACCAGCACTGCTAATGTTCTTTGTTGTTGCCTTTCATGAATTTCTCTAGCATTGATCGGTCTCTGAAGAAATATCCTTTTCTTTGTGTTCGACTCAAGTCGGTCTACACTCAGTTAATCAATATCGAAAGTCACAGAGGACAAAAAGCAAATAGAGATGAGATAATTGTTTCTTTCGTTGAGACTTTCAGTGAGTCCGTATGGATTCACTCGAAAGGATGTTTAATTTCTATAAAATAATCATTTTAGTTGGCGAAAAAATATTTCTAACCTTAGATTACGTCGGTAAAATTTGATTTTTGTTGGGCAGTGGTCCTTGTTTTATTGAGTATATTATCTGAAAGACGGTCAATTTCCTATCAGCTACTGGATGTATTCAAATGTTTTAATGATTTTTGTTTGCAATTTGCATCAAAGAAGAAATCGTATCCATAGGACATTACACTATATTTCAACTGAAAATAATACATTCAAAACAGCATTTAGAGATAATTCACAGAAATATATTATACTTTATTAATTCAATAAGAAAACAAACAGAACTAATACATAATGTTAAAACTTATGCAGCAAAACTGAAAACAAAACTAGTTTAACAAACCATTCATAAGTTCACAAAAAAAAAATATTATTATATAAGACATTTAGCAAACATTATCATCCAGTACTACTGATATTTTATACAAAAGCCTTTTTTCTGCAACGATACTTTTCCAAAGACTATATTGTCCAGATTATTTTTCTTTAAAGTATCATCTCTAAAAAAAGGACTTTTCATCTATGTATGAGTGTTCCTTTGGTTTTTGATCTTCGTTCGGTTCATATGTCTTCATTCTTTTTTAATCAAAATTGTATAATATCCGATTGTGCTTTAGTATTTATTCAGTTTCATTTTCCTAAATAAACTAATAAATCTTTATTCACAACTTTCTTTTTGTTTGTTTAATACAAACATCTATCTCAATTTCATTTCATATCGGATTCGAATGCAAGTAATACAAATATTAAAAAACAAAACGATAAAAAGAACAAACAACATCATCAAATAAAAATAAAACATAAATGAGTTCTTAAAAACGCTCTTAATGTTTATTATTTGGTAGAAATGAAGTATTATGACTGTTCTGAATAATTTTTTGTTGTTGGCCATATTCATATTTAACTTGTGTTAATATATGTTCATCACTTGGTTGATTAACATGTGCAGATAAATAATTAAATAATTTTTGTATAAATTGATCATTTGCTCGTAGTTGTTTTAATTGATTAATTTTATATTGATGTAATTGTTCATATAGAAATTTAAGTAAATCTTAATATTCATGTTCAACTTCCTTTATATAAACGTTGGGATTTTTCACAACTAACAATTTTTGTTTCGAGTTCATTGATTGTAGTACGACATGAGGTGATTTCACGACAAATTTCAAGAATACGTTCAGTATCATTTGGATTAGAAGAATGAATAAATGAGAAAAAGAATGGGACAAGAAGATTTATACATTCTCCAAGAAGAACACTTGATTGACATTCAAAATCTTTTAATGTCATTCGATCATCTATTCAATCAAAAGAGATACACTTTTATATTCGATACTCTTCAATGAAACTATTTAAAAATGAAGTGCAACAAGTTTTTTACTATATTATGCTCTACACATGTCGAATTTAAAAGAGGCTCTTTATAAAAGGCATTTAATTAAAAATCTATTTATCTGACTCTCTTTGTCCCTATCCCAAAATATACGTTTTAGACGATCTCTTTTTGACTAGACGTTCAATTTGCAAAATGTTTTTTAGAAAGAGTCTATTCTTTCAAATATACTGACTTTTCGTATTAAATAATAGTTAATGAATTAAGTCCATCTGATAAAGAAATGAAATCTATACTAAATTAAAGTCATTCTCATCAAGCTCCAATAGATTTAACTGATTCTCTCGAACGTTTTCATAATGCATTTACTGAATGTCGATCCTTTTTGATTGTCTACATCTAATTTAAAATCATCTACTTCATCAAGATCTGATCAGATTTAACATCTGGTGTGATCATATCTGACAAAATCTCACTGTCTTGGTTGTCAATGTAAATTCGCAGCATTTACGAAGAATATCATAGCTGACAATGCTATGATGCCACGAACTATTCTATTTTTTCGCTTCTTTCTAAATATTCGATATTTATTTTATACAGATCATTCGTTCGCACAGAATATGTTATAACTTGCTGACAGGTGAGGCTTTTCGAATTGTTATTCGATACCAACTGAACTTGAAAATTTCTGAATAATGCGTAAAAAAAAAGCAGTCATAATATGCATCTGAATGTTAAAATGTATCCGGTTCTCCTTCCATATCCTATAGTGCCGTTTTTCTATCTTTTTCACGTTGTTTACACACTACATAAAAAAGTATTATCAAAAGTCATTAGTTATGCCTCAACACTCACACCCACCCACCTACATCCACACCCACACCCCGGTCATATGATTTTTCCTACCAGTTTGTAACAAATAGAGTCATGAGATGAACTTTCTCCGCGATTCATTGTCTATTTGCAAATGTTGCACTAACATCGCAAGCTTCACGAAACGCGAGGAACTTAATTCTGTCAATAATTCTCTGCTGTTCAGTATCATAAGTACCAGCCATTTTCAATGTAACAGGACTTAATTGATTCACCAAAAAGATAGCTGTTTTTTTATGAAAGATATTGATCAAAAAATAACCTTCTACATATATGGTTTCACAAACTACTTAAACTTTTCTGTTCTATAACTTTCTAACAGAAGGAAAATAAAAAATATTTTTTAACTACCGTTACCACGAGAAACAGACAACAGAACGCAAAAGGACAACCGTATGCTCTGAATCAAAGTAATGTCTGATGATCACTAGAGCAATGCTCTTTTCCATTTTCTCGAAGAAAATTCCTTTTTATTTTTTTTTTACAATTCACTAAAAGTAGATTATAATGATTACATTCTACAAAATTCTATAAACGTCGAGAATTTCAAATGCGAAAGCTTTCGTAACTCTTTTTGTTTAATACTAATAGTTCTCATTTTTAATGGGCTTTCATTTGATATAAAATTCATTATTTACTCTATTTGACATAATAGCGGTACCCACTAGAAAAATATTATTTCTAACCTAGTATTTTAGAACGGACTAATAACTAAGAATACGAGTTCATGGATCATTGCCTATGAAATTTATTTCAGAAACTTCTGAATATCCTGATGTGACCTGTAGTCCATCATTAACACAAGTGACAAGTAAAAAACGCAAAATAAAAAGTGTACACCTATTCTTGTTTTTCTTTCTTTCTTCTCTTTTCGTTTAACTTCGCAATACAAGAGCAAACACTTCTCACTTGTATATTGCAGTGTTAAAGAAAAGAAGAAGAAAAAACGAACAGGTTTACACATACTTTATTGTTTATTTTTTACTTGTCAATTGTGTTGATAATGAACTACGGATCACCTAAAAGTGTTCATAAGTTTTTGAAATAAAATACAAAGATAATGACTAATGAACTCTTATTTCTAGTTTTTAGTTTACTTAATTATATTTCATCGAGTGGAATACATAACCTTGAATGGATCAACAACACTCACCAAGTGAGAAAATATGCATGCAATCCGTAAAAATGTCCTGTTTGTTTCTAAAGCCAATAGTAATTTTGTGCTGATTTTCAGAACTGTTTCAGGCCTTTATCGACGTTTTTCGCTCCCTCGGTCAAGCTTTTAGAAGTAGGTGAAGATGTTCAGTTAAAACACTTTCGTACATTCTCACACGGCTGGTTATTTGATAGAAGCTTTGTTTACATCATGATCTGATGTTGAAGAATCAATGCTAGCAACATCAACGACCGAATCGATCTTTTCCTCGAAATTGAAGAAATAGTAACAACTTATCAACTAATATCAGTAACTATAGGAGCGCTGATGTTCACATTATTTGATAAGGTATGCTCATATGAGCTTTATTCTCCTTCAATAAATCATAGTGCTATTTCGTGGAAAATATTATTTTCTCCCCCATAAAAATTGTCAGAAGACACAGAAAATAAACGGGCAATAAGTGGAAATAACAATAGTCTTTTTTCCAATATAGTTAATTAAAATTTTGAATGAGACAGTAGAGATATGTCTTTATAAAAGAATTCAGAATTCCTTTGATAGAAAAACTTTCTTTTATTACTTTGAATGTTATGCTTGAATATAATCTCCTCGTAGATTATTATATCACAATAAAAACAAGCAGCGATGATTCTATGTATTTTTGACTAAATAACAACAAATAAAACAGGAATACTGTTTAAATGAAATGACAGTAGCGCTTCATGTTTTTCTTTTATGAGAATAGAACGAATGAAATGACGAAATTACAACCTGAACTGTAACACCGTTAAGACTTATCGACAATCGAAAGTAAACATTAGAAAATTTCATAGGCAAACTCATACCTCTTTTAATTGTAATGTCGAAAGAATTCTTGCGAAAGAATGATATGTTTTAGAAAGGACTATAAAATTTAACAAAAATTTTGAACAAATGCATCTGTCTATTTGTTACACTAGTAAGTAGTCTTTTAGGTTATCGCTTTTCAAGGAAAAACTGTGTTTATTTTTCCATGGAAAAGTTTCGGTTAAATTATGTTTTGATAGTAGCATCAATAAAAAAAAAAAAAGATCTCTTGTTTTGAAAGTATGTTCTGTAAAAAAACAAAAAAAGGAAGAGGGAACGGAATATTTGATTTGTAATCCAAATGAACTATTATATCTTATGTCATTTACTACAGGAAATTGTTTAATACAAATATCTTATAAAATATTATGTCATTTGACTCAGTATCATTCAATAAATATTCCAAAACTGCAATTGGAACAGAGACTCGTGGTAAAACAACACAAAATCGTCTTCGTCGTGTAGATAATTTTGTTATGATCTATTGTCCCTCGTTGATTATGAGTGAAGAACATTTCTATGTTGATTTGGGCTTTGGCCATACTCCTCTCACTACATTAGAGAGCGCAAAACGATTTAGACGTTACAATGCTCAATTACCAATAATTGGCATTGAAATCGATAGTAATCGTGTACGAAAAGCCCAACAGTTTGCTGATGATATAACATATTTTCGGCAAGGAGGATTCAATTTACCGTTAAAAGTTAGTACTACTACTGGTCGCACAGAAACTGTCAATCTAATACGTGCTTTCAACGTATTGAGACAATATGACTTGGAATCAGATTGTCATACTTCTCATGTATTCATGTGCAATTATCTTAATACAAATGGTATTCTTATTGAAGGCACATCAGATCCATTTGGACGCATTTGGGTAGCTAATATCATACGTAAACAAATAGATCACTCATTATTAATCGAAGCATTAGTATTTAGTACAAACTTTCGTGATGGATTTAATATTGGATCATTTCAACAAGTTTTACCAAAGAATTTTATTCATCGAATGACTGGACCAGATGAAATGATATACAATTTTTTCGAAGATTGGAAGATAAGTTACGAACAAGTAGGAAAATCAATGAAAAACATCTATGAGATTGGAATGCGACAACAGTTTATTGTGACAGCTGTACATCTAGCTGAAGAATATGGCTATAATATTATAACTCGAAAAAAGTTTTTGAAAAATGGATTTTTGATATGGCTATTGAAGCCAGGAAGCAAAGGTGTCGATATTGATCAAATCACTTATCGAACCATAAGTCACAAGAAAAAATAAGCTTGTACAAATTGCTTTTTTCTATTACTTATGTACGTGCAGTTTTCAATATATTTTTGGTATGACGCAAATAGTTTTTTACTTACTAATTTTGTGTTTGAAGTAAATTGATATTAATAAATGAATGACTAGGCTGTTAAAATGATCATAACTATAAATAAAGATAAGTTTATATAATATGATGAACATCATAATATCTTACTCAAAATAAGAAGGCTGAATAAGATCATCTTACTGTCGTTTAATGATTTCGTTTTTCATTATATTCAACCAATGTTACAAGCTGAACTCGGTGATGTTTTAATGGGTAGTGTTGCAATAGCTTTCTACTGATGTTAGATCTACGCTCATACCACTCATGTAAAAATTGATAAACATTAAAAGATTCAATAAAAAAACAATGTTGATTTTTTTACCGTAAAAACATGTTAACGTGAAATACCACATGAGGTTTCATTAAAAATAACTTTTTAATGGGTTGTCAGGATCAACAAAGTAACGTCGTTTTTCATTAGATTCTCCAATTTTTTAGCGATCTTCACATGGGCACAGGAACATGATGAAAACCAGTTTTCTGCCGTTATACTATAAGTCAAAACAAAACTCTATGAAGACTTGTCGGAATATTGACACTTGACATATTATTAGATTCGTTTCTTCAGTATAGGCAACACTATTCTCTTCTTTTGTTGAGAAATTTCTCTGAAATAAATTTTTATTACACACTATTCCATATTTATATTCCCGTTTTTATAGACAGACCAATGTGAAATAACACGCCTTAACGTTGGAAATAGCATAGAATCAAATAAATCTATTGATATCAGGCTTAAATCTCTTGACTGACTGAAATGAACCATGAAGAAATTGAATAGTTGCAATATAAAAAGAAGTATTCTTTTTTCGAATACTCCAAAAAACTAATTATATCATATTTCAGTCTGATGAGCATAGTACTATGATTATAAAATACAGTATTTCTCACCATTATCATTTAATCTAATGAGATAAGTAGCGCTCGTCGCCAGAACTTGCTTGACTCTCGACTGAATTCGACCTAGTAATCATCTGTTATCACTTGCTGCATTTTATTTTGAGAATTATTTCTCAACACACACATATACAAAAAACCTGTCTAAGATGTGGATGTGGGTGTCAGTGTGAATGAAAAGAATACCCACACTCATATCCTTATATTGTCAATAAAATATTGGATCATTCTATTCATATCTTTTTCTTTTTATAATAAACGTAATAAAAGAAATTGATAATAAATCTATTGAATAAGCAGATTATAATCGAATACGAATTGGATAAAAACTATAATATGAATCTGATTAAAGAAAAACAAATGCAAAACTGTTAAATAGAGTCCACCGTGTGCGAGAAAAAAAATACCTTCACAATATTCTTTTTTATTTTAACATTTATAAATAGTCTCTCATCGGCTTAGAGATTACTAGCAGTTCAGATATGAATATCTGCTCACTTGCCGTATAAATCCTAAGCATGTTGCCTTCGAATTTGCAGTCTATATGTTCAAATTCATGAGTTAATATATTTATATAAAAAAAAATGCTGTTGAATAAGTGAGCTATAATGAGCTGATATTGAACGCAATAAATCAGTACCCAGGTCAATCCTGCTCGGTCGTACACGACCGTATAGCAACCAATTACGGCGGATAACGGCAACCGTTTGCCGTAACCATTTACGGCAATCGTAAACGATGCTTTACGGTGTATTACGGTCATCGTAAACAAAGACCGTAAAAAGTTGCCGTTAACGACTACCGTCACACTACGGCGAGTGTATACGTGAATAAGATAAAAAGCTGTAAAGCAACGTATACACTACCTGTTTACGGTTGCCGTATCCAGCAATCGTAAACAACCGTTTCCTTAGTCTTACGCCCACCACAAACGACCAACGTACAAACTCACTGTTTACGGCCGCCGATCAATTACATCGGCTTCAAGTGATAATCCGTCCATGTGAATTGATCTATGAAATTTCGAGATTCTATTTCTCAGCTATATACACAATGGGCAACCAGACGGACATGACCTCAAGTTCTATTTTCCAAAGTTTAAATATTGGACAGAACATGTCTATGGCTAGTTTATTTTACCTTGAAGCTAGATTCCCAGAAATCAATTCAAAACGAGGGACGGCTCATCGTCTAAAAATTGTTCAAAGCTCCGTTAAGTATACGGAGACCATTCCTTGTATCAACTAATCAAAATATTTTTAAATGAAAAACTATCTGAAACGAATGATTCGATCATAAGCTATATTGTGCGAAAAAATTATTTTGTTCGAACCATAAATGGAATAGAAAATAAGTGATTACTGGGCCGAAAATAGTGTTGAAAAAGCAGTCATATCGTATTTTGTGGACACTATGAAGAGTTTTAATCCGATTGAACTGAATTTTTCACCAAGTATTCTCTCATGTATGATTTATGATTGGTCATAGTGCCGTGTTGCATCTGTGAATACGGGTTGAACGAGAGCCATTCTGAAAAACCAGGCTTCTGCCTCGGAATCTCTAGTTTTGAGAATTTGAGAAAATTTTGATGCAAAACTAAGGTAATATTCGAATTCAGCTCATCAAACTGCATCGAATCATATATAAGAGTAAGTGTTGCTGAAAAAAAAAAGTCGATGTTTAAGCAGCGACAAGGTTTTGAAAATTACTCTTTACGTATTTTTTAAACGCTACAAAGAGCGTAAGTGCGATCGATCTCAAGCTTTCGCTTATTATTCTCCCACATCTGGTGCATCCGTGACCATAGCGCCACTTCACATCCATAATCACAGCTGGTGCTATGGGTCTCCCGAAAACCAAGGTTTTGCCTTCAAATCCCTATTTTTGTAAAGAAGACATCATTTTGGTGCAAAGCCAAGGTGATATTCGGAATCAGCTCATCTAGCTGCATCGAACCATATATAATAAAAAGCATTTTTTGAAAAAAGTGTTTTTGACTATTATGCTGAAAATGTTCCTACAAATTGGCTTTCTCGATTTTGTAAACGTTACAAACAGCTTCAATCGAATTCAGCTCAAACTTTGAGTGAATATTCCTTCATGTAGGATCTCTCCTTGTCTATACTGTCAAAAGACAATAAGTGAACGTCGACGAAGTTACGGATTTTCCAAAAACTCTGGTTTTTTACCCTAAATCCAGATTTTTTTTCATAAAAAAACTTCTTAGCGAAATACTAAGTCGATATTCGCAATCAGCGCATGAAACTACGTCGAATGATACGCGGAACATTATGTTTCATAGCAAACGAAATTTTTCGAAAAACGTGGCAAGGGTCCCCTACGGATAATTTCTGGGAGAAATTGTTTTTTTAAGAAATGGTTTATTTTCTTAAAGGTGATTTTCTAGGTGATATATAATCACTTCTGAGCAATAAAAATCCATTGCCGAGCACGAAAATTTCATGTCCGGCTGGCAGGCGAAAGTTGCCCGCTGTGTGTCACACTAAATATCACGCGAGATTATTTACTTTGTTTGATGTATAAGTCTCTTAAAGTATGACAGAATGAGCTGAAGCTTTGATGATTTTATCCAGTCGTTGTGGTCAACTAATGTTCAAAATAGCAGGATGAGAAAGCTTGTCTTTCGTACAAAAAAGAAAAAATAGTATAAAAATTTCACGTGATATTATTAAGTGCATAACTACCCCACAATTGAAGTCCAAATAAGTACTTTATATATCAATTGATTTTATATTTAAATGACTATCAAGAGTCATGCGAATTATTGCTAGATTGTGTTTCACAAGTTAATTAAATTCACATAAAAAGGTCACTAATGATATACATTCTCTTATTGATTACACATTTGCAAACTTTGTCGTTTTGTAAGTGTAAGAACCAAATTTACTTTAGGAAAAATCATGCTGTTTCAGACGCTAATTCTAGATTAAACAGAACTCCTCATTACAAAGAAAAGGCTCAAGGTTAAAATCTAAAATACTGACGAAAAATTCAACTGAGGTGTGTACTGTCAAAGTCATATGACCTTGAATTTTAACTGTAATTTAAAAAAAACTCTAATATCTCGACCAATTTGATAGAGGTAGTCGGGAAAATTTATTCATATTCCCCTCTAATGTAGTCCCATAGAATGCACTAATCACCGTTTTAAAATTCGAAAATTTTTTTTTGTCCAGTTTTTTCATAGAAATGTACAATAATCTTGCAATTCACTCATATATATATATTGTTACACGTAAGGAGTGGTGTCATAATCCCGTTACACCCGGTATCCTCATTTGCTTTTAATGTAGTCTCCGGGTATTGACATTTAAACAATACCTAAATGTTATAAAGTTGAGGAATTTGAGTGAATTTGGGGTAACGAGGTCGTTATCCCAAATTCACTCAAATTCCTCAACTTTGTAACATATAGCTATAGTTTAAAGGTCATTGCTCTTAGGATAATTCCCCAAATTCACTCAAATTCCTCCACTTCATAACATATAGTTACAGTTTAGAGGTCGTTACCCTTGGGGTAATACCCCAAATTCACTCAAATTCCTCAAGTTTAAAATATATAGTTGAGTTATGGGATAACAAACTCATTATCCTTAAGATCTGTATATTTAAATGTTAAGGAATTTGAGTGAATTTGGGGTAACGAGGTCGTTACCCCAAATTCACTCAAATTCCTCAATTTTAAAAATATGTAATTCATTTATGGAGTAAGGAAGTCATTACCCCTATGCGGAAGTTTCATCGTGTAAATGAATTCACTTTTAATTGATTACTCTGTAGGGTATCCTGACATTTACTTCTCGATACCCAGTGTAATGGTATTATGACATCTATGTCTACATAAGAAAATGAACTGAATATTAAATTATAAGTATATAACCACAACTTTTACTATAAACTATCATGAAATTTGCATAATAGTTCGCATAAATGAAATGTTTCTTGTTCAATAATTATACTATACAGTCAAAAACTAGCAATTATTATTCTTGATAACATTGTTTTTATAATTAAATAGTGTAGAGAGAATATTTTCCATATGTGAGAGTGAGAAATGAAAAGAGTAATGAAAGAAAATGACATCAGATCATTGAATTACAGTCAACAGAACTTATAACTGATAGAGATTTATAGCCAAGAAGAGTGAGTCTTTCCTCTAATAGATCATAACACCAAATAATAACAATAGTAAAATTTGTATTAAATACAAATATATTTTTCTATTTTTACTAGAATGACTTTTTTCCAAGCTTCTATCAAATTTTTTCCAAGATAAGATTCTTTATATACATCAAAATACACCAACTGCACTTTTATTCGAACTTTCAAAGTCAATAATAACAACTTGTTTAGTAGAGATTAGTGTTGACGAATATTTTTCTTTTTCTTTCATGTTATCTATACATTTAAATAGTTTGAAAATTATAAGCTACATCAATATATAATGAAAAATATATTCGTTTCTGAATGATATTTATTTTTGAAATGTTTATATTATATAAATGTTTATTAATAATATTTAGTATAGTATTGTTATGTGTTTTTCAGTTGTGACATCATCAGTTGTTCTTGAGCCATGCGTGTGCCTTCAACGCGTGCCCGAATTTTATCAAAAGCTATTTGTCTTGAAGTTGATTGATCATCATCAAATGGAGAAAAACCACAATCATCAGTCGTGCCTAACTGTTCTGCAGGTATGTATTTTGCTGCTTCTAATACTCGAGCACACACTTGTTCTGGTGTTTCCACAATTGGATCAATTGGATTAATGACACCAACAAAAATTCGATGCCATGGCTTCATATATTTACGAATACATTCTAAAACTCGATCGCGATTTGGTTCACTTGCTAATTGTAAGTAAAAATTACCCACATGAAGGTCGAATAGAGAAGGAAGAACCTGTAAATAGTCGACCTCAAAAGAATGATAACAATCTTGATCTCCACCTAGAACGAGATATTTATGAAAAAAGAAAAATAGAGTTTACTATTTTGAAAATATTATTCACCTGGACAGACATGAACACCAAGTCGATGTTGTTCGTGAAAACCAAATCGATCCAATACTCGATTATTGAGTTGAACAAAGTCTCGCAATAATTGACCAGTTGGATCAATCTTAAGAGAAAAACGAGCTTCAGTAAAATCAAGTTGAACGCAATGAGCTCCACTTTCAAGACATTGCCGAATGTCTCTTTCAGATTCAACAATTAAATCGTTCAAAAATTGTTCATGAGAATAGCCTCGTATAGTAGCTTTTGGATAAATCATTGATAAAGCTGACGGTGTAATTACTGCTTGTCTACATTTAATAAAATTATAATGAATTAATAAATTCTTTAGTCACTTACTTGATTGGTAACTGAGTAATTCGTTTTGCAGCATCAATATAACTATGAGCATAGACTGCATAACGAAATGGAGCTTTCGTTAGACGTGGTAATAATCTTTGATGACCATCTGCAAATTTAAGTGAAAAACAATCTGATGTAAATTTGTAATATTCATTAAACAAGGCGAAAATTGGATAAGTTAGAAATGATGGTTTTGTCTGTTCACCGTCTGTCACCACTGGTGATCCTGTGGATTCCATTTCTTCGATTGTAATTTGTATAGCTCTTTTATAGTAATCATTTAAGCGATCATGATTAATTCTTCCATCGCGATAGTTACGTTGAGCTGTCATCAAATCATCAGGTCGAGGTATTGACCCAATAGGCTCAGTTGGAATAATGATCTAGTCATTGATATATGTTTAGATCTTCAAATACTCTTATAGCTTACCTTTTCCTTGTTATTTATGTTCGCCATCAAAATATATTAAGGAAAATACAAGCCTTCCTATGACTTATCTATTAATATTGAATCTAAATTTATGAATGATTATGTGTCAAGAAAAGAAAAAGAAAACTTATTTACGCACGCAAAGCATAAACTCTATTTATACTTTATAATGCTACATTATCTGATGATGAAAGAATTTCTAAAGAGAAAAACTACGTAACTGCTATTTAGTATAGAAACAGTGTTGGTAAGTAGATGGAAATTAACAGGAACACTTGAGAAAACTCATAATATTCACCATTTAATGACAAACGTAGAGAGAATCCTTCAAAGTGAACCTCTTCAACATAGGTTGATTTGCTTTCTTTTCCCTAAAGTAATTTTTTTAAAAAGTATGAATGAAAATTGTGTTCTGGTGTAATCATGAGAAAATACATTCATTATGCTAGAAGAAAAAAAAAGTTTCTTTTTAGAATTGGTTCTTCTGCATGAATGGCAGAGTTTCAAGTCTTTTTTTCAATAACAGAATATACAAAAGACATTAGTATGACGAAAAAATTCCTTTCCTAATTTGAAGAGATCACAGCTAATAGATATGATAATAATCTTTCTGATGCCGAGTCAAATGTGTCTTCTTAGAACATGCATGCATTGACAGGAAATTTCCAGAAAGTCGCATTTTTATAATATTTTTTAAGTCATTTTATTTCACTTTCAAACATACGTGTTATTTTTTTATAATTGTTGTGTATAAATTCACAAAAATGGCCCATCAAAAGAGGTGCGAGTCGCAATCATACCTAAACACATAAGAATTTTTGAAAACGCACCTAAATATCGTAACCGTGATTCCCGTTTTAGCGTTTTCAACTCCATTCAGACAACATCAAAACAAAACTACTTTAATCATAAAGGTAGCACATAGACGCTTAAAACGGCAACTTTTGCATCTGACAAATGGGCACAATTTTTTCCACAATATTTTAACATATAGTGCAGATAAAAATGGCCTTTTTATGCATGGTTTAAGTGAAACATTTTGGGAGGACAACTTTTTGTACGTTTTCGTGCATCTGTGTATGAGAAAGACCAATATATCTATTTTTCTGATCGTAACGCGTTTCTCGTTCTTCCAAATGTAATGTTTTCAGGTGTCGAAACACGTTCATTGTTTATGACATGTTCAACTATGTCTAAGATACAACACTTTGAAATATCTGAACGCATTGTAATACAGAAACATATTCTGACACTATTTATAATTAAACACCTTTAGACGCTTTGGGGAAATAACCAATCTTGTCATTAACGAAAAAAAAAATTACAGCTTTGCTACGATATTGATCCACTGCTGTCATTATATGACACATTCACTTCAATCCGACATAAGTTTAAGTCGTTGAATAAAGTGTGTTAGATAAGACTCGATCACGGTTCCTACAGAACAGAAGGCAATGAACTCATTACTGAGCTATGCATGCTATTTGAATCTTTTCTTTTATTATCATGTGACTTAATATCGAACAAAAAAATCTGTTTCTATCACTATTAGTTCATGAAGTTATTTGAATTCGAAAATATTTCCTTCTTTCTCCCTTGTCAATCATATCTAAAATAAATATCAAACAAATTTTACATATGATCGAATTTCTTCAAATAATTATTATAGGTTTTGAGTTACACTAAATGAGAAAAGTCTGTTTTTTTATTTAAATAATTAATTGTTTAACAAGGAATATATACTGATAGATATAACACTTTAGCTTTAATTTAAAATTTGAACTGTAATTGTTTCTTTAAATTTAAAACTAAAGTTGAGCAACTCTTTTTTATTTTTATATTTTGTTTTCTATTCTATTGTAATTCTTGATCGTTTTTAGTCGCATTTGAATCGTATAGAACTTATTTGTTAACAAAAATAATGGAGATTAGAATAAATAAATTTAAAATATAGCCTTATGTCTATAAAAATGTTAAGCTTGATTTGGTTTGATCAACTTGACACTTCGGTAGTTTAAACACTTTTATAGAATGAAACATGAGACACTAATTGCTTTCTTAACATTAAATTTAACATATTTTTAAAGATAAAATTCTACATCTAATGTATACTCTGAGAAAAGATGAAATTGATTTTATAAAAAAAAGAATAGTGATGATATGAACTAAAATTATATAATTCCAAGATTGCTAGTGCATGAATGTTCTATACATGACAAAATCAGATAGGTGTTTACGTATTTATATTGTACAGACTATTTACGTCTTCATGAAAATGAAAGACCAACATAGATGCTTAGAAGGTTTTGAATGCACAGTCATTTTTTCTTATATATTCCGTACAACAACTAGTTCACCACATTATACAACTGTTGATAATCGAAAGAAGTTATTAACATCCCGAATACAATAAGACTTGACTATGCCTTCTAAATAATTTATAAGAGAGTTTGAATGTTGTTTTTAAACGAAATACACATTTTCGAATTCATTATTAAAGCTCTATTTGTATTTACCTCATTGAAATAACTTGTAACACTGACGATAACAGATATATGAAAAGCGAGAAACGCGTTCCAATGCATCTTAGCGATATAATGAGGAATGATGAACTGCGCTCATATGCATAAATGACAGTCAAGAGCAACAACGAATGTATACAACCCGTGTATATGATAGCATGTCATAGATGATGAGCGTTCCATCATATTCAACTTCAGATTGTCTATAGCTATCAACACAGTCAAATGCAAAAAACGAAAGCATTCACCTTCAAACGCGTTCGATAGCTAATTTGAACTTGTCTGGATGTGTATTAACCTAGACATTCGTTCGAACATACTCAGACGGTGTGAAAAGTGTCTTTGAAAAATTACAATTAATGCATTTAAGCATATTTGAAGTCCATTTAAATTTGAATTGCGTTTAATGGTTATATGGCAAATGTCATGCTTTTACTTTTAAGATGATCAGGTTTTCGTTTGATTGTACAAGTCAATACAAAAAAGTTATATTCAAGAAAATTTTCATCAAACTAATTTTGTAATAACATACAAGAATTTAGATTTTTGTTCGATTTGTCTTTTATTCATTTATCGTAAAAAATGAACTTGATCTTTAGTCAATATACTATGTGGGATTCAAACATATTATTCATATTTCTAAAATCTTCAATAGCGTTTAATATGCATGTCCATGCATATCCCATACGTATTAGATAATCATTATATTTAGGCGTATGATCGAACGATGAAATATTTTATCTTATAAAATAATAATATTAGAATATCATGTCAGGAAAGGACTACTAAATATTCATGTGTGTTTATGCCCAATTGAGTCATGTCATTAGAGTAATTCTTTTTTGAGTGCTCTAGAATTTTCTTGCATGCACATTCAAGTGTTCTTCAAGAAAACAACATTCTTACATTCACGCAGCATTTTTGCTTGGTCATATGTATTGTTTTATCGTTGTCAACGGCTGCAGTCCGTGTCACTACAATTCTCACTAATGAATTTGAAATCTACATTGATCTGCCTTATAAAAATAGTACAAAGAGTTGTTATGAAATGATCTTATATAATAGATTTTTTATGATCTAACGAGAATATTATGAAAATCTTGCTTATTAATTTAAAGTTCTCTATCTCAAAATGTTATTCTACACCAATTACATATAAATCGCCTGAACATTTTAGAATATATTGAAGTTATATCGAAGAGACTATGATAAAATTTTCATCATTATTCCATGACATTTTACAAAGATATTCATCAAACAAAGATCAAAAGAAGCTCATATGGTACTCCATAATTCTCTATTGATTCTCATTCTGTTTATATAATCTCTTTTGTTTGAAGGAGCATGTCAAGATATAAGACATGAGAGAACTTTTTCTTTTCTAATTTTTTTCTATTTACGTACAGGAAATGAATGACAAGTTCGATGTCTAAGACAACTCTCTCAAAATGAGCGTTTATTTATAAAAGTACTTGTAAATACCATACAAGCAAAGCTTAATTAAATAAGTCTCTTCACAATGCTCTTCATCTTGACATTCTATTTCAAAAACAAAAAGAACTAATTATAAAGAATGAGAATTTGTATACAATTTTGCAAACGTTGGTTCAAAAAAAGAATGAACTGAGGAAAATACAAAAAACATTTTCGATTTTTTTTTTCTAAAGAAAGCTTGTTTCTTAAGCAGTAGATAATGTTTATTATCAAACATTTTGGCGAGAAAAAACGAAGTGTCAAATAAGAAGTTCTATTGTTTATGAGATGTCATACCTTAGGTTATTTTCCTATGCATTTAGCTCAACTTCGATTTTTTTTTTGACGTAAAATGTGCTTTTTTTAGGAGAGAGAAGATAGTTTAATGATCTACTGTCCTTGTATATAATTAAAGAAATTTGATACAATGTAAGATTTGAATTAGATTTCTAACTAATATAGATTATTTATATTTAATAAGAACTAGTTTGATATGCCATTATGATATATATGATTAATATTCAAGTGTGCATGCATCTAGGTGAGAATTATTAATCAAATTTCTCATGTAAAACTCGTATCGTCGTTGACATCGGCAAATTCAAAGACAAGGAAATGAGAAATACTAAATAGGAAGCTTGAAAAATTTCTATTAATGACATTATTCTATTTGTAGAAGAAATATCGTATCTAACTATAATTTAAAGTAAACTAACTAAAATAATTTCTTTTGAAACCTGCGTAACAGTTCATTTAGTCAGATAAATGATTTGTTTAACAAAAAAGTCTTTATTTAAAAATGATAAATTTTATTTAAAATTTACAAGGAAAGTAAAACCAAAATTCGAATTAACATCATAGTTATTAAAAAAAATATTACAAATGATAATTATTGTCCACTCACAAATTACTGATATAATAATCGATTGAACATTTGACTTGATTATATATAAATTTATCTTTCCATTAAATTACTTTTACAATGTGTCAAGTTCATAGATAACCCATCATCATTGAATGTGAGCAGTCATATTTAATGTGGCAAATAGCGACATGTCGTAAGGCTTTGAATTCATCACTGGAAAATTAATCATAGATGTAACCGGATTAGATCATATTGAACCATCTGTTAATAATATTTCATCAGATTATATTATCTTATTGTTGATGAATTGTTTAGATTAATGTATTCTTAATATCGATTTCATCGGCAAATCCAGTTATAGGTGGCCATACTTGTACTTGCAAACTAAAATCTGACAATATAACAGATTTGTTAAAAATATTTTTGAGTATAGCTTGATCATAGTAATATTCATTAGATTGTTTCTTTAATGCTTATTTCAATGAATTTATATGTGATAATAATAGTGAAGCAATTTTTTCATCAACTATTTTTTTTACTGTCAATGATATTAGTGGTAAAACATATAGAGCTTGTTGTGTATTTAGAATTGATTCTCAATATTCTTTAGTTAATTTATGAGATTAAAGATTTTTAAAACCGAATGGTGATAAACAAGTTGATACAGTAATTTCATCATCCCAGTAACCATCAACAATTTCTAATAAACCTGATCATTCTATCCCAATAAAGGCAATTAAATGATAACAGAATAATTTAGCATGTTCAAGAACTGTGAATTTATTACATGTATTATTATCAGCATTTAATTGATGACTATAAGAAAAGTGTATTATCGAATAAAAATTTTGTATCATCTATTGCAGAAATATATTCTGCTAAACTCAATAAAAAATAAATATTTAAATCACTTGATTTTGCATAGAACCTAATGCATCTGCTATCATACCGTTTTCAGTAAACGAATAAGAAAATTGTCCTGTAGTAGAATTTTGTTGAGATATAATTAATATAAGAATATTTTTGCTTAATTTAGATTTTAAATAATAAGCAACGATTTATGTTAAGATCAGATCTCGAGGTTCTCCATCAAGACTATGTAAATGTAAATAAGCTGAACCTTAAGATATTACATGAACATAAAAATATTCATTGTAAATTATAGATTAAATCAATAATGTTCGAATGTCAATTCATTTCACGTTAAAATACATAATTCATTTAATTTGTAATATTTAATTGATCGAATGGATAGATATGAATGTAAACAGATTCATTTTGTGATGTTTATATGATATTATTCATATAATTTGACTTTTTATATTTGTAGACAAAATTTCTACTATCGCCAGCAATGACAAAAGCAAAAGCATATCGTAAATAAATAGTTTGGTCAGGGGCTAAAGTTAAATATCGATTTAATATTAAACAATAAGGTATATTATCATCGTTTATTTCATTAAAATTTGATTTATTTTTATACAGATAATCAGATTCTTTTTGTGGTACCTTTCTCAAAAAATGTTTTCTTTTAATAAAAATACCTTGAGAAGTCCGATGTTTCTGAATTCAATGATAAATCAGTTAAAAATACATCAAATAGAACAGGATCATAATACAGTAATGTTTTTAACCATTGAAAAATATGAATTAGGAAATTTCTAAAACAGCAGTGTTTCATTTATTAATTGTACAATAGAATTATAATGCTAATTTAAATTAACACGTTCTTCATCTTCTAATAACGCTGCTATTGTACTTGTTCGAATCCATTGTAATGGTATTCGATACAAATTAATATCAAAATATGGATAGAAATCTAATTCAACATTGTTTGGTTTTGTATTCGTTAGACTTATGTCAATTAATACTAGTAGATCATCGCCTATAAGAGAATAAACTGTTTTGATTGATTTGAATATTATTATAAAATAATATTGTATTAAAATAATTTGAGCAAAATAAACGAGAATAACTATTTGGATTATCAAGAATATCATGAATATATATATATATATATAATTGTATAAGATCATCATTGAAACATAAGACATTTACACTTAAATTATCACTATTGTTCGAATAAGTTTGACGATCTTTATTTCATTAATTAGACCATTTAGCACGTTCATCTGCACACTGATTGAATGTATAAGAGTAAGAGAGCGTGTGATTAATAGAATTGAAAATCCAATCACCAAAAAATGCCACTACCAATTAAACTATAAGTTGCACTAATATTCAATGATGATAATAATATCACAACAATTATCATTGAGACAAACGTATAATCAATTAATTGTGACAATATCCTCTATCAAGTTCATGATCTATATAAAATTTTCAAAGTATTTTGTCTCACTCTAGATACAAAAAAAACACGGATATTGAATAGGTATTTTAAGACTTTAACGGACACATTAGTGATTCGACGTAGTTATTTTCAATCAGTCTTAGCAAACTTTTTAAAGAACCTTTATTTTAATTCGATAACTCTTATCATTATTAATTTGACATTAACAAAAAACCGTTTTTTTTAATCACATTTTCGACCGAGATTGACATACATTATGCTTACAGCTAAAAATAAACTTGTTTGCATATCTATGACCAAGAGCGACAATAAAAATCCGAAATATTTACTATTTTGTGCGCTCTTCTTCATGAACTTAATACTATAATGATACCATTAATTATAATTAGATGAGAAGAAATAGGAATTATATTGCTACACTATGCGAAATGTATTTATCAGAAATGATGGCTAATTATTTAAAATCAATTGAAAGAAAGATATGTATAAAAACAAGAATGTATGTAGATAATTGTATGATCACTACTATCAGCAGTCTCTCATAATTTTTGATGTTAGACTTGTAGTCATTCGGCGTTGCAACAAAGCGATTGGCAAGACTAGCGATGGACGTTCTTCTAATTACATATTATTTCTAAGCATATTATGAAATATCTGAGCAGACTGTATATCACTGTATTGGAACGAGATAATGAGTATGAGAAAAAAAATCTGTTTTGACATAATCCAAAACTTTCACTGGTTGTAATTAAATTTCTTAATAACGTGCTTATTATCTAAGTAATTTTTAGTAGTTTTTTTTCTCCGGTAATCAGTGACAAAACAAAAGAAGAAATAATAGTTATATTTCTGTCATGAGAAAACAATAATAATGAGAACATGATAAATTATTTATACTTGGATCATTTAATTTAAGGCTCCGCCCCCCCTCAGAAATCAACTTTGTTATTTTTCATCCGATTTCAACCAAACTTTCAGAGAATGTTAGCCTAGGCTAGGATAGATTACAGTTAAAATATCTCCCCCAAATCTCAAAGATATGCACAAGTTCTAGTTGATTCATTGGTCAAAAATATCCTTTACGCGGGCAAGGTTTTCAACATGAGGATATTAGCTAAACATGTCGGCGTGGCTTTTAAATTGTAGAGTACCCTTAGGGCTAGATCCTAATAGAGTCCGATTTTTGAATTTTCCTTCGTTTGTTTTTTAAAAAAAGTTTTTCGAAAAATTCTCGAATTCATGGCCAAAAATGTCGGTAAACAGAACGAAAGATTCAAGTTTTTTATGTCAGCAGAAGAGAAATTAAAAAATCGGGCTCTATTAGATTCTAGCCCCACTTGTCCTCTATGCAATAAGAAAAAATTATCCCTTATCTATTGAGTCGTTATTAAGAAAGGCGTGCCTGCGCAAACCGTATACTCGAAAAACTGATTTTGAGAAAAACGGAAAATGAGTTTTTAAAAGCCTTATTTTTTCCAATATGGAGGTTCAGAAAAACTTATGTAATATTCTTAAAGCTCATCATAAAATCAATCAACTATAGTGCATTCGAGAGTAGACACTTTGCTCTATCTAATGAGTTATAAATCACAAAATCGATAAATTTGACCAAAATTGATTTTTTTGAGTGGGGCCCCCTTAATATAAAATATACATTTGAACAAATATCATTTTCATATTTTTTTTTCCTAGAATTTATTTCATTGTAAATCTTGTAATTTTTTTTGTTTTGCTTTTTTTATCATTACATGGTTAATAAAACAAAAATCATTTGAAAGATAAAAATGAAAATTTAAGCTGTATTATGATATAACAAATTAGATATATTTATATACATGATAGAAAAAGCAAACAAATGATTATTATGCATTGCTGCTACCACTTCGTACAACTAAATTAGCTTTATCATGATCAGTTTCTTTGCTTTGAGGATCAAAATGTACTTGTTGACGAAGAGGAGATGCAGGAGTAGCTATGCAAAAAAAAAATAAATAAAAAAAATAAAACTTCAAAAATATAAACCCTTTCGACTTGGTTTTGATGGAAGTGGTTGAACTTCAACATTTAATTTAGCAGGTTCATCAGATGATGTTGCCAATCGAGCTGGTTGATTAGATGCTGTTGTTGCACCAAACATTGGATTAGCAAATACTGGTGGTGATTCCTATCATATAAAATTTCATAAACAAAAAAAAAAAAAATGAAATATATTTCTATTTACAATTGTTGACTGGTCTCTTGCTGTAGTAGATCGAGCATTTCGAAATCGAACTGAATTTATGTTACTTGTTGAACGTGTAACAAAATTACGAATACTATTCATTATTGTTTGAACACGTGATGGTAATGGTGGAGTTGGAATCGATTGTAATCTAAGAAAAAAAAACATGTATACATATGCATTTCGACTAAAGAGGAAACCATTCCAAGTGTCAAATCACTGTTTGATCGAGATGATGTTTATTTGATAAATACTAGTGAGTTGATAGAGAAGCATAGAATGGTTTGCTTTACTGGGTCTTTATTCTTCAGATATCGAAATTTTACACGACTGTTTAACAAATAAATGTAATCCTCATCAGATGATGATGATGATGGAGTTTCAACTTTAAACTTTGCATGAACAAAGTTATCAATGAGATTAGGTGATTGTACAATTAGTTTTTTCTTTCTGGAGATATTAATATAAGAAGAACGTTTGAAGTTAAAACTGTAATCTGATCTGAAAAAACCTACAGCTATTTGTTGAAAAATTCAGTAATATTTTGATATTTTAAGAGCGAAGATTCGAAAAACTCAATCGATCTAGATTATTCTGGCACTCATTAAACGAACATCGTCTCGGTTGAAAAGCGATTTGACACTTGAAGAAGTTGCCTCGTAAGCTATGAAATTTTTAGTATGTCTATTTTCTAGAGACCTCAAGTTTTCGGAAAAATGTTCTTTTCAAAATTTGATCTGAAAGTTGACATAATAAAAGGAACTCAACTAGATTAGGTTCCATAGAAGAATTCAGAATTTTTGAACAAAGTCTCTTCGATATATGAGACTTTCAAGATATAGACCTACTTCAATGGATAGCGTATGGAATATGCAGTTTTTGGAAGCTGGTGGTCTAGTTGAGTTCTCCATATATGCAAAATTCGATAGCTTACAAGAGAACGTCCTCAGATGATTAAAAGATTCTGAACCTATATTGTGTTGAGTTGTAAAGGACCGATAGACTAGAATATTCTTGAAAAGGTTCGTGCTGACGTTAAGATTCGGCTGAGAGATATTGATTTTTTTAGTGAATTCTTCTTTGTATGCATCTTATGCATAAAATTTCAGAAGTTTTCGATCGAGTGTTTCGGAAATATGCATCTTTCAGACGTCAATTGATTTTTCATTGATACAGTGTAAAACATGCATGTTTTGAAAGTTGAATATCTCAGAGATGTTTGGTCGAAAAGTTCTGAAATTTCATAAGTTAGTCTCACTGAGATCTTCATTTAGACAAATTTTTCAGAGCGAAACTGAAGAATAGGATTTAATCAGAAAATTGGGTCCACACAGGTAAAATTCAATATATCGGTTAAATCTTAACGTCCACCGGAACTTTTCGTAGCGTGTTCTAACCTATAGATTCCCTATCACTGGGCAAAATATGGGCTCACATTCTTTTAAATTTTTTATTAAAACATTATGTCGTATCTAGAGGCAAAAAAAAATCATTGAAATTGGATGGGAACATTTTGAGTAGGACCGTTTGTTAGAGATTGAAAATTTATCTCGTCAACTTACTTTCCTTTACGCTTCAATTGAATTAAACCAAAAGTAAGAATAGCAATTAATAATAAACTAATTAATGCAATGATAATAATTTTTAATATATGTTTAGGGATTGGCAGCGTTTTAGCAGGTGTATCACAATATTCACCTTTATAACCTTAAAAACAAAATTGTTTTTTTGAATATACTTTCCACATTTATTCAATTTACCTCGGAAACAAAGACAAGCACTTAATCGATGTCCAGCATTTTCATCAACATGATAAACACATTTACCATTTACACAATGACATTGTAAAACACTTTCACGTTCAGCAACAATCGCTTTAAAGCCATAAAAAAATATATTTCTACTATTTTATTTTTCTTCAAATTTTTATATACGTACGTGCATTACATGTTCGACTGTCTTCTTGAATTGTTGTATTAAATGGACATAAACATTGATATTGATTTAATGGTTTTAAAACACATAAATGTGAACAATTAGCCGATGCACATGGATTTGATACTAAAAAACAAAGAAACAATTTTGTTTTCTTTTCGTATTTATTAATTTTTTGTTCATGTAAACCTGATTCAATTTGTTTTAATGGATGATAAATTCTTACGAATAAAGGTAATTCTAATTTATCAATAACAAATGTTGATATTCCACGTCCAAATTTTTCAATTGTATATAATGAACGATTATCACGATTAATCCAATATAAATGACTTCCAAATATATCTAATGAATGTGGTGCATGTATTCCAATATGTGCTATAATAACACGATCTGTTCCATCATAATTCATTGATTCAATTGATTCTTTTTTTTCATCTGTCCAATAAACACGATGATTTTGATAATAATCAATAACTAAATCCGTTGGATATACTATATCGGTATCAATTAATATTGTACGATTTTCCCCATTCATATAAGCTGATTCAATAGCAATAATACGATCTTCAGAATTATTCATAGGTCCATGTTCATAATTAATAAAATAAAGTATTCCAAGTATTGGATTAACAGTAACAACCCATGGTGATTCAATATTTGTTATTAATTTAGTTGCATAACGTCCATCATTTTTTAAAAGCCATATACAACCATGAATAAGATCAGTAACATAAAGATTTTGACCTATCCAATCAATAGTAATACTACTTGGAATAATTAAATGATTTGTATCTTCGTGTAGAAGTGCTTGAGGATATGCTGTTGATATTGAATTTGGTGTAAGATGTCCACGATAAATTTCTGATGTAGATTCATCCATCCAGTAGAAGATACGATTATTTGTATCAATAGAAATAAAACTAGCATCATGTTGATCTTCAATAAGTATACCATAATGTGATGCATTTTCTATCGGATTTCGACGAAGACGACGAATTTCATCAGGTTCAGATATTAGAAGATCAATTGTTGGATCTGTACAATAAATAAAAAAAAAAAGAATAATAAATAAAAATATTTATTTTTATATTAAAATTCTAAAAAATAAAATATACTGATGAAGATATGTGATCACTAAGAGTTCAATGATTTTCAAACAAATACATGAAAACGATATTTTATTTCGAGGAGATTTCACAAAAAAAACTTAGAGAATTCACTAAAAACCAATAAAATTCTATGCTATTTGATCAAAGAAATATATGATTTTGTTTTCTTAATATTGCGATATAAGAAGATAATTGCAAGAATCCTTTTGTTTTTTGAATGTTTTACGTGGATAATGGATTTTAAAAGAATTTAGTCTTATATAGTCTTGGACAAAGAAACATCTGGAGTTCTTTTCTTTCGATTACTCAAAACGACAAGTCACCACCTATTACCATTATCGAGTTATTGAAGTTACAACTATTCGTCTTTAATTCTGTCGCGCACATGATTTCGACTAAAATTAGATGTTTAGTAATCCTAATTAATGTTTAGATAATTGATATTCACTCACAAGAGAACTACCTAAAGTATAATCCGTCCTTTGAATACACATTTGACTTAGAAGAAAGTTTCAATAAGACTAGAATAAGTTCTAAAGATGTTCATGACCATAGTATTTCGGAGCCAAATTATGACTCATAACTTGAATGCAGAGGCTCATTATGAACAAGGCTTTTTAGAACTTATTCTAGTGATACCGAAACCTTCTTAAGAGTTCAATATAAGTTCAAACGGCGAGTTACAGTTACCGTAGTTCTCTCTTCAGTCAATCCGTTGAAAAGGAATAATCTTATGTTCACGTTCATTAATTTATGTTGAGAGAAGATAAAGTAAAATTGAATAGTTCTATATATAGTTAATGGTCCATTTTCTAATAGAATCAGAAATATGCAAGAAAAAAAAAGCAAGATAGATGGTAACAATAATTGTTTCTAATAAAATTTTCATCAGTCAATATCTTGTAATTACATTAACGGTAAGACTTAATTAACAGTGAATCAAAAATGAGTACCTGTTGGATGACAATCTGATCTATTAACTCCACTTGGTTGAAAACCAGCAGCACATTCACATCGAAAACCACCTTTAGTATTGACACATATTTGTGAACAATAATTTAATGTAACTTTTTCACATTCATTTATATCTTCACATTTAAATGATTCTTTATTAAATTTATAACCTGTATTACATGAACAAACAATTCCTTGTCCATTTGGTAAATCATGACATCGTTGATCACAATGATTTGTTTGATTAGCACATGTTATTGTTGTATTATGATGACATGATAATTCATCTGATTCATCACCACAATCATCAACTAAATAATCAAATGAAAAATAAATTACTAAAACTACTCTGTTTGTATATTTTCATTTACTTTCATCACATAAATCTGAATATCGTATACAAAGATTTGTATGAGTACAATGAAATTCTGGACATGTTACTGGTCGATTTGGTTGACATACACCATGAATATCTTCATCACTACCATCACCACAATTATCTGTATGATCACATACACGCCATCGATAGATACATCGACCATTGGTACATCTTTAAATAAAAAGTTGTGAGCACAATTCTGAAAGATTAAAATATTAAACACGATCAGAGTGCGGTGAGTTCGAATTCGACGGACTTAAAACACGATGTAGCTGCTGTAGCTAATTACACGAGAATTGTTTTATTCTATCTGTTTTGAGACATATTGCATTATCTTCAATCCTCCAAAATAATTATAAAAAAACTAGTTCATATACTATAATGAAAGTCTACTTCGAACTTGTCCTTAATAGACGCTTAAGATAGATTATCTCATTTTAATTGTTTTTGAACTGCACCCATATCGATTTAAATTAGTTTCAAAATTCAATTCTGATTAATTGTTCAATCAAGACCAATAAGGATAAAACTGGAAGTTAAGGATATATAAGACTCATATCTCGTGCGATGGCTATATTCAATTGAATCTCACAAGCTATTCTAAATACAAACATCGGCCTAATCCTTATATTCAGTACTCTGTTTGTCATTTGTTTATCACACTTCGTTTTACGAATACTTAACGAAGCCAGAAATATCTGAGTTTTCAAGACATTGTTAAGCACGTAAACAAGATCTATGTTGGATGGCGGTTAAGGGACTGGCAGTGGATCTTCTTTTCACCCAAATCAACACCTACACCCTAGTTGGCAAATAAGGATCTAATCAGGAATGGGCTGAACTTGGACAAAACAAAGTTGCGACAAATTATTTGGGGAAGAATACCTATAATGAAATGTCATTGAATAAGGTGTGTGAGGTGGGCCCAAATTTTTACTATTGTACCTTAACATTTCTTTTAGATCGTGTTTCGCAAAAAAAAGTTTTTTATGCACAGAAAAAAAAATCTAATACCGAAAATGATAGGTTGAATTACAAGGTACTGTGCGGCATAATTCAATTGTTTCATCACTAAATAGAAAAAAAATGGAATCATAAAATATGTTGATACTTTTCTTGTTTTTTTTATTGATTACCTATTATCATGGCAATCATTATCTAAAATGAAAATATTTTTGTTATAATTTAATAAGAAAAAAAAAAACATCGGCAAAACCTCTTACCTCCATCACAAACCCAGTTCTTATTAATACAAAGAGTATTGTTACAAGTAAAACGATCTATTGGGCAATATTGACCATTAGGAAAACGTGGTGGACAGCCGGCTTCATCAGAAACATCCCGACATTGAGGATAACCGTCACAACGACTTGTATTACTTATACAATGACCTGATGCACATCTAAAGTATCCATCCGGACATGATCGAGAAGCTAAAATAATATATATTTGTTTTAAACAACAGATTTATATTGAGCGTAAAAATTATTTACCACAATCAACAGCTTCATCCGATGTATCATCTCCACCACAATCGTAATCATGATCACATACCCTAAAATTAAGAGAAAAAAAAAACATTTATGTAAATTTTTGAATTCTATTAAATATTATTTTCAAACCAGCGTTGTGGAATACATCGACCATTCGAACATCGAAATTCATCTTCACTACATTGACGATAAACTGAAAATAAAAAAATCGAATAAATAAAGAAAAAGAAATTGTTTTTTGTTTTCTCAATAACTTACCGCATGTTGCTGGATTTTCATCTGATCCATCACGACAATCATTTCGATGATTACTTAATAAAGAATAAATATAAAATATTAAAATAAATTAATGAGCGAAATGTTTTGAATGATTATTTCAACTATATTATTTGTCGTTTTATTAATATTTTCAAATAAATAAGAAACGCAAAGAGAAAAATCATAACTCTACAAACATATGTCATGAAACAAAAAGGTCTCTTTTAATCAAATTTTAAATCATTGTCTAGCGTAAGCTATCATAACCAAGAAAAATTGACATCTTCATTCCTCTAACACATGAAAATTCGTCTTAAATTTATCAGTAAAAAGTTGAAAGTACCAACATACAGTATGAACTTGCTAATTTTTTTCCAAAATACGGAAGTAAATCAAATCATTCTCAAATAAGCTATCAAGTAAAATCAAAAAGCTCTTTTACTATATCTAAAGATCTTTGTATTTGAACAATCATCACAAGCGTAGTCGCTTTTAGAAGTTGACAAATTCAATCCTACTATCGGCGCCAGAATTCAAGGCAGTCGGATGTTTTTTGAATAACTTTTCATAGGAACAAGATAGAGACCTGTAGTTTTCAGCATTTGATAGCCAAGACCCAGGAGCATATTTTCACAAGCAAAATCTTTGCTGAGAAAAAATTCGAAGATCGGTGTTTTAGAGAATTTCTGAAAAACCATGCTGGATTTCTGAAAACTGCCATAACAGTCTATTGACTTTTTTACATATTCGGAATCAGCATCGAAAATTGAGTCGAACCACGTATGTTTCGAATCTTTTCACGAACTTTTTTTTTCGTCGAAAAATTCAACCCTGGTCCTCATGAGGGATTGGTCAAAAAATGAAATCAGCCAAAACTCCGTTTTTATTGTTTATTCATTTGCCATTTTATGTTCTACTAGCATTTTAGAAGCTCAGAACTCGATTTTCGTTGTCCAAGTGACTTTTTGACTGACTTTATTTTTTGATCTCTTCATCAGGAGGACCAGGGGTGCATTTTTCGGCGCAAAAAAAAAGTTCGTGAAAAGATTCGAAACATACATGAATCGACTCAGTTTTCGATGCTGATTCCGAATATGTAAAAAATCAATATACTCCTACGGCAGTTTTCAGGAATCCAGCGTGGTTTTTCGAAGATCCGCTGAAAAACCGATCTGCAGATTTTTTCCTCAGCAAAGATTTTGCTTATGAAAATATGCTCCTGGGTCTAGGCTATCAAATGCTGAAAACCGCAGGTCTCTATCTTGTTCCTATGAAAAGTTATTCAAAAAACATCCGACGGCCTTGAATTCTGGCGCCGATAGTAGTTCGAATCTTAGTTTTGAATAAATGTTCTTTCTGTTTCGATTTTGTCAGATGCTCTTTAATCGAAAAAAAAGAATAGCTTTTATTGAAAATAAACGTGCTTCCAACGACATTGTGATATGCCTTGTACTGAAAATGTGAAGACTACCAACAAAGTAATAGTAAACACCAAGACTTAATCAACACTATAGTCAATCATAACAAAACAGATAAAAAACTTTGAGAACAAATTTAATTTTATAGTCAATAACTACGCTAATTCAATTCACATGTAGGCCATCATGGAGAAAAACAAAAGAGAATCGTATTTTTAGAGCTCCTCATTCTCATTGATCTTGACGCAGATTTTTGCTTTAAGATCCATTTTTGTGACATATTAAATGAAAGTTCAATTAACGTATCTACTATCTATGGACAAGTATCAATGGTCAGTCACAACAATAAACTGAAAAGTCGTTCATAGCAACAGATCTACGAGCATAATAAACAGTTTAACGATATGATGCATCGGCTCAATGATAATCTATCGAGAATTAACAATCCGGTTCATGGTAAATAATCTATGTTTAGTAGTAAATGCATTTATCATCTACGGCCCTAGACCTTAATTGTCTCTTTAGAATCGGCATGGCCATAGGACTAAGAATATTACTAATAAAAAAATAACCAATACACATTTGTATTTGAATAACATATCCAAGAGCAAAACTTCTTCCTTACACATAAACTAACAAACAAATATTCTGAAATTTACCATTGAAAACTTCTCGGAATACATTGTCCATTATTACATCGAAAATGATTTGCATCATTACATGGTGGACATTGATTTGGATTTTCATCACTATTATCACCACAATCATTAAATCCATTACAACGTGCTATTTGTGAAATACATTTATATGAATTTGGACAACGAACTTGATCATCACGACAAGGTCGATTACCTTCAAAAACAAAATTTTATATATATTTTTTTTCCCGAAAGTATTTAAATTAAACAAAAAAAAACTTACGACAAAAATATGCATTTTCATCACTATTATCACCACAATCATTATCTAAATCACATTCATATGATGCTGGTATACATCGACCATTAGTACATGTAAATTGATAATGAGTACATGTACGATTACCACAATTTAATTCATCACTACCATCAGAACATTGTCGATAACCATCACAACGATATCTCTAGAAGTAAAAAAAAACAAAAATTTAATAATTGTTATTTTTTGTTTTTGTTTAAAAACTATACTAACCATTGGTAAACATGAACCCGAATTACAACGAAATCTTCCTGGCATACAACGACATTCACAATTTTCTTCATCTATAATATTCAAATAGATATTTCATTTTCTTGTTTTTTTTCTTCAAAATAAATTTCTACCTGAATTATCACCACAATCATTCATGCCTATTGAAAAAAATAAAGAATCATATAAAAAAAAAGAAAAAACAAAAACTTAAAATTTTCTCCTACCATCACAAACATATGAAATTGGTGTACAATTTTGATTTCGACATTGAAATTGTGTTGGTGTACATTGTCGATTTGGACATGTACTTGGCTCATCAGATCCATCTTCACAATCATTAACTAAATAAACAAAGTATTTGTCTAACTGTACACAAAACAAAAAAGATTAATACTTACCTCCATTACATTTTGCTGACCATGGTATACATCGTTCATTTGGTGGACCACAACGATGTTGATTACAACTACAATTTGATACACATGTTCGATTATTTCCATTATTAATCAATGAAAAATGTTCAGGACATGCACATGTATATGTTTGATTTGTTGATAATAAACATAAATGTGAACAACCACCATTATTTATTCCACATGGATTTGAAACTTTAAATTAAACGAAAGAGAAAATAAAATTCAATACTCCTAAAGTTATTTTTTTTCTTTTTTACCTTGTGGTTGTAATGATGGATGAATAATAGTAAGAGTTACAACTTCATTGATTGTATTCGGTAGAAGTACATGTTTATTTGAACCATTTAATGCATCAGCACGAATTAATGAATGATTAGTAAAATCAGACCATATAACATAACCATCAATAAATCCAACACTGAGTGAATATGGAACATAATCATGACCAGAAAATGCTATTTTACGTTCGCCACCATTATAATTACTGAATCTATATAAAATAAAGTATTACATTTTTAAATTCATACTGATGGTTTAGGAAATACTCATCGAATTGAATAAAGAAATATATTTGTAACTAATACTACAATCAAAATCGAGCTCATGGAGAACTGATAAATATCTTTTGAATCAAGACTACGCACATCATGTAGAACCAAATGAGTTTTCAATATACAGAAAATAGTTCGAATTCTTAGCACTTATGACTGCCGACATACTGCACTTTTACGGTAGTTTTTTAATATTCCTCGCAGGAGCATAAGACAAAATGATTTACGAAGTTTTTGTTACAATCACACTCACAAAATTTGGTTTTAGTGTGTTAGGACCTCTTTACGTAAATCTCTGATCACAAAAGGAGAAAACTTACGGCGATACAATATGATGATCATAAGAAATATGACTTTGTTAATCTGTAATCATGTTCAAATACCTGTTTCCATACAAAAAGGCATTTATGGAGTACATGTTGATCATAATCTCAAACATCAACGAAACATGAGAATGGATTCTAGAAATTATTCTTAATCACAAGTCTTTGCCATTTAGAGGAACCTCTTTTATACATACACGGCGCCTGATCAAGACTAATTTAATATAAAAAAAAAAAAAATTATTCGATCAAATGAACGATAGGCGATTCAGCTGCAACTAAAAAAATGTTTTCATACAGAAATCTAATATAATTAATTTCCACAAGAGATATATCTGATTAACCTCTCAAAACAAAACGACCAGAATTATAGATCTAAAGTTGGTCATTATTATTGTTCAAAATATAAATTATAATGATTTATGTACATCACTTATTGCGTACAAAATTAATTACAGATATTGGACTTATGCGGAAAAAAAAGATGAAGTCATTTGTGTTTTGGAACATCTAACCAGTTAACAGAAATGTAGAATGTATAGCTATTTTAACGAACATAANTTAATCGATGATCTGTACCAAGACGATTAACTTCTAAACGACCATATGAATTTGTTATATAAGAAAAATATAAATTTCCAGCTATCCAGTCAAGTGTAAGACCAAGAATATAATTTCTTTGTGATCCAACGCTTATTTGTAAATAATTTGTTACATTCCATGTTCGATTATTTGTCCATATTGCACGACGAATTAAACGATTTGCATTTATCCAATATAATTCACGATTAGCATATCGAGCTGTTAGCATTTCCATATCGTTACCTGAGAATAGAAAACGTCTTAATTTAAATTGCATTAAACTATCTAACAGTTTACTGCAAATAGCTTGAACATTATGTAAGATGTTTCTTGGAGAAAGGATATTCTGAACGTAATAGAACACTCGGAATCCTTCTATGATGGGCGGATGGGAGGGAAGAATTACAGAGACACTGAATGGATTTTTCTGACGTGGAAAATCTTACACCAGATTACTGTCCTATGAATAGAAAGAAAATACATCATGTAACTCGTGATTCTGACTCTTAGCTTATTGTTGCGTAAATACTGGATTTCTAGAATATTATTAAAATGAATGCCGTAGTGTGTTTCGAGAAAACTAATTTTCAAATTTCGACTTGAAACTTTGTACAGAAACAAGTCTTAATGATCTTATGCTATATTTTCAAGTCTTTTGATTTGCTTCTAATCTACCATTATATATGAACTATGTAGAAGACAGACTTTTATTACAGTTGTATCTTAGTACAAGAACAATGTAAAGATCTAAATCTTTGATAATGAATGAACTTCTCTATTAAAAGCCTGTTTCTATGTAAAGTTTTGAGCTGAACTACGAAAATTAGTGTTCCTGATATATTTGAGGAGAGCATTTAAAAAGGATCTTAGAAGTACAATATCTCTGCAATAACAAGCTAAGAATATGAACTTTTCTTCTCCTGCCAGACTGAGATCGTAAAATATTACACATTCGAATGAAGCGCAATTAATATAGTAACGATGCGTGCTGACAACTAAACTTTTAAAACTATTAGTTACAATCAATTTTATACTATTATTATCGATCCCGCGATCTTTAAGATAGTCATGTATATTCAATAAGATATTGTAAAAATCCTTCTTTGTAACGTATGCTAATATGAAAACAAAATGTATATTTATTCGCTTGAAAATTACTTGTTGAACTTTATCAGATAAACTACGATATTTATATCAATAGATATAATATCATTCAATTTATATTCGAGTACTCCACTCTTATTTACAAATACTACAACAAATCTTACCAGCAATCAATGGCATAACATCTTCTCTTGCTGAATCATTTGATCGATAATCAAATGCACGTAATAATGAATGTGTACTATAAACGATAAATTGTTCACTTTTAGGTGAACATGTACGTCCATCACTATTTAATTTATATCCAATAGCACAATCACATGTTGGTGTATCACGATTATTAGAATCAATTTGAAAACAAATCTGTTCACAATATGAACCATAATAACAATATGCATTAAAAGCTAAATAATAAAATATTAATTGATGAACAAATAAAAACAAACAAAAAAATTTATATATAAACCTTCATAACGTGGATAAGCACGAACTTGTCTTGTATCTTCTTGATTTGTTCGCACAGGTATAACATCTGATACAGGATTTAAACGATGATCAAACCATTTTTTATAGACACCTTCGTACTCATTATCAACAAAAAATAATGAATAATGTGTTGACGTGACATCATCATTGTCGTTAGTTGTTATTAATGGTGATGTTGGAGGATAATAATGAGTAAGAAAATCAAAACCACGCGGATGATTTACTTCAACATCAAGAATCTTCGTATTACCTGAATCCATACAATGATATGAAATCTATGAAAACAAGAAAATAATAAAAGTATGAAGAATGCTTTTCTTTTTTTTCCTTTTTACTTTTTGTATACCAACATCACTCCAAAATATACAATGAAGATCAAGATTATAAACAATATAATTGGGTTGTAAAAGATTATCAACAATAATATTTTCCGGATATTTTCCATCAAAACGAACACGACCTATTTTCATAGGAACTTGTCCACCACCGAAATCAATCCAATAAACAAAACTAACAAATCATTTATTAAAAACCGAAAATAACATAGAAAATTTTTAATTAAAACATACCCATTTGTTGTGTCAAGATCAAGTGCTGTTGGTCTCATTATACCTGTAGCATTTTTATGATCACTAAATACTATTGTATGATATAGACCATTTAAAGATATTGCATCTATTCGACTATGACGAATATTAACAATAAATAGATTACTAATAAATAAATAAAAAATTGAAGAAAATAATTATTATAAAGATAAACAAAGAATATAACTTAGTTACCGTCCAACAGCATCAATTTGCATTGTACCAGCTTCCATACCAACTAATATTTCATCATCACCATAGAAAACAGTTTCATTGGTGCCATCGAAATTAATTCGACGAATTTCATACTATAAAAATATCAAGTCACGAATGAAATTTATTCATTGATATTTAAAGAAAATTTTCCCGTAGGAATACTGTTGACTTTTTCTTATCAATGAAATTTTATAGGAAATCTAGATCTTATTTAAAGGCTTGTCAATGTAGTCCTGAAGAAGACTAAAATATGAAACTCAAACACATTCTTAAGTCTTATTATAGTAATACAAAATATGTTAAGTGAAAAATCCTTATCTATATTACAAAAATATTTGATTGCTAGTGAAACGAGCTCTCGCATTTATTTATGCCTTTGAAATTGTACTTGTGCTTTCTATTTTTTGTTTATCATAGTGCTATCCACTATTCATTATTCTAACCATCGTTGAATAAACCTGTTGCACATATCCATCGTACCCACGTAAAATCATCAACGGACTATGATATCTGTTCGTAAGTTCAGAAACATTTATATTGAATATTTCCGACAGTAATACCTTGATTAATTTACCACCTTTTTTCGTAACTAACGAACTCTAGGAAAGAAGTAGGACGCTGGTTGTCCTCGATGGCTACATGAAAATATTCCTCATGATCGTTAGTCTTCTGCCATTGCTTTGAAGAGACAGTCGCAAAATTTCGACGTAAAACTTACACTCATTATATTTCTCTTCAAAAACATAAAAGTTCTACATGATCTAGACTATTTATTAGTTTTCTTTTAATTAATATTATACCACATACTGTAAATAACATAGAAAATAACTTCATGTACTCTATATTCATATACTGAATGAAACCTAAATAAGATAATATTAAAATTCTTATCCGTCATATTCTATGAAACATATTCTCCCAAGAGTGTTGAAGTATATAGATTACAAATTTAGATCTCTCTCGAACTGTGACATACGATGTTCATATACAATTATAGGCTGTATATCAATATCGGCTCGTTCGAATGTATTAACTACTTTCATGTAGAAGTTCTGCGAAATAAAGTAAAAGTACATGAAGAGATGTGTTCCAAAATGTATAGAATAAAACAGCCTTTCTGTGATTGGCAAGAGTAATTAAAATATATTTCAAATTTTAATACGACAGAAATTGTGCTAACATCTTTTATCATCAAGTTTGTTTTCTTTGGTACTATAATGTTCTTTATTTGAAAAACAAACTAAAAAAAATGACTTACTATCAGAGTTCCGTCTGCTAGATAGCCTTTAGCTTGTGTCCAATAAATCGTTTCATTAACTTCATCGAATGCAAATTCATAACCATTATGAAGATCAGTTACAGTAACAAAACGTTCCCATTAATCATCATAATTTGAATTTTCATCAATATATTGTTGATTATGTCTTACACTAATACCACTAATTGTATCACGTCTCATATAAATAATAAACGGTGAATGATCTTAAAAGAAACACAATATTTTTACCAAAATAAAAGAAAATTTTTTTACTTAATAACAAAAAAAACCTTTTGAACATGTAATTTGATCTTGGTCAAGAAGGAAACCAGTTGAACATGCACATGTATAGCCTAATGGTGCAGTATGAGAAAGAAGACATAATTGTGTACAACGAGATTGTTGACATGGATTTGGTTCTTAATTGAAATAGAAAAAAAATCAATAAACTGTTTAATTTAAAACAATTTTTTATGTTGTAGAATTTACCATATGGTTGATAGATTTGATGTGACATTTTCATTGAAATTACTCCTGCTCTTGACATAATTCTCTCATGTTTCTGTGCTTTTATTCCATGTTCAAAACGATTTAAACGTCTTACTTCTTTGGAATTTGAATCATACCAATAAAGATATTGTTCATAAACATTGATTGATATTGGTCCATGTAGAAAATGTGTATTACCTAAAATTTTTCGTCGATTTTCACCATCATAATTAACAACTTCAATATAGTTTAAATGATGATCTGTAAAATAAATTTCTTGACGTATTAAATCAAGTGTTAAACCAACTGGCATTTCAATGGAATCATTAACGATACTAACACGTTGTTGACCATCCATACTAGCACGTTCAATACGTGGATTTTTACCCCAATCAGTTAAAAATAAATATCGTAAACCAGCACGTGGATCAACAGTAATTGACCATGGATTTGTTAAATTTTCATGAAATAATATTCGACGATAACGGCCATCAAATGTTGAAACTTCAACATGTTCAAGCATATAATCTGTCCAATATAAATTATGTCCGATCCAATCAAATGCCATATCAGCTATATAACTATTACCACTTGTAATAAGCTAAATCAATTAATTAATTATTATATAAGTCAATTTTCGTTTTGGCAAATAAATTTATTTACTTTAGTATAATTATTTGCTCTTTCCGTACGACTATAGATTATATTTGTTACTAAATCAGACCAGAAATATGTATTCGTTCGATTATCAATATCAAATGCAACTATATAACGCATATTAGGACCAAGATTAATTTGACCATAGGTTTGTAATGTTGGTGAAAACCATTCCATTGTTGCTTGACGCACAGTTAATAAACGAATACCAGTTTCATCTGAACAGATTAAATATTATCGTTATGTATATAAGGATTTGATTTGTACGTTTAAAAAGTCTTAGGGACAATCAAAAATTGATTTAGAATCTGGTGAATATTAATAAAGTTTTGTCCTTCTTTGAATCAGAATAATAGATTCATATAGTTTTCCGATTTCGTAAACTGGCGTATGACTAGAAATAAAACTCATCCTGCAAAATCATTTTTTCTAGTTCTGATTTTAAGGTGAATGTTTTCAATTGATGGATCATTTTGAAATTTAGACTCTAGGCATCAGGTAGATGTCAGTGAGATATGAACAAACTCAAAAGAAAAACGTTCCTGAGATCTTCCGTTCAGAATTGTTGGCATATACTGAAGTTTTAGTTTCTGACATGATACATACTAACAAATTAAATGACCATTTCTTGATTATCCTGAAAAATTTTACGAATAGAAAAATACTTTGATTACTATTGAATCACATTTTCAGACTCCTCTGATATAACTTATCATTTACGATGGAAAAGTGTCTAAGTCAGAATTTAGATCGATAGAAGACTTTCGTGGAAGTTATAAATAAAGATGATTGATTCGTATCGATCCCTTCATCAAAGTCATTTTACGAATCATAACTAAAAGAACTCGATGAAAATTTGTTAATCAACACATTTGTTATTTTGCTTTTTTTTCTCTATTAAAATTGAGAACTTTTATGAAATATTTATTCATTGATACACTTACTAATAATTTTACAACTATGTCCATCTGTTTGCAATATAAAACCTTCGGCACATGAACATACAAAACTTCCATTTGTATTTAAACAATACTGATGACATGTATTTGGATCATCTGTACATTCATCGATATCTAATCAATCATCAAACATCAACATTGAATCATTTGTTTTATTCGAACAAAAACAAAACAAACAAAAATTCTTTTACCTTCACATTTTTTATAATTTGTTGTATTTCGTACACGAAAACCTGGTTGACAAAGACATAAAGCACCAAATGGTGATCGATGACATGTATGACTACAACCACCATTATCAATTGAACATTGATCATTGTTACATAATGGTGATTCATCGCCACCACCAGGACAATCAGGTTTACTTTTAAAAACAAAATTCATTAACATAGAGCACTTCTTTTAAGAGTCTGCTACACTCAACATTGACTTTATCGATAAAGTTAAGTCAAAGACATTAAGAAATTTCCAGGGAACTAATAAGAGTAATTTCATTCGACTTCAATAAAGTAACTATAACTTCTGTTACAATCTCGAAAGACATACTCAATAAATGAATAAAAAAAATTTACCCATCACAGACTTGTGTAATATTTACACATTGATGAATTGTTGTGCCAGGACATACCATTTGATTTTCCGGGCATGAAAAAGGTGTATTTTCTATCATCATTGATCAAAAGTTAACATTTTCATTGACAAAAAAAGGAAAGTCTAAATAATTCTTACGACATAGTTCTGCATTTTCATCCGAACCATCATCACAATCATCCTTAATAAAGTTGAAATATTTTTCAAAGTTTTCAAAAACAAAGAAACTCTTTACTTCATGATCACACATCCATCCTTTCGGGATACAATCACCTGTTGATACACAACGAAATTCATTTGATGTACAATTTCGTGCACCTATAATTAATATTATTTAATCGTTTTTTTTTTCTATCAATAAGATACGAACCACAACTTGGCGGTTCATCAGATCCGTCAGCACAATCTAAATAAATTTAATTTAAATAAAAATTCTGTCTTTTTTTCTTCTTTTGAAATATCTCTTTTTGTTTACCTCGATGACCATCACAACGCCAAGCCTAATTAAAGCAAAGAATTTTTCAACAAAAAAAACCATTCATCTCTTTAAAAATTTCAACTTACATTTGGTATACAAGTTGATCCACAACGGAATTGATCTGCCCGACAAAATGATGGTGGTGAACCCGCACAATTTCGTTCATCTTCCATCGATTGACAATCTAAATAAATTTATTAAATATTTCAATTACTCTATAAATATTGACATACCTGCAATACCATCACACCGTCGAGTTGCATTTATACAAGTACGATCACGTGAACATAAAAATTGTCCAGCACCACAACTTATTGGTGGACAATCAAGTTCTTCAGAACAAATTTTATTCTTAACAACGAATAAATAAATTTCTTTATTAACTTACCATCAGCGTTATCACCACAATCTAATAGTTTGAAATAAATAAGAAATATATATATTAAGATTAAAAATTAAAGAAAAAAACAACTAAATTTTACCATTTTGACCATCACATTTCCATCCTAATAAGAAAAAAAGAACGATTAGTTACAAACAACAGAAATTTCGTGTTCTTACATACCATTCGGAATACATTTACCAGGTGTANTATTCAGAAATAGCACAAAATTCTGGTTTTAATCCATAGTTTTCGACTCGTCTGAAATATTTTCAAGTGGGTCAGATATAAACAAACATTTTGTGCGAAAACTTTCGATCCACCCGTTATTAAAACTATCTTGTATTCTAATGCCTGTGGGCATTGAAATTTATGAGAAAATTAAATAAAACTTCTAAGAATATTTACTAATATAATATTGAAAAAAATAATACAAATCATTTAAATCAACTAAGAGAAATTCTCATTTTTTTTCATGTCGAACTTTGAGGCGTCGTACATTTTATGGATATTCTTTCTTTAATTTATATAATTCGAACATGAAACTCAATATCACATACCCTTGTAATGGATCTAAGGCAATACCATGTATACCAGTTGTTCCATTAATAAGAGTACGTTGTGGAAAATCTCTACCATTTATTCGAACAACAAGAAGTTGACTTTCGCTTATTGATGTCATATAAAGTAATTTTGAATACCAATCATATGCTAAAGCACTAACTACTGGAAATATTTTTGATGTTGTAACTGGTGTTGGTTCTATAATTTTAATGATAAAGAAAAAAATAAAATAAAAATCATTGAAAAATAAATATTAACTTACTTTCACCATCCATTTTCGATGAATAAATCATTTGACTTCTTTGAGCATAAAAATAAACAGTTTTTTCTTCATAATCAAATACAGAATCTGATATAGCCGTTCGTCGATCAGGTACAATTGGTGGTCGAGCTTCAATATTTGAATCTCGAATAAAATCAATTCCACGAATAGAAGTTAATCGTGTTAGAAGTATAAAATCTTTCACCGCTAGATAATATAAAGAAAAATAAATATATATAAGTTTTATATCAATAGAACTCTTTTGTTTTTGTCTTTTCATCTTACGTTCACATGATTTTAAATCTGATTTTAATCTAAAACCTGATTGACATCGACATTGATAACTATTTGCTAATAAATAACCTCGTCCAAGTAAACATAAATGTTCACAACCACCATTATATGTTCCATTACATGGATTTATTCTACTTGGTTGTCGTGTTTCATGATAAACAGCTATTCCTTGTGGTCGAATAAATGATTCAGGTTTATAAAAATAACTTGTATTTGAATTAAAATGACGTCGAAGTTGTAATACAGCACCTTTCACATCATCCGTTAAATAAAGATTATTTTCAAATAAATCAATTCCAACTGTAAATGGAATATTTTGACTACCGGATGTTATCGTTACTCTATATAATAATAATAATAATAATCATAAGAATAATTTTGATTATAAAAAAAAAAAGACGAAGAATTTCTTTTGAGAAACACAATTTAAAAGGAGTATTGAAATATCGAGGTAAAAATTTGAACTTTCGTAAACTATGGAAAACGCAAGGCAAAGACTATCGAATGCCGTAACAGATGCCATAGTAACGTCTATTCTTTTCATGCTGGATATTTTGTGATATACGATTAAAGATCATATATCAAAAACGTCTAGAGTATACTATACGAACTATTTTCTTTTTGAAGAATTAAGTAAAACGATGATTAAGAAGTAGATCCCAAAATACATAGAATAAAGCAATTTCTCTCCTTGATTAGCAAGAGTAGCTAAATTGTGTTTCACATTTTAATTCCACAAAGATTATGCTAACAGCTTTTACCTTCTTGATCCATGATAATCACAACTTTCAACATGATCATAAGATCGATCAACCCAATAAACTCTTTGCTTAATAAAATCAACCGTTAAGTCACTTGGTTGTTCTAATTTTTGATCAATTAATGTTATACATAATGTACCATCAAGAAGACATCGATTAATTCTTGCGGGTATTCGATGCCAATTACCTTCATCAGCAACAAATAAATATTCAGCTATTGGATCAATAGCTATAGCTACTGGTTGATAAAGATTATTAATAATTATATTTGTTTTCATCATTTTTTCATCTAATGACAACATATCAATACGTGCTAATTCATATTCAACAATATATATTTTATTTGTTATCCAATCAACAGCAATTGATATTGGCATACGAATATTTTTTTCAAGAACAAGTCTTACCGATGACGTTGGAGATGATAATGATAATGAAAAAATCTAAGAAAATTTTCAATAATTAATAAATAATTTGCCGAAAAAAAAAATGTTCGTTTTTTTTTTTTTATTACTTTATGTGCATATGGATCAGTAAAATAAAGTGATTGATTTCGATAATGATAATCAATAGCATAAATGGTCATATTTTCTGGACCAGTATATATTATTCGTGCATTGCGAAGTCGATCAATTTCATAGATTTTATTTGCTATAGCGACAAACATTTTCATATCATCACCTAAACATAATAAATAATAATAATTATCATTGTAAATTTTATTTTAAAATCAATATTTACTCTTTATATGTTTACATCGATTGCCAACTTCAAGTGTATAATTTGCTCGACAAGTACAAACATATCTACACATATATAGTATAAAAGAAGTGAGGTTGATAGATGATGAAATTGGCCTCTTGGATCCGTTTGATTTTCTTGTATGTCAAACTCTCATAAAAAGTGTTCAAAAATGATTTCTAATGGAATGAGTCTTATCGCACTTGTTTGTGCTGTGCCTAGGCTGATTGAAATAGCTAATGACTGTTACATGTACACTGAATCCGACTGTTGATGATAATTAGCACTGTTATCTAGCAATTTGATGACCTGTTAGGCTAATTTTCATTTAGCTTGACAAAACTTTTTCAATGCTACAGGATATTATAAAAATAACGAGAAAAAAAACACTAGTCGTTGAGAATAATTTTAAGGACTCGATTTTGGAGAAATGATTTTACGTCTTTTTTTTTGACTGGTATTTAATTGATTTCTTCGTCTAGAAAACATGCGAGCTATGTGAGTTGCGAGTATTTTCATAGAATTTTCTTTTTCATTGAAAAAATTACCTCTCAGGAATGAGTTTACAAAAGGAACTTAATCAAAACATTATTTCCATAATGGGAATGAAGTTTTAAGAGTGTAAAAGGACGCAGATAATTAAATAATAAAACCTGCATTTTTATAGAATTCATCTTTTGACTAATTCCTGAGGAGAACTAGAGGGGAATTTTTCGATGAAAAAAAAAAAAAAGTCATACAAAAACTTGAAAATCACATAGATCTACTCAGTTTTGAGTGTTAATTTAGAATATCCTATTAGTTTCATATAACTCGCACGTTTTATGATCGAAACCTACTAAATAACAATAAAAAAAAGCCATAAAATTATGTCTCGAAAATAGTACTCTTAGAATATTTCTTAAAGGCCGGCGCTTTTTTGTTATTTTTATAACATTTTGTAGCGCTTGAAAACTAGTTTGATCATTCATCAAGTTCATAGATAAAAATGCTGATTATCATCAGTAGTCGAATTCAGTGACCATGTGACAGTCATTATCTATTTTAATCAAGCTAAATATAGTACTAACAAGTTCTATAGAATTAATTCCATCAAAAATGACTTTCGGATATCTTGTATGAGAGTTTGAAATAAAATAAAAAACCGAAACTGCTCAAGGAAGTCGATCTCATCTATTATCAATCTTTTTTCTTTTCATATCATAAAAGAATATGTTTATTTAACATACGATCCAATTGTATTTTGACAATCTTGATCACATTCATCCCAAATTTCACATTCATTAACATCTGTAAGCCAAAAGAATCAAAATGAAATTTTTTTTTCCAAGAAAAAAAACTTTTTTTTTTCAATATTCTTACCAATACAAGAACGATTATCAACTGGATTAATTTGAAATCCAAGTGGACAATAACATTTACCACGACCATCTGGTGTTGGTCGACATGCATGTTCACATGAGAACAAACCACAAAATTGAGTACCTTTATTTTATTTTCAAAATAAATCAATCAATTAAAATCCACGCGCCACATATAAAAACAAGAATGAATATTGATGATCTTCTTTCATCAGTAACAACAACTCAAACAAAACTTTATCTTGGTTGGACATATATGAATTTATTTAGTTTAATATTTATTCTTCTATGGTCATTATTATCTATAATAGCTATTTATTATCTATGGTATTCATTTAATCTTTTTCAATTTGAAATACAAGATATTACATTTGAAATAGTCGATTTTCATACGAATGAAATTGATACGAAACCAAGAGAAATATTTCGTCTTATTAATTTACATGATGATACATCATCAAAAGCTATTTTAACTGTATAATTAATTTTAAATGAATATTTTCAAAATCTTTAAAGATTCATCGAGAAAAAATAATGAACATTTTATATTAATTAGACTTATTTCAGAATGATAAATTTAACTTACCACATTGTGAACTTTCATCTGTACCATCAATACAATCTTGTTGACCATTACATACTTTAGTTATATCAATACATTGACCAGTTACATTACATGGATACATATGTGGTGGACATTGTCTTGCGCTACAATGCATTTCATCACTACGATCAAGACAATCATCATCACGATCTAATTTATAAAATAGTCAATTGACATAATTGGTTTTCTATTTAAAAAAAAGAAATTTACTTACCACAAACCCATGATGATGGAATACATCTTCCATTAGCACATCGAAATTGATTTGATGTACAGTTAGGTCGTGCTATAAAAACGAAAAAGTAAAAAAAAGAATATATCAATAAAAAGAAAATATAAAGAGTATGCCATAATAACTGAGAATAAATTGTCAAAGACATTTTTCATCCTTTTTGTTTGATGTAGAAGGCTGAAATTTTTATTACACATATATATATATCTAATCAAGATCTTTAATTTTCCAAAACATCAGCACTCTAGGCATATAGACAAAATTAACATGCATGAATAGATGCACTAGATTTTTGTAATATTTTTATCACGAAAGAATGGCTAAGATTTGTTTTAACTATATAGGCATGAATTTATATCTAAAACCTTCTAGATATAATAATAAATTTTATCTAAAATGTTCACCAGTTACGAAAACATAAAAGATCAGAAATATTTTGTATTGAATGTAAATCGTCTTACAATAATATTAAGTATTAGTCGTACGATTTGTAGCACAATTATTTAGCAAATGTAGATAACAACACTAAATTTGGTAACATTATGATGAACTGAAAATGTGTAGAGTGCACTGAACGAAAAAGTTCACGGAAAAGTGCTTGATACATTATTATAATTAGAAAAAGAAATAAAGAATTTACACAAAAATCAAGCACCAAAATTCGTGTGTCTCAACCTTGCCGACAATAGTTTTAGCTAGAGAGATGAAACTTTGGAAAAATTAAAGGTCTCGATAAAACTAGAAAAGTCTTAAATGAACTCTTACTGATGGGCCTCTGAAGCTGAATTATTACCATGTTATTGAATTTTAGGTCCAACTTTAGGTATATACTGAAAAATCAATAAGACTGTCATAACTCAGCTTCAGAGGTTTATGAGTACGAATCCTTTTAGAATTTTTCTAGTCTTATCTAAACTTCCTTATAAATTCAATATGAGCTCAAATGGTGGATATCAATACGGGTAGTTCCCTTATCGGCTATTGTTGTTCTTACTGCAATTTGCTTCATCGGATCCATCAAAACATTGTGAACGAAAATCACAACGTTGATAACTTGGTATACATCTACCATCGGATATACATCGAAATTGATATGTTGAACATGCTGTACTATCTAGAAAAATGGATAGATTATGTAAATGAACAGTTTGTTTTTATAAAAACAAAAACTACATACTGCAATTCAGTTCATCAGTTCGATCATCACAGTTATAATAACCATCACATTTTTGTGTTAATGGTAAACATCGTTGTACATCACATTGATATTCAGTTGCAGGATCACATTGACGATAATCTAGAAATTATAAGTATTTTTTTAACTAGAAAAAAACCAAAAAAACTTACTGCAAAATGCTCCTTCATCACTACCATCATTACAATCTTTTACATGATTCTACAAAAAAAAAGTATCAAATAAATCTTTTCTTTTAAAAGAAAAGCTAAAATAGACGTACACATTTCATGGATGCATCTATACATCGGGAATCATTACATTGAAATTGTGTACTTAAACATCTTCTTGGAGCTAAACAATAAAAAAAAAAAAAGTCAATTTTACTAGAATGATCTTATAAGAAAAACCAGCAAAAACATACGACAATTCTGTTCATCAGTATTATTTCCACAATCATTATCACCATCACATACCCATGAACGAGGTATACATCTATCACCACAGTCGAATTGTGAATCCGAACATCGTGGATAAGCTATTATTTTATGAGTTTAAATCTTAATATTATTTTATATTATTTTATACATACTACAATTTCGTTCATCAGACGCATCAGTACAATCATTAATTCGATTACAACGCCATGATAATGGTATACAACGACCGCCTGTTTCACATCTCCATTCATTGATACCACAAGCATCTAATAGTAAAATAAAAATTAATCTTATTCTTCTTAGTTTATTTACTAATTTTACCTGTTATTGAATATAGCAATAAAACTTTAGAACAAAAGAGAAATAAAAGTATTTTCAAATTCATTGATAAATTATCTAAAACATTTATTCAAAGAAATACTTCTCGTTTGTTTCTTATTTATTCGATTCTAGAATACAGTCGAACAACGTTGAGTATATATATATATATATATAAAACTACTGCTACCTTACCGTCGCAAAAAAAAAGTAAAAGAAAAGAAGATGACCGACTCATATAGACACATACAAACACTCGCATCTGATTTCAATTTTATTCAATGATAATAATCCTAACAGTGGTACAATTCTATTTGATAATCTTAATCATTTTTTGATTCGCTTGAAATAGAAGCATATAAATAAGAATAAAACGAACGGAATTTGAGTAAATTGCGAAGGCACAACATTGTCAAATCATTGATTATATTGAAATACTAGATAGAACAATCAATAAGGGTATTCTTTGATTTTTTGTTCTTCTCATAAAAAAAAAGAAAATAACAATCATCTTCTCTTTTTTTTTTCTGTTTTACACAAACCTATATAAAAGATTGATGTTATAAATAGACAGCAAATCTCACTTGTCTTCTTCATCTCAAATGATAAAACCAAAGTGTCTTTATTCTCTCTCTTTTTCGCTTTTCGCGCACCGTTTACATATAAAATTGAAAACAATCTTCTTATCTTATTTGACTCGATGGTGATTTGTTTGTACATTATTGTACTACATCTCTTCTTCTCTTTTTTTTTTCAAGTGTCTGTATTTCTAACCGCGTAAATTTGTAAAAAGAAAAGAAATTTTTTTTTTCTAATTTTGGTTATAACAAAAAAATCGACGATGAGAAAAAAAATTTATTTCATAAACGAAAATAATATTTTAAATGATGGTATGTAATCTTTGTATGAAGTAATTACCAACAATCAAACAGTTAATGCTTAATGGCAAAAAATAGGCTGTTTGCATATTTTTATCGATTTGACCTTTTATCTCTTTGAGTATAAAGGCAAAAAAAAAAAAAACATTAAAGATTCAATAACGAATCGAATGAGAAAGAAAAAAATCAAAAACGAAAATCATCCATGATTGATAAAATGAGACAAGTTTGTTTCTTTTTCTCGTTTCATGTGCATAAAGATAATATTTCGAGTTATTGAAACAATCATTTAATATCATTTCATTCTGACTGAGAGAAGGAGACGGATCGATTAGAAGATTTTTGAATTTCGTTCACGGGGATGCGGGTGGTGCGATTTGTTGGCTATTGGTGAGCAAAATAGAACGATGGAAGTTCACTGGAATAAACGGAAAATTTTTCAAGATAGAAAAATCATCCCTCCCTTCACATTCTCATCTTTCATTGTTTTTTTTTTCAAAATTAACATCGTATGGCTCTATTAAATAATCTGTCATAGTTATTCATATTGTAGTTTAACTATTATGGATTCATATTCAGTTAGTGAACAAACACGTCGTATTTTATCACCTTATAATCGACATTGTTATAGATTATTTAATTTAAATTTACGAAATCATTTTAAAACTATAAAAATAACATTAGATGAAATTATGAATAACTTAAATACAAATTTGTATTCATTGAAAAATTTAAAAGAAATAAAAATTTATCAAAAAAAAATTTTTAAAATAAATCAAATTTTAACAAGATTACATAAAAAACGATTCATATTTAATAATAAAAATAATTCACTTTTTTTATATCTTCGTAATTTTATTTATATTCTTATCAAATATATAACACAAATTGAAATATGTAAGTCAAATGAAATAAATATATATTAAAAATCTTTTTTTTTTATTTTTTACAAATAAGGTATTCATGGAATTGAATGGCTAAAAAAACATTTCAATCATATAATTAGTTTTAATGGTTTTATTAAACAACAACAAGAAGAAATTATAAGAACACAACTAATTTATATTGTTAATAAAATTCGAAATGAAATAAAAAATAAATCATATCATAAACAAGCTGACTTTCTTATGATTACATTTGATATTCTATGTAGTGTTCGATCAACACAAGATTAACATCCATCAATCGTTGTGTATGTTGAATTTTAATTGTTATATAAATTTGATCTTTATTGATAATTTTTCTTTTCTTTTTATTTCGTTAGATTGAAATAAAGATGTATATGATCGAATGATGTTGATGTCAAGGTTTGATGAGTGCAAACATATTCATGTTTAAGATAACATAAAACAATCAATTGTGATAAAAAATAGTCAGATATTATTAGATTTACTTTTTCTTTTTGTTTCAACGCATGAAATAAATGATCGTATGAATTAGATTAACACAAGAAAAAGAAAAGTAAAGGACAAAGTTCAAGGAAACCTGATTAGTTATCGAAATATTTTCGATGAAAGCTAATGGTTCACATTAGAATTTTATACAAATTTATGCTCTTATAAAAATAAGTAATAGAAACGAATATGTTCAGTATTTTGTATTATAATACTAAAGAAAAAATAAACAACAAGATTCGAGAAGGAATCATCTTATTATTGATGATATTAGCATACATTTATTTTAACTGCTATTCAGTATTATTTACAAAGAAATTTTATGCATAAAAATATTCATCTTTTAGAAACACATTGAATAACGAACATAATATTTTTGTTGATACTATTAAATAGTAGAGTTCATAGAAAAAAAATATTACAGTTTTGGCCAGATTTTGTGACTTCTGAATTTCTAAAACTCTCAAAAAAGTACAACTTCACCTAGGAAAAATCTCGGAACCCACGAAAACTCAAAGATCTTTAGGAGCGGTATGGGTTTTGGTTACGGTTACCGTTCTCTATTCAGCCACAGTCACACCCATACTTGACTGTCTACGGAAAAGATTGTACTATATATGTTTGTTATTTCTCGTGGCATGTTTGAATGTAGAACATCATTGCAGTTGTTTTAAATTTGTGGATAAGCATACTGTGATGATGTCAATTTCGTTTGAAATTCTAGGATTAATCTTTTACTTGAATTTCAATAAATTCTTAATTTTTTTATGATTGTTTGAATGATGAGGCTTCCTTGAGTTTTGTGGGTTCCGTGAAAGAAGTTGTACTTTTGAAATTCCTATAAGTTCAGAACTTACAGAGTCCGGACGCGTCACAGATGTAGAATAGTCTGACGCGAAAATGACTATTTTGTTCAGATTAAATTATTCCGATAAATAGTTTAGATTGACTCATATTGGAACAAAAGACCGTTTAATGAAATGGAAGGACTTTTTAAGTATCCGTATCATCTTTTACAATAAATGATGAATAATGAGATGCCTCTGGGGTATGAATCAGATAATAGAAGGATAATCATGTTGCTATCACCTTTTTGAGTAAGAATCAAATGATAGTAAGGAGACAAATTAAAAGGTAAGTATGCTCTTCGCCGAAAAGCACTTCATCGAAAGCATTTTCTGGTCACGCAGGGAGCTCCAAAGGTGTGGATGTTGGAAAAATGAGTTGACCTCTTCATGCTTAACAAGCCAGTATAAAAATTAAGAGGATTCCAACAGTCTAAAGTGGCAAACGAATCTTTCGACGAAACGATTTTCGGTGAAGTGCATTACAACCGACATTTTTCTCGTCTTAATTGACAGTTAAATGGGATCTACTTTATCATGATTACGAAAATTAAAAATTAATTCCTCTATTTTTATTAATATTCTGTTCTCTAACTAACTTACAATAAAAGGAGTCGTTCAAAATTAAGAATGATGTCAACGGTTGAAAACATATTCGATGAATATATGTTTTTTTATATATTTCATTATGTTTGGTTTACAACTTTGGAATTTCATTTGTTTCATATGAAATGGTGTATCGAGAATTTCTCTAGGTAGAGTAAATTATTTATACTTTTTCATATAGTAAAACTAAAAAAAATTATTGAAGCGCAAAGAAGTACATGAAAATACAATGTATTCTTGTTATTTCTCAACAACAATTGTCTATTAATGTTCTTTAAGAATTTTTAGACTGTAAAGTAAATTAGAAAGAATTTAGTTTAAAAATAACTGTAATATTTTTTGTGCGATAATTTTATATTAGTTTAAACATTAATTTTGATGATTTCAATTTAAGAATATGTAAATTACATAGGTTTCAATTTATTTTTAAGTTTAAATTACGGAAATTTAAAATTGAAATAAAATTCAGTCATGATGAGAAAAAAACAATAAGTTTTTTCATTTTATATTATTTTTTTTTTATTTGACTTTTTTCCATGTGAAATAATTTGAGAGTGTGCATGTTATAGTTCCATCAGCTAGGTGATTGGTAAGTATCATATTGAGTGTATGATTGAATCTAACCTTCTTTCTTATACTTCTATCATTTAGACTTGTCCAGACTTGACTAGTGCATAAGGCTAGAATTCGTCGTATTCAGCGTCATGGACACTCATCCTCTTTTATTTAAGATCGTTTATGGATGGATGTCGAGGTGCTATCACATGGTTAGTCGTTTTCTAAAAAAGACTAGATATAAAAAGCAGAATGGCGGCCATTGGTTTAACAGTCAGAAGGTGAGTTGTAGACTAGAAATGATTTGGAATTGTAGGCGTATGCTAGAATGTTGTGATAAAATGATTAGACAAGACGTACTGTTACAACTAGAAAAACTAGTAGTATGTTTTTATTTGTGTTTTGTTTGCATGGATAAACAATTTCTTCCCTCTTACAAAGCTTCCGGACTTTATTTTTTCGGAAATTATTGGAATGCTTTTATAAATCTAGTTATAGATGTTATCATGAAAAAAAGTAACTAGACTGAAGACAGATACGTAGATGAGGGTGAGGGCTGATGCTTCAGAACTATGGCTCCCTTTTAATACAGTTAAAATGTATTACATGCTGTCAATAGAATAAGTCCTGACAAATTTGGTGGGTTAAATAAATTCAGGTCGCTCTGACATCGCTATCTGAAAACAAACGATACAGGAAAAATTTATTCATATTGTATCTTGTAATACTAGACTTATAATAATCTTACTAAAATGACTGATAACTATAAAATATGAGTGAATCTATTCTCAAGAGTATGTCAGATAGTTTCAAATTACAAGAAATAACCTTCGACAACATTCATAATCAATCATCGAACAATTAATGAATTGTAAAAATAAATTGTTTTTCGAAGGATAAAATAACAACAAAAATTTCGACCATGAACAACGTTTGTAAAAAAAGAAATATACTTTGTACATTCCATAGCATATCAATAATCATTGCATACAATCTATCTTATTACATATCAAGCTGATAGTCTATTGACCTTGACGGAAGGTAATATTCAAGTTGATAAAGGATACAATTATATAGTTACAGCCAAAAGGATAAGACATGCGTACATAATTACAATAAATTCAGTCTTATCTTCAAACGATGACACATTCTTTTCAGTAAAACTATTTATATTCATTCGTGAAAAAACGCCATAAATAATTTTACATAATAAAAACATGTCTGATCTATAAATTTTGATTTTAGTTAAAATCAGAACTATTTTTGTTTGTATAAAACTAGTGCACATAAAATTATCTCTAATACTAATGTAAGACGATCATAATTAATCTAATTTATGTTTATTTATTCAATGTATATCTTGTATAATAAAATTTAGTGGTTAGAATTCAATGAATGTCAATTTCAAGTATACATATTGAGATAAAATAATATTCTAAAGTAGTTGGATATATATATATATATTTCTATCAATTCTAATTAATAATTTTCTTTTTCAAAAAAAAAATGCATTTATTGAAATTATATTGAAAAAATAAAATGTCAATCGGATTCTTCTGAAGATGATGATGATGAATCCGATTTCCAATTTTTACTGTCATCCATAAGTATATTTGAATTGCCAAGCATGTGTGGTGGTGCTTGATTATTTGTTAGACCATAATATTTAAGTGTCCGTTTACTTTTAAGTACTTTACCATTGAATATAAGTCGACAACCTTTAGTAAATTTCGGTGGAAGAGCAGTTCGAATTTTTGTTTTTAATTCACCTACTGTTGTCTTTTCATTAAGAAGTATAACAACGAAAGTATCATCTGATTTACGTGTAATTGTTAGTTGTACTTGATTCACTGTCGTCGTCATTTGAGAACAAATATGCTTGCAATCGATACGGATGATAGAATACAGAGGGAAAATATATGTGATCTATACGTGTTTTAATGAAAAGAAAATAATATTTTTCTTTTCTTAATTATTCATGGTATAAAAATCAAGGGTTATTATTTTTATTCTTTCGTTGTTTTTTCTTTTCTAATCCTATCGATAAATAAATGCTAATAGTCTAAAGTAAATATATTACAATATATATTTAATTAAAATGTTTAAAACAAACTATTTTTTTTTTTTATCACACTTTTACAAAATAAAAAATAGTAAAAAGCACCTCAAAATGTAATTTATTCACATAGATTTAAGAAAAACAAAAACACTAAATTAACGAAAGCCAATCATCTGTTATTGCCCAAACACGTTGAAAAGATTTTTCATTAAATATATTTTGATTTCCTGTATGAACACGATGAAGAATTTCCGTTTGTTTAAAATGTTTTGATTCAAACATTTTCATTCCTATTCGATTATCTTCAGGTAATGAAAGTAACATCATACCATCATAATCAACAGCACATTGTCTTAATAATAATAAAGCTACATTTGAATTTTCAGCATATAATGGTCCACATTTAATAAATGCGTGACTAAAATTTAAAATAACATAACCTATTATAGAATTTGTTTTTGTTGAACGTGCAACATAACCAGCTATGGAATATGTATGTTCACGTAATTGTTCAAAATAATGTATACGATATGTTGGATATATTTGATGATCGTAAGTAGCTATATCAAGTATATCAGACGATTCAAATAACTGTAAATGAATATCATCTTCATTGATATGTGTTACATTTAAAAATTCGCTTAATTTTCCAATAAGATTAACCAATGTAAAAGATGCTTGAAAACCATAACGAATATAGAATGGTAAATGTTTGGGTAAAATATTAGCATGAATAAGATTGGTTTCATTGGATTTGATTTTAAAAACATAATTTGTTAATAATTCACCAATACCAAATTTACGATAGTCGTTACGAACATAAACAAGACCAAGCATTAGTATGGGTGGAGTAAAATTATTATTAAAGTTCCATTGTTTTATTGATGCATGAGCTAATAAACCATGTTTAGATACAATTACATATGAATGTTTTGGTCGAAATGAATAATAATACATTGAAAAATCAACTGATGCACTTTGAAATATTGAACAATTAGTAAAGAATGCTTTTAAATCATAGATATCACGAGATATCATTGGACGTATAAATAAATTGAGTACTTCGATTTTTTCATCTCTAAAAATAATATAATAGATAAAAGATGAATATTAATGTTTCCCAAGGGGATTGATCTCATTATTTTCTATAAATTGATTTAATCGTAATGTCTTTTCTTTTCTTTTCTTTTTCTTTGATATCAAGTTTATTTTATTTTACCTGTAGAGCCAAAATGAATATTGACTTGTTAATATTGGAGCCATAGCACAACAGGATGTCTCACTAGAGCATTCATGATCCGACATTAGTAAAGAAATATCTATATGATTGATAATACAAAAAAAAATAAAATGAATAAATGTGCCAGTTGATAATATTAAAATTTCTATATTTCCATTATCAGTCGTAACAAATGGTTTATGCTGAGTTAATATAACGCAATGACCCTACCCAACTGTGTATGTATGTTTCATGCTATTTCCATTAGAACAGTAGCATCAGCAGGAGGATAAAGAAGAGAGAATGAGGAGGATTACTTTTTCTTCTATTTTTTCTCTTTCGTTTTCTGTATTTTTTGTCGATCTAACGTTTGCATCTTCTATTGCAATGCGATCAATCTAAAAGAATTTATTTAGAATAATAACAGAGACAACACAATGAAAGAATAACAATGATAGTAATAATAGATAGGAAAGACAAGAAGCAAAGAAAAAAAAGAATACTTTTTTTATCGACGATACTCTACATCCGTTTCTATTACAAACATTTTCTTTTCTTTCTATTGGATATCAGCCATCTCTTGTCTTGTTATTCATTTAGCTTTTTAGCCTATTCATATAAATAATCTTTTCAGCAATAGAATAATATAAACAGAAACCATCTGTTTATATAAATGTCATTTGATTGATCGCGCAGTTTTTTTTATTAATATATAAAAAAACAAAAACAAGAAAGAAAAAAAAAACATAATTTAAAAATTAATTTCTAATACTGTAATTTTCTTTTTTAAAATTTATGCGTCCACTAACAAAAAAATTTCGTCAATATCAATCATTATCATTATTTTCTCATTCATCAAATATGATAAATAATAGTTCATTTAGTTTTAATATTGAACAATTAGAACAATCAATAAAGATTGATGTTGAATCTCATATATTATTAAATTTATTATTATATGCTAAAGAATTAAATAATTTATTTTATAATGATGAACGATTTTCAAATAATTATTTTCAAAAAATTGAAAATAATCTTTCAAATATTCAATCAAATAAATTAATAAATGATTTAATTAAATTGATTAAATATTATTTTGAAAAATATTTATTATCATCTATAATAATACGTTGTTATATACAAATACATGTACCATCATCACAATCAGGTAATAATCAAGGTGTTAATATACAAAATCAAATATTAAAAGAACTTGATGATATGAAAATAATAATTGAAACAAATGAAAATATATTTATTGATTATTATAAAAAACATTATGAAATATTAAAATATTTAAATAAATTTCCATCTATTGAAGATTACCATTTATATTTAATTGAATATGAAAAAAAAATTTTTTATGATTTACGGTCAATTATTTTAGAATTACGTACAATTTTTTTAAAAACATATGATATTATTATGAAAAACTTAACTAAAATTCAAATGCCTAGAAATCAACAAAGTATATCTATGATTAATTAGAAAGAAAGAAAAAAAAAACAAATTCTATTATTCTTATTTCTTCATGTGAATAATAATTCTATTGATAAGACATTATACATCTCACAAGTATAAAAGTTATTGTTGAAATCTCTTGACAATTTCTTTTCTATTATGTGTTATTCAATGATAAGAAACTAAATTTTATGAACATTAAAAAAGAATCCATTAAAACTTTACTTATACTAATTGCTTTAGTTTTTTTTTTTCTGCATCTAATCTTCTCATTTTGAATGTATAGCAAATAATCAGAAAAGTTCGGTTTATTTTTGTATTTATACTGAGTATTACCAAGAGTTATGAAGTTCAAATAGGTCAAATCTTTAGAATGAAATTAAATGAAGCAGGAAAATTGTCAAATTTGACTCAGGTTTTCTATCTTATGTTTGATCTTTATATATGACATGTTATTTTATGCTATCGACTAATTGATGAGTATTACTGATTACAACCTTTCCTCTTGTCTATTAAGTTTGAATGTAAGATTGTTTAAACATTAATCGAAAGGAAATGAATTTTATTCAAGTAGAATATCTACGCTGATAGTCAAGCGGTCATCCGAGAGGAAGCAAACTGATTTCTTGATTTCTATCACTGAAAATCAATTGTCATCGTACATCAATATGAAATCATCGGAAATACTTAGAAATGAAGGATAAATCAAGGAAATCATTAGAAATCAAGGTTTTATTTTTAATTTTATTACTGGATATTTTCTTTGATTTGGAATGATTTCTGATAGTTTCTAATAATATCTAGCATACAAATCAGTTTGTTCCCCCCAATGAACTTTTTCCCCTTTGTTTTCTTTTGGTGTTTTTATTAGCATACTTTATCTATTATTAAGGATATTATATAAAAAGGTCCTAATTACTTTCTATCCCTTTCAAGTGATATTCTTTTCTTAGAATGTTTTTTCAGCTGAATATGCTTAAATTTGCAACCATACATATTACTCGGGATCTAGATCCACTCTGTCCCGGAATCTGAACTTGCGATCTCTTATAGTCATAGAAATATAAGTAACATAAAATTCATCGAAATATTTTTGAATTATTTTTACTAACAGTGCAAATAAAAAAATTGTAGTTATTCGATGAATATTTCATAAAGAACAACTTTTAGTTTTCTGCATATCACTTTGTGTTGTGTCATTAGTCATTTTTTTTAAAAGTACTAGCTTGATAGCGATTTTTCAAGATGATCAGGATAGTAAATCTTGAACAACAATTGCGATGAATTCTATTGAGTTGTTATTTAACGAATGTATTAAATTATGTTTCAATAATTTCAATTTGTAAATCTCGTTCTATCCATTGATTTTTATTTAGCATTCCTAATAAAACGCCTAAAAAATAGTTTAACAAATTCTTTTGAATTTTTAGATTTCTTATATCTCTATGACTATAAGAGGCAAAAAACTAAAACACTAGCGTATAGTATATCTAGGTGTTTAGTAAATATCAGCCTATTCTACTGAAACAACATATAATAGAAGAATATTACTTCAAAAGAATCAAAACTTGTTAGACAACCTTTATAACAAGAAAGTACCAAATGGCGCTGCATCTTGTGATCTATTCGATTGGAAAAATGAATAAGGTTTAAAACGTAAAAGTTCTATCAGAAAAGGCAAAGTACTGTTTTATTTTATTTTTTTTACAATGTAGTGTGAGTTATGCGAATTTTTTCTGTTATTTATTATGTTTATATTTCTATTAAAATATATAAATTTTTACTTGATATTTATGCAGGACTCTATAATTGACATTTTTTCTTCTTGTTTATGACTTTGTCTTTATATATATATACCAACATTCAGATTCTTGTCATAACTGCATGTGTGTATTTTATCCGAATAAATTCAAAAGAACACTTCATAAAATATTCCGTCTCAAATTCATATCCGTATCAATTAGCAGTAACAGACTTCTAGTTACTGTTATTATTAGCATTGCATTCAGTTCTGAAGTATCTTATTTCCTCAAGATGAAGTGCCATAAGATACAGCAAATTTTATACATTCTCGCTTTAAAAAAGAAACAGACAGTCGACCTCATCAAATCCAAAATTTTCGGACACGGAAACGATCTGACAGTCTCCAGCGGACCGGAATCAATGGGTTATCATTGTATATTAATCTAGCAGTTCCTTCATTTAAATGATTCCTAGTTCAATGTATTATTCTATCTATTAATATCATATTCAACTGTTTTATGAAGAAATTTATTTAAAAAAAGTTGAAGATTTTTATACATAAATTTAATAGTTTTTATTTATAATGATTTTATTTTATTATCTAGAAGAACTGTATTTAATATCATAAGAACTGTTTAACACACACACACACACATTACATAGAAGTTTAAGAGAATAAATCACTGAATAGAAAGAAATAATTTGAATTAAAGATAATTATGCAATGAAACATAAAACAGAATGTTCTAATTTTTAAATAGAGTATTAAAAAGGAAAAGAAAATTTAATTTTCTCTATTTAACGTTTTCTTTCGTTTAACATAGCTTTCTTCAATAGCAGCTATATCTGCATTTTTTACTATCCATATATGTTGTGCGACATCTTTCAAAGGTAATCGATCAGTTGGATTTCGACGAAGTAACTAAAATACAGCAATAATTAAAATTTTCTCAAACAAAAAACAAAAATCTTCTTTTGATTTATTTACTTTTGTAATTAAATCACGAAGATCTGCTGATGTTCCTGTTGGAAATGTCAATTCAATTGAACGTATCATTCGAATTGTTTCATGTTGAGTTTGACTGTCAAATGGTGGTTTACCAATAATCTAAAAAAACGATCAATTAAAAAAAAAGAGTAAAAAACAATCAAAAAAAAAGTCAATTACCATTTCATAAGTAAGAACACCAAGACACCAAAGATCAATTTTTTCATCATAACCATTTCCATTAAGCATTTCAGGTGGTAAATAATCTAATGTACCACAAAGAGTTGTTCGTCTTCGAAACAAACAAAATAAAATTTCTATTTAAAACGAATTAATCTATACGAATATTTTTCTTTTACTTGCATGTCGATGTACTTTCTGCAGACCAACCAAAATCCGCTAGAATAAAAAAAATTTCGAATTCAAGAATTATTCTGTCAAAAATAATTTACCTAATTTTAAAATGCCATATTTTCCAATGAGAATATTTTCTGGTTTGATATCTACAATATATTAATTTATAATAGTTGTATTGATATAACAATATAAATATACCCCTAAATAAATAAATAAATAAAAAGAAAGTCAATAAAAAAGAAATATTCATTTAAAAATATATACATACCGATGAATAACACGTTTCGTATGTAAATAATTCAAAGCATTACATAGTTGATAGACGTACTATAAAAATGAATAAAAAAAGATAATGATCGATATTCCTAATTGAAATTTGTTGCCCATAAGCATGCATAAATAATAGCCATATACTAGCTTATTTTCTGCTAATGGCGGTCTCTTTTCTTTCTTTTATCTTTCCCAACTATCTTATTAACACATGCCAGCAATATGATTGCGAAAACAGAGATGAAAGAAAACACACCATCCATAACTACCAATAAACTAGTATATGGCAACTCATAATGGATGCTTCTGGTCAATAAAGGCAATTTGATAATATCGCTAATTAGATGTTGTGAAATACGAAAAATAAATAAAAATTATTTACTCCAGCAGCTTCACTTTCACGTAAAATTTTTTCTGTTTGCATACGTCGATACAATTCACCACCGGGTGCATATTCAAGTAATAAATAAATTCTTTGTTCATCATGAAAGAATCCATAGAGACGTAGAATGTTCGGATGTCTATAATTGATCTATTCGTTTATAATAAAATGAAGAAAAATAAACCAGATTAACATACTTAAGATTTGATTGAATTTCTATTTCACGTTTAACTTGTTGTTCCATTTTAGAATTTTTTAATTGAGCTTTAAATAATATCTTAAGAAAACCATTTACAGAAAAAAAGAGAAAATAATGAACGAAATTATTATTTTTTTCTAATTACTTTAAGTGCAACAACAAAACGTGTTTGTTTTTCTCGACCACAATAAACATAACCAAATCGACCACGTCCCAGTAAATTACCTATTTCAAAATCTTCAATTGTCCAACTTGAAGATTTTCTACAATAAAAGACAAAACTAATATGTAATTTATATATTAGTTTCTTAATGAATATCACTATGAAAAAATTCAATCTTGTATTCAGTGTGCAGGATGATGAGGCGACGTCTCTTCTAAAATTGGTAACTTTTGTACTATGGGTTTACACTCTTAGAAATAAGTTTTTGCACTTCCGAAGTTTTACATCACCCCTCCGCAAGAAAAAATCTGGGTAAAACACTGAAAAACTTCCACATGAATACATAAAACAATCAAAGAATTAAATGCTTACATTGATTAAATCATCCTAGTATAATTATATTCCCTAATTTCTCTTTCTCAAACTCGATTACAGCACTCCGGAGTCAAACTTTTCGATTGAAAATCGTTTTTTTTGAAATATGATATGTACTTGATTTTGTAGTATTTGTTAGTGAGAATATCTCTCTGATGGTTTTTTTCTTGAAACTTATTTAAGAATCTATAAAGTAATGTATTTTTGTTCATTATTTAGTATATGAAAAAAAATTCTTCACCATCACTCAGTGACTACATTGTTCGATATGTAGTCACAAGATACCGTATGCAAACCTTAATATCAATAGTCATGGACAAAACATTGCTGTTATTTATATTGGATCACACATCCACGAGTATTCTGACTATCGTGTGTCATACATCTGCTCTTATAGTTAGTTATCACGTACAAAGAGCTCAAGTAATTGAGGAAAAGGACTCTATGTTATGTTGACCTTCTATCTAGAGCTACAAATGGTATTATGTGTAGGGAAGATATCGGACTATTGAGTCTGCCTCTCGACAGCACAACACCTCACGAGGTAGTTGAAAGTCATGAGTATTCTTGCTTCTTATAGATATAGATTTCGGAGTCTGATGCAGAACTTTAATCTCGATTTGATGTGTTGATATATATCAATAGATTCTTTCACTCAACATTTTGCTTCGCTAAACATAACCGTTAGATAGAAGTCTTTACTAATATAATCTGTTCAAAAAGTCTATTGATCTTTATACAGAAAAGTAATGAGTGTATCCATAACCAATAGAGATAGTTAAATATGGCTAAAAAGCATGAATTCCGAACGTTCACAATTAGAATTAAGATTCTCTCCTCAAAAAAGTCGATTTTCGTCAGAAAAATCGAAATTGAGATGATGACTCGAGGTTCAAACTTTCATCAATGACATGGTTTTTCAGTTAGCACCTGGTTTTCTGTTTATGCTTTTCTGATCGCGCATCTCAACATTATTGAAGAAGCCTTATTGCAGCCACACTGTTTCGTCTTTGTTTCAAACAGGGTTTGAGAGCTGCAGCGCCTAGTTTTTGAATTACTAAATAAAAAATCACTTCTATCAATAGATAAATATTTATCGAAGTATCAAGTTTGTTATCTTTTCTTTTCTCCGCATAAAAAGTAAGAATTAAAGAAAAGAGCACTGCCATTTGGCAAGCTCTTTCAAACAAACAGAAATAATGAAATCTAGAGATTTAGGACCCATAGACAATTTTGGATTGCCGAATGATCTATTTGTTTGACTTGATATCTCTCGCAAACGTCATAACATAAGGCTGATAATTTCATACCATTCGATGCATCTAGCTCAAGATTGATTTTTGAGACGGGAAAATTCAAGTTTTTTATCAAAACTTGAAGACCGAAAACAAATCATTAACTACATACGTTGATTTTTTTTCTTCATTATTATTTGATGATACTATTTCTGGTGATGTTGGTGATGGAATACTGTCCGATCTTAATAGACAAGAAAAGTAATCTGATCTTAATATAAAATTGCTTTTTAAATATATACTTTATTTGTATTTCTGTTGTTGAAAATGTTGGTGGAACCATATTCTCTTTAATTTCTTCTTGCTCAACTGTTTCATTTGTTACTATTAATTTTTCACCACCAACAGCAATATTATTTGATAATTTAGTTTGTGACGTTTGATTTTCATGATGTTGACTATTATTAACCTTTGAATTTGATGATGTTTTATGACTTGAAAAAAAACGTTTAATTGCTGACATTCAGAATAATCTAATAAATGTAATCTAATAAGTAAGAGATAATATCGAATAATCAATTCTTTGTTTCGAGCCTGACGAAAACTTTGACCAATAAAATTTATGTTCGCTAGTTGCTATTGAATTTTTCAATAAGTTCTTACTTTCAAAGATATTTTCTTTGAAATTAAAGATAAAATTTCTTAAAAATAATAATTTAAATAATATAATGAAAAAATTAAATTTTTCTATTGAACAATTTCATGAGGATCGAATGTTAAGGATGATGTGATATTAATGGCAGAAATGTGTTGACATGTTTACAGCTTATTAGTTTCTATACATTTTTCATTTCATCTAGTTGAGAACATCATGTCTACATCGAAAATGCCCGATGAACCATATTATGCAAGTGAACAAATTCCAATACCACCTGAATTACCTGATATCTTACTTCAATTTTCTAAAGCTGCTATTCGTACACAACCAACTGATGTACTTGCTTGGAGTGCTGCGTATGTTTTCTTCATTAACTATTCATGTATAACATTATTTATATATATATTTTTTTTTGTAAATAATTATAGATATTTTCGAGCATTAGCAAATGGTGAAACACCACCAGTCAAAGAACGTAAGAATAAAATATTAATCAAAAAAATTAAAAAGATCATTTTATGTCTAATTAGGTCTGGAAATGCCCGTAGCTACGCAAAAAACGGACACAGGTTTAACAATGGGTCTATTGAAAATTTTACATAAACAGGTGAATATTGTTCATTATATTCAGATCAATAAGGTTTTTATAGAAATAATATGGATATTAAATTTTTAAAAGTAACTAATGGATTATTTTTATAATAATTTAATATTGTTAAAATAGTAGAAAAATTAATTCTCGACTACGCTGTCTGATAAATCATTGGTTTCCGAAATAATAAAAAGTTGCATAATTTTTTTTTTTCGTGTTTTTTATATTGGATTAATTTAATGTCGTATTACAAATCATGTTTTTACTAAAAATTATTCACATATATAAAAGAAACTCGATCTTCTATTTGTTTATAGCTTTCACCAAAAGGTACATTACCATTACAAGAAATTCGAAATAAATTTGATGACTTGAATATTCCTCGTGAACAATTTGACGATATTGTACAAATTGGTTCATTTAATGTTGATGTACAATGGGATCATTTTCTTGCTGTTGCTGTATCAAAATTGGCTAAAGTATGTATTAATGTCCTAAATTTGTAAATTTATTCTTTTGTTTATATTTTTTTTTTCTAATTAGAGTATAACTGACACATTAATTAAAATATGTGAATTATTAACAAGCGATCCACCAGGTGCTAATGCTCGTATACCATTTGAACAATGGAAAAAATATTATCGATATTTAGCTGAACTTGATGGAGATGTTCATGAACAACAAATAAAAGAAGTTATTGATTATTTAGCTAATGAATGGGTTATAAGACAAAATGGAATGATTCATCCAAGAAATTTCATTCATCCCGAATGTCCAAAATTGGATGGTTAATTTATTTCATGATCAATATGTTTAAAATAAAACATCCAAAAAAATAGAAAAGACAAAAAAACGGAAAATGAGTATAAAAATATATATTCAAATTTAAATTTTCATTGTTGTCGTTGTTGTTCGTGACGTGTATTTTGTCAAAAAAATTACTTAACATTTTTCTTTTTGTTTTCGTTTTTAGACAATATAATAAATTCATGTATGCTTTTTATATTTTCTTGACTTTAAAATCTAAGAAATACTCATTTTCAATTGTCGAACTATTTTGTTTCTTATTTTGCTTTGTAAAAAAAAGTATAGAACACGTTTGTTTGTTTTTTTGATTTGCAACAAATAATTATTCTCATAGATTATAGAAGAACAAAAAAATAGTTCATTTTAAATATTATAATACATGAATCAAATCCATGTAATGTTCACTGTTGACATATGAATAGACTTGACATTGTTGCTTTTTTATGCAGAAGCCTTTTTCTGATTAACTTCAATTTATGAATGTTATTCTCGTGAGATCTTCTCTCCAATGACATTGTTAAAACTTCTAGTAATTAAAAATATGTCGTAAATATAGTAAAATTCGATATATACATTGTTCTCACTCGGACTGTCAGCTCTTCAATCTGACGGGAGTAAATATCAAGTAAAACCTTGTTGGGAGAAGAAACATTCGTGTTATCGCTTCAATCATATTTATTACATTGTAAAAAAAGAAGAAGAGAATTATAAATCCTTATTATCTGTTTATTAGTATTACATAAATCCTTTCATAAATATTGACCAGATTTTGTGATCCATTGTGAATTCATATACCCTTGTACTGTTTTCTGTGTTTATATAACCATTTTTAGGTATGTGAACGAAGTAAACACTCAAACACACTGTTTACTATCCTACAATTGTTTTTAAGAGGTGCAATCATAAGTTCATCGCGTGACGATTTATTCGGTTTATATACCCGAAAAGAAGTTTATGAAAACACGAAACAGTACAAGGGTATACGGATATTTGCATCAAGCACAAACCCTTGACAAGGCTTATGAATAGAAAAAGATAAATAAAAGAGTAATAAACGGATAGTAATCATTTATTATTATTGTTTTTACAGTAGAGTTACAAAAACGTTCGAATAGACTGATTATTGGACAGCGCAATGTAAAGATATTGATTATCTGAAAGAGATTTGATTGATTCATTAGTATGAAATTCTAATTAAACTTCATATTATTTTACTTCATTATCGTGCATTACTTTTGTCCTAAAGATGTATATCTCATGTGATTAAAAGATAATGTTCTGTCATACAATGATGATAATTGTCGGTTTGAAATTGAAAATTGATGTTTGTAATTTTCCATTGGGTGTAGATGAAATAGTCGTAATTGATAATCAACTTATTGAATTGAAAATAAGAAAGGTTTATAATGTTATTTTGAATTCGCTCCAAAACATTTTCAATCAATCATGATAAAGCTAAGAGAATAACTTTGATAGATTAGTTGATGAAATGTTATGTCAATACAATGATTTTATCAAAATATCTGATCATTCATCATATGATGGAGTAACTTTACAGTATATCTCATTTTGCGTCTACCTTGTTAGAGTCTTCTTATTACAAGATACTATTGATGTTTTCTGACATGATTTATTATTAGTACGAACAGCTGAATATACAACAATTAAAAGGTTATCATCAAGTGAATACTTCCAAGAGGTTAACGAAAATAATGCATTCGTTTTGTAACTAAAATTACTTTTTTAAATTTAAAGAACTTGGGGTTTACAAGTAGAGATGTGCAGAATTACTTCTATTCTGAAGGCGTATACGATGAGACCACGAGATTTGGGTATTTTTCATTTTTTTTGTGACAGACAACGCATTTTTACAAGGTCAGTCGGCACTCTATCTCTAATAACAGCCACTGCTGAACGATCCTTCATTGTTATGAATCGAATAAAGACATGATTACGCTACTCAATGACTTAATAACATTTAAATCACGTTATTTTTCTTCATATTCATAAAGAAAAAACAGATTTACTTGATTTGAACAGCATCTACTCTAATTTTATTTAAAAAAAAAAATTTGACTTGTACAGAATTACAATCTAAGAAGAAACCACTTTTCAACTCGTTCTCTGAGCTTGGCTTAGCTGAAATCATTCCGTCGCTCCTGTATACAGGATAGAGTAGGGTAAGAAAATTTTTTTCAGTCAGGATACGAAAAAAAGAATCTTGCATGTCATATTTATAAATTGCGTTTTAATATTTACCGTAATGATTTCCGGCATTGAATTGAATGGAAGTATTTTTCTTTTTTGTATTAATTGGTTCTTTTTGAAAATATTTTTTATTGTCAATCAAAACTTCAAGTTCTTGAAATCCCACCAATAACTCCACTAAATCACGACATTTATCTTTCACTATTTGATGTTGATCTACTATAAATTACATAAAATTATGTAGCTAATTATAAACGTATTTGTAAAATTGAACCAAATTAGAAATACCCCCAAAGAATAGAAGTCCATTGGGCATATGATTTGTCTTACAAATCAAAAGTTTGAAGGTGGACTGGAAACTTTTAGTGGAAATACGCAACATCTTTTGAACACTTTGTATCTTATTCAAGATTCGGCCCAGTCCATTGAGACCTTTGGTATACGCATTTTTCAGGTTATGAAAGAAATTGATTTCTTTGTTGTTAGAAAATATACAAGATAAAAAAAATCAAGTAAGGTGGCGCTAATGCAAAATTTTAGTGGATTCGATTTTTTGATAAAATACACCTATTCTGATTTGCCTTCTCACGCTGATTACGAGTATCACCTTATTTTTTCAATTACCTGGAGTCTTCTTCATAGAGAAAAACGCAAAATACTTAGACGTACTTAAAAATCGAAAAAATGCCGCGCTGCGAAAAAACGATCGTATCTCCGATCCATTCCATTTTTCATGCTCGCCGATGTGATATTCCGATTCCTTGCATAAAAATAGTTATGGGCATGTGATATATATCACATGCCCATAACTATTTTTATGCAAGGAATCGGAATATCACATCGGCGAGCATGAAAAATGGAATGGATCGGAGATACGATCGTTTTTTCGCAGCGCGGCATTTTTTCGATTTTTAAGTACGTCTAAGTATTTTGCGTTTTTCTNTCACATAAGCGCGCATGCAAAATGGAGTGGAGCGGAGTTACGATCGTTTTTTCGCAGCGCGGCATTTTTTCGATTTTTAAGTACGTCTAAGTATTTTGCGTTTTTCTCTATGAAGAAGACTCTAGGTAATTGAAAAAATAAGGTGATATTCGTAATCAGTGTGAGAAGGCAAATCAGAATAGGTGTATTTTATCAAAAAATCGACTCCACTAAAACTTTGCATTAGCGGCACCTTACATAAACAGAGCTATAAATCAATAATGAGTAGCAATGAACTGGTCTATCCGATGTCTCACATTGTTTGTATTATGTTTAGGCCGGACACAGTGGGATTGTATATATGAAAAGCTAGATGTTGCTTTAAAAGAACTTCATTGTATTTTCTATGGTACACACGTTACTTCTCGAGAACAAACAGATCAATGGATGACTTTAATTGATGAAAAGAAGAAAACCAATTAAAAAACACTTGTTATATAAAGTATCTAATTTTGACCTGAAACCAATATCCTGAAAGTCAAATACATATAAGAAAAAGTTTAATTTTTAAAGAACTAAAATCTCTTAATTTTTGTTTGTATTTATCAATTTTTGCTTTGAAATATTTTAAGGTTTGTTTTTTATATTATTTATGAACTTGTCCAAGAGAAAAAAAAATAAATTTACAAAACATTTATAAATAAATAAACTAGATAGAACACTTGTTAAAATATTCAAAACAAAAAAAAACATAAGTCAGCAGTTCTAATTTGTTTACTATTTCCTAAAACAATAAATAATATTTATAATAACGGGTTATTTTTAGTTTGGTTATAAAAACAAAATTAATTAATATCACAATTAATAATTTTTTAAACTTCAAGTTTTGTTAATTCTAATTTACAATTAAACGGTATTGAGTCGATGTCAATTGCAAGCTTTCGTTTATTAGTTGCATAATCTTCCTACAGAAAAAAAAAATGTTTTTAAAAACAAATAATCACTTTCAAAATTTACTTCTTCTTTCTTAATATAAACCATATACTGCGGTGAATCACATTGATATTGATCATCATTATCATCTTGAATTAAAATACATCCTTGTCGTAAATCACTTGAATCAATTGGATATGTTACATCTGTTTGTATATATTGTTCAACTGGTTTTCTTCCATGAATAGTTGGTATTGATTGAGACTAAACATTTATTTATAAAAAAAAAAAAGAAACATTCAAATAAAAATTTGTAAGCATTTATTTTTACTGATATTGTTGGATTAGATTCACCAGTGGTATTTGCTGAAAGAATACTATCATTATGAGTTGCTACAAGATATTAAATAAAATATTAAAATAAAATACTAATTTAATTACTTCTTTTTCGTTTTATTATTGGTGATAATAAAACTTGATCATTATCATTTTCATTATCATCATCATTATAAATTAAGTTTGGGTTTTTTCGTTGCTTTATATATTCTTGATAATGTTTTTCACAAAGATAAGCAGATTTGACTCCAGCTGAACGTCGTTGGCAATCTCGAGTATGATAATGACATAATGAATACCATTTTGTACCGTTCCATTGTTGTCGAACAAGTCGAATTTCACCTTTTTTTGGTTTGTTTTTAGTTAATACAATTGGTCGTGTTATTTTTGTTTTAGGTATTGAATTTTGTTGTGGAGTGTCATCTAATGAAGATACAACTGCGGATTTCTTCTGACGATTTTCTACATCATGACGATGACAATAACCATGTGCAACAATGAACGATTTACAATTATTAACATTACAAATAGGACGCCAAGATTGACCATCATATTTTTGACGAATACCATTAGCATCTACCATTATATCACCACGTTGATGACATCTTTTAAAAGGAAAACTTTTTTTAAAAATAAACAAAAGACATTTTGTTTTACTTGATTTTTTTATTAGAACGTCGAGCAGATGTTCTTCGAAGCTTGTTGTTTATTGATATTATCTGTCTGTCACTTTGTATTGTTGCATTATCCGATTCCTCAGCTATTTCATTTTCTGCAGCGAGTAAATAATGTTTTCGACATAACCAATTTTCAAAATAAATACCACCGTTTAAATAGACTAAACAATTAGGTATACAACAAATACGACGCCATTTCAGTCCATCGTACTTTTGTCGATGTCCTGGATCATCATCAATACAACGTATAGCACCTTTAACTGGTTTTGAATTATTTGAAAGACTTTTCGATTTCATAGAATCAATTGGAGAATGTTGATGTTTTTTTCTATTACATGATGCATATCGACTACATGTACGATGAGTATAACAATGAAATTCACTTAAATTATCATCGGAATTCGTTGATGAAGGCAATGATTGAATCTCATCATCTTCATTAACTGTACTCTCAAGAGACATATTGTTATCTAGAAAATAGAAAAAACATATAATAAAATATTGTTCATGATTTTAATAATGATATATATATGAATAAAAAAATGGTTCACCTAACTTCTTTTCTTTCTTCTCTTATTTCGGTTGTGTGCTATGTACAATCATTCATAGATGATATATGTCATCACTTTAGTTCTCACAATAAAAGTAAAACACTTGTATGTACGGTCAATTAAGATTCATTCATGTGTGACGAGAAAAATGAACATTTCTTTTGTTCATAGTATACGTTCTTTTTTTTAAAATATTCGAATGACCTTTTAATCTTTTTTTTATAGATGACCTTGTGAAAGAGTCTTTTCTAAAATAACACTCGAATATGTGTGTGGTGTGTTTTTCTTATCAATAATGTTTCACTAAACGATTATCAAAAGGTTTTATATATGCGTGTAATAGGTTTCAATTTTAACTACATAGAACACACAGAAAAGGAGAAGTCAATAGGAATAGAGATAAAATATAAAGAAAATCAAGGAACAAATTGGGTAATAAGTACCGAAACAGAAATAAATAAACTAACAATGTTACTATTTTGTTCTTCCCAATGAAGACCATTGCTTGAATAATGATACAATAAAGTCATTCGTTTGTTTAATTGCGTATGCCATAGGAAAAAATAAATAATCGATCGTATGTAATTGTATAAGTGGTGATCGATGTGATGATAGGTCAACAATTGAGTAAGCTTGTGCTACTTGTTTGTTATTTGACGATAATAATGATGCAACTGATGAAGGAAATGATGTGGACGAAGATGATTTTGATGGTGGTGATACTTTATTTTGTATTAGACGTTCAAGTTCTAAAAGATGTGCTGATTGATTAGTTAAAGTTATTTCAAGTTCGGATAATTGTCTTTCCATTTTAGCTAATCGTTCTTGATGACGTGCTTCTTTTTCTGTATCATTTTTTGAACGTCTTGCATATTCAAGAGCCAAACCAGCAATAGCAACACATAAAATTACCCCTAAGAAATAAATAAGTAATAAATTTAAATTAATTATTAGAAAAAATAATCTTCTCATTGAATATGAAATTTATCATTTAATTAAAAAAAAAACTGTTAGAGTAGACTCTACAGGATTAGAATATGAAAATATAATGTAACTATTGCTGCTAATCATAGAGCAATTCTTTGATTCTATCTATTGTGGAACACATTTCGTCATCCATCCTTTTACTTTATCATCTGAAAGTGTTATGAAGAGGTTGTTCATTTATTTCTGACGAGTCGAATACTATAGATCACAACCAGAATTTCAGTATGGGCTTTGAAACGTTTTTGTCTTTTATGTTCAAAAGTGATGAGGGACCTTGAAAAAAAAAATCTGAAAAATTATTTTTAATGGTGAGCCAACAGACATGTTTTTGTGTACTCTATAAGTCCTTTTTCAAACATGATAAAAATTGTTGAAGTCGATCGTTGTTGTGGAGAGGACGCTTCTCTGTAAAATGTAAGCTATAGTTTTAAATCAAATGAGTCTACAAACATTTTTTTTGAAGCGCTCCTTTCAACGTAAGAAGGTTGTTGATTTTTCAACAATAACTATTTAGGAAGAACGAAAATTAAGAAGTCTTGTCGTAAGATGAAAAAACTAGTATATTTTGTAAGGTACATTACAGTCTACTAATATATAAATAAAGATCGCAACTTTTAGTTTCGAATGACAATCGGGAACTTATAGAAATTTTTCATGCAAAAAAAGTCTTTTTTTACTTTTCAAAGATTATTTAACTACTATACAACAAAAAACTGGCAAGATCAGTTCATTAACTATTCAATTGATTTTCAGCCGAAACCTAAAGGCTTATAGATAATTTATTGTGCTGATTTAGAATATCAACAGAATTTTTGCTATTAGCTCTTCAAAGATTCAATTTTCTAAAGCGAAAAATTTTTTTTGTCGAAACAGTTTTTTACTTATCTAATCTGCAGAGCATCTACAGTTAAGTATAAACAATTTTTTTTAATTTGAACCATTATAGAGAGGACAAGACAAGATCTCTATTACATTCATATCTGCAGAATAATAAGAAAATAATCAGTACTAAGACAACTTCAAAATAGTTCCCCCTCCTTGATAATCATAAACTGATTTTATTAGAAGAATGAAAGGACAAGGCTATTATAATGTGGCTTAAAATAGATCAAGCGTTGAAAAAACTATGTAAAAATGCGTCGAGTAACATTTGAGATAAAGAAAAAACAAAATTTAGTAATAAAACATATGGAACATAGATCTTGAAAGAAAACCGTGAGATAATAAAAAAAAGGATTAAAAACTTTTACTCCTGTAGCCCGTAAAAAAAATTTTTTTGACAAAAATTTTTTTGCTGCAACAAATTGACTTCCGAGAAAATAGGATCTTCAAAGGCCTAGTGGTCAAAAGTATGTTGCTATTCGGAATCAACATGATCGATCATCTGTAAAACGCTAGGTTTCGTCAAACAGTTAGTAACCTTCCGTCGTGAAACAAAATTCTAGTCATAACTCATAGCTTTTGACTCTCGTCACGAATACTTTCCAACGAGTCAAAAGTGAGCTAATATCTCGTCTAAAAAACTTTCCGATTACCCGCTATTATAATCAGACATTATTGACATACAGTCTATTATTGTATATCAACAACGTCTGTCACGTCTATCGTGTCTGTAGAAAATGAGTTTCTACCTCCATTCTTGAACATTCGACTTAGATCGTGTTTCATAAAAAAAATCAAATATTTTTTTACGGATTATTCCCTCTCTTGCTTTTTCTCTCACATAATAATTTATACATACCTTCACCCAATATATCAGCACCAAGTATAACAGCTGCTTCTTCATTCATTTTAGCTACTTTTTTTGTTTCAATACCTAACATTCTCATTCGAAGATTAACATCATACCAATGATATAATTGTGCTGGAGGCATACAAACCTATTGAGTAAAACAAAAAAAACGGGTATTTTATTTTATCATCTAATTGAATAATCTTCAAAATATAGGAAAATATTTGAAAAAAATCTAAACACTCACATATTTCTTGAAAAATTCACTATTTTTTGCGCGTGCTTTAATCTGATTAGCAAGTGGTTTGCTAACTTGTTTGAAAAAGACAATAGCCAATTTGATAAGGGGAAATGGAGCCATGCGTTCTTTTTCCTTATGTCTTTTATGATTTATTCACTCTACAACGAATATAAAAATTAACGAATAGTTTTTATTTTTGTTCTATTGCAAGCGTTAGACATTATAACTTGTAAGTTTATTGAAAAAGAAAGGAAATTTAAAGTTGTTCAAGGGTAGCAATACTAGTGAACGTTGGTGCGGGTACTTCTATACTAAAAAATCAAATAAAAATTATGACAAAAGAAAATGTTCTAAAAATACTTAGAGACAATTGAAGCACGATTATATGACTAAAGGAACGAAAAAGTGCATGAATATCGCAAAACAAAATAAAGACTACGATAATTAATAAGAGTAAAAAAGGAGAAACATTTAATGTTCAAGAATACGTAAATTGCCCGATACGATTTTGTTTTCAAGAATTGCACCTGGTGGTATATCAATTCGATCACCATGATTTGCAATAATAATTACCGTACCCTAAAAAGAATATACATATATATATTACAATTATATTAAGATTTCTTTCTTTCTTCCTTTTACATACACGCAATGAAACACCTTTACCAAATGTAACATCGCCAGATACTGTAAGACTATCAAGTTCGAGACAATCAGGTATACTTTGAAAGCGTGATAGAAAATCTTTAACCTTAATAGAAATAGAAATAAAATAAAAGTAAGGAAAAATAAATAAATAATATACTTTAATAAAACTTGTACCAAGTTTAACAAGTGGTACTGTAGGAAATGAACGTTGTTTATTCATAACTAAATTACCACGAGTAAGTGTAAATAAATTGGACATAACAAGTAAAAGGTCAGACGTTGTTTTAACTGGTAAGAAACGTCGACGTGGAACATTAATACCTATAGAAAAAAAAAATAACTACTATGCTTTTAACTATGAAGAGAATATCTTTAATTATATAAAGATTATTGTCTGATGTTGTTACTGCATTAATCACTTATATGTGTTTTTACACAATAGAGCATGCACTGGAATCATTTTTAAGAGTAGTCGGTGCTTTCTAAATTACCTATCAGTAAATTTGGTTGAACACTAAAAGACTTTTTTTTGTGAATGGTGAGTTTTATTCTTTTGACATTTGGCGTATAAACTGATGTATTTTGGACACTCGATTCACGTCTCTTTAGGCCTTGGTCAAGGTTGACTGCGACTTTTTCTCGTGAGCGTAGATCTCAAAAAGAGACAGCGATCGAATTCCAAAAACTTCTTATGTTAAATCTCATTTGTTAGTGAGATATTTAGTTGACTCCGATGTAAGTTTTGAGATCTAGATTATTTCTGTCTATTGTTTTTAACGATAAAAATATTTTTGTATATTCGAATTTTACCTTGTGCTCCTTCAAAACTTTTAATTGCTGCACCACTAGCTGTTTCTAATTGAATAACATTAATACCTTTATCCAATGCCTAAAAATATTTAGATTATTCTTTATTTATTTATTTTATTAAATAATAAATTACTTTATGATTAACAATAATTTCCATATGTAATGTTTTATCTTCAATAATACGTTTAATTGCTGGAAGATTAACCCATAAATTATTTGTATTAAAAATTCTAATAAATCATAGATAAATAATTTTCAGCAAATAAAACTATACTGATATTTACCGAAATTTAGAAACACTTTTAAATTCGTCAACATGATCTTTTGGTACTTGAGCTATTTCAAGTAAACGTAATTTTCCTTGATATTCAATTAAAGTACCACCCTATAACAGCATCAATAAAAATCAAAATAAAATATGACGTTTATTAAGATAATTTTGTTTTTTACTTTAACATCAGCTCGTGTTTTATCTGTTACTTCCATAACAAATTCATGTTTTGTTTCATCAGTTAAAAGATGTTTAAGAATATCTATTTAAATAAAATTTTTTCTTTCTATGTAATTAAAAAAAAATATATCTTACATAAATCAACAGTTGCTCCAAGATTATCAATATTACTTAAAAACATATATTCTTTTCCTTGTTCAATAAATTGATCAAGTAAACCCGAATTATAAAATGATTGATAGACATCTCCATGACCTGGTGGATACCAACATTCATTTTCTGAGCTAGTCATATTCATTGCAACAGGTAATAATGTTTCACGATCAACACGTGGATATCTTAATAATAAAATAAGATTAATATATGTATTTGACTATAAAAGTTTATTGTGGTTTTTTTTTTCAAAATTTACTTTGATTGATGAAAATTATAAATTTTAACTGATACATGGCTATATTTTTGAAGAACTTTTTCTGTTTCTTCATGTGTATTAAATGAATTCATTAAAACAAGTGGTACATCACAATCATATTGACGATTAAGTTGCTAATAGAAAAGAAGTTTAGCAAATAAAAACAGACAACTTTGATTTTTTTTACTTCAAGTTGTTGAATTGTTAAATCAAGAAATGTTAAGTCACTTCGTACTGAAATAACACTTTTTGGTCCTTGACAACCCATTGTTGTACCAAGACCACCATTAAGTTTAACAACAATTAATTTATCTAAGAAATTTTTTGCATCATCAACATCTACTTCAAGTAATTTTGAATATGGAATAACCTTGAAAAAAAAACAAAAATAATTTAAATGGAATAAAGAATGATTTCATTTCAATTTACTGTTCCTTCTGGTGGTGGTTGAATTTCTTGCCAATCAATAGATGATTGATCAACACCTTCATGTAAATAACGATTAAATAATTGTTCAAATCCATCGAATTCAATTCGAACTTCCTTTAAAAAAAAAATTAATATAAAATAGTTTATTTAAAAATATGAAATTTTTATTAAAAAACTTTTTGTGTTTGAGATGGAGCCGTTAATACAAGTTTATTTAATGATTTTTGTAATGTTGTAAGTGCATCAATTTTTGTTAAATCTTTAAATGCAGCAATATCCGATTGACTTGGTGTACGTTTAAGAAGACGCTATAATAGAAAAAATAATTGTTTACGAATTTCTTTCTTTTTTTTTCAGTTTAATTAAGTAAATCATAAAAATCAAATAAAGTATAACCTCGGTATCGCGATAGTTGGGATCACGCGTTAATGTTGACTGTGGCATTTGTACGTATAATAATAATGTAGATTGAGCTACTATTTATTTCGGTTCGGTTTTTTTCTTTTTCTTTCTGTATTTAATGTCTATGTTGCCTTATGTCGCCATCCTTGTAATTTATTTGAAAGAGGAAAGCCGTGACACTTTGAAAGCATTCGTTTATTGAGACGTGATAAGAAAAAATCCTTTTAGTACAAAATAAAACGACCATTGTCACATGTCGGTATGAATAATTGTAGGCATAAAATAACGTTCTTATTGTCTTACTTGTTAATCTATCCTTATCACTAATTATATTTCGTTTTTCAATATTCACTTTGATTGTCTTATAAGAAGAAAGTTATATAATGAATTTTTAAGATGTTATCAAATAGAAAAATTCGATTTGTAAATATTTTTATGACGAAAATTTAATAAACTATTTTTACTTTATTCATTGGTAATGCTTTTCCTTGTTCAATTGACATTCTCTGATAATTAGTGCTTTTAATAGATCAATCTAAAAAGAATAAACAACGACATCATTCCGTTAATATATTGTTGTTTGTTTCTATTCTATTCACATATAAACGGTGCTCACTAAGTTTTGATCCGCTTAATCAATAAATTTATTGATTAAGCGGGTCAAAACTTAGTGAACAAGCTTCATGTTGTTAGTGTCTTTAAATAAAAAAACAAACAAAAGATAATGCTTCAACAGTCCTTTAAATAATTAGCAAAAATTTCAATCAACTGTTTTCTAGTAGAAATATATTATTTATTGAAAAAGTACTATTTCAATTAATAGGGACTAATATTATTAAATTGCATATATAGAGGCAATATACTAAAGATTACTTTGTATAACTCAATGATGAAAGTTTTCAAGAAAAATTAATTTTTTCACTTTGTGTGTATTAAAAACAACAAACACAATCTACTTCCTTCATTCGTTGAGTTTGCATCAGGTTCTACAAAAAGAATAACAATAAATCATTCAATGGATAAGATGCATGACACAATCGTTGCAGAGGTCGCTATTACACGAGGGTCTTTTTACAAATTATTATTTAGTGTCTTTTTAAATTTCAATAAAATTTGATCGAAGAAATTTCAATGGTTGAATGGTTGTTCTTCAGAGGATAAACATGTTATAAACGATGTATTCTGAGTAGTACAGTAGTATGTATCAGTATCGGAGAGGGTGGGGGGGGGGCAGGAGAATGTCTAATTTCAAGAAGTTCTCATATGGCTTATTAATTAAATATAGAATATGATCATTTTTTACGATGAGATTGTATATTATGATAATATTTATATTTTTACTGTCATTCATTCATTCAGCTTCTCAATAAACCAATGATTTTTACCAGTATTAAAATCGAAAGACTTGAAACTTGTATGAATATAGAGCAATAGTCAAAATATAATTGTACATTCTAGTTGATGTATAGTTAATTGTTATTAAAACAGAACAAAAGTAAAAGAAGCTACTTGGAAATATGTAAAAATTTTCATGCATATTATCTTATTCAATGATCTATATATGAACAAGATGAAGTAATTCATGCATTCTAACTAGTTTGGGTTGGAATAAGTAATCAAGTAGGAAATCCGACTTATCGTTCAAGAAAGAACAAAAGAAAAGGAAAAATCGATGCGATCTATTATAGTAAGCACAAGAAATGTGTTAGAATTAAGGCTGTCAATCTATTTTTCTTTTCTCCGTCATGATTTGTATTAAAAAAAGAGCAATAATTAATGCATTCCGGCTAATAATACAAAGTACAAAAGAAAAAAAAAGCCTCAATAATAATATTTCTATGTAAAGCAACGATTGTGATCGACAGCAAATCAAACGCCTGGCAAGGCCATATATAAATAGCAATAATAAAGAACGCAACAAGTCATATGAGTAGTCAATAAATAGAACTTGTTTTCTTCTTGTTGCCGATCTTATCATTATGAGTAAGTGTCTAAGTTATGATTTGATCGTATTCTCAACATTATAACTTTAGGTTTTGTACGAGAATTAGGAGCAGCTGAACGAATTTATTGTCGAGAACAAACAGACTACGGAAATCAAACATTAGTTCAAGTATTAATTCTTTCAAATAAAAATATAATCGATGAAACAAAAGCTCGTCAAGCTTTAATTAAACTTTATCAAGATTATTGTCCAGTTCTTGGCTATAAAATTTGTTCGTCGGACGATCAGACAACACTTGTATATAAATCAAAAGATGAACAACATGTAGAACAAGATCTTATGTCTAATTTCAGATACGAACAGGTAAGTGTATAATTCAGATACCGGTAATCCGAAACTTAAGCAAAATTATTTTCTTTGGCGGTTTTTTCGTCATGTTTGAATAGAGCTGTCGAGTTGTCTATAAAAACGTTGTTTTCAACACATTAAAATAATGATTTTCCAGTGAAAAATTAGGTTTAAAATATCAAAAAATCCAAATACACTAAAAGTGTTAAATCTCGACAGTTTCAATATTTATTGGAATTTTTTTCATTTTACTCGAACATAAAGTGAGAAAAACATTATGTATGCATTTTAAACAATACGATTTGATTGCTGAGAAAATCGATTTTTCGATATGATAACAAAACACCATAAATATGGTTTTGTATTCTAAGATTTTGACCATCAGAGCTTGTGCACTAAAGGCAACAAATATCATATCCAAAATCTGCGTAAAGTTCATATAAAATAGTATTCTTAATACTCAAAACTAATTTTCATCAAAGGAAACGGTCGTTAAGCAATAAAATCGGTCCTTTCTCGAAATCGAGTTTATTATTCTCCAAATAGTCAATTAAGATGTCAAGAGTCAATTATCGTTTCAATTAAAGCGTTAGACTTCATTCCGGCTGCGTACGTTGAACTGAAAACTCAATATTATCGATCATCTAGAGCGTTATACAATGTAGTGTTTATAATGAAAGTTTGTCTCCTTTCTTCAGCTTCTTTAATTTGACGTAGATATCAAATGAAAGCTCTTTCTTTCCTCCATATAGGAATGTGACAAAATAATGTTCTTTCCCGTTTGTTTTTAGATGAGATTGTTTGCATATATCTATAATCTGACGATATGTATAACAAAACAGCTTCACTATTGAACTGTGAAAGAAGCGATCTAATTTGAACCATTTATCATTCGATAGGCTGTTTAAAGCTCTACAAAATAATATTATTGTGTTGAGGTTATTTTGTACCCAAGACACTTTTATTAAATAGACAATGCTCATGAGAACCAAACATTGCTCTTTTTGACTGCTGTTTGACAGAGTTTAATTAGAATAATCAGACTTCATATCAAAACAAACGATTTAATTGAAATTAACATAAAAACAAAGTCAATATGTATACATCACAAAATACTCGGACGACTTCTTTCGTCGAGAAATTCAGCCGTGATCCCCCTTAGGATTACGCCGGAAAATAAATTCAGTCAAAACATTGTTTTAATTATTTATTCATCTGTCATTGCGTCTTGTTCTAGGTCTTTAAAAACTTAGAAGTGATTTATCATAGCGAAACTGAAGTTGTGACTAACTTTATTTTTCGGCATAATCCTGATCGTATCATGGCTGAATTTATGAATAAAAATAAAAATTTGTCTGAAGATTTTATAATATATAAAGATTGCAAATATATGATTTTTTTTATAGAAAGTTTGATTATTCTGACTAAAATCCGTCATATATTAGTCAAAAACAATAGCTTTGTCGCTCATGAACATTGGTGTTTGATTACAGTGTCTTGATCAGAAATTAATCGTAACACCATCATATCATTTCGTAGAACTTTGAAAACCCTATCAAATGATATATTATTCAAATTGGATCGCATCTTTCACAGCTTAATAGTTAAGGAACTTTATTGTGGATATATGTCATTCGATAGAGGAAAGAAAGAGCTTTCCTTTTAATATCTACGTCAAATTAAAGACGCTGAAAAAACGAGACAAATTTTCCATATAAACACTGCATTGTATAACGCTCTATGGGGTCGATAATATTCAGTTTTCAGTCAACCGTACGCAACCGGAATGAAGTCTGACGCTTTAATTGAAACGACAATTGACTCTTGACATCTTAATTGACTATTCGGAGAATAATAAACTCTATTTCGAGAGAGAACCGATTTCATTGTTTAACGGCCCTTTCCTTTGATGAAAATTAGTTTTGAGAATTAAGTAATTTTATCTGTATATGAATTGATAAACTTTGAAAACTATTCAAAATAACTACTCTTAAAACAAATTGGTTTCGAGACAGGTTTTTATTTAAATCTTTTAATAGGATATTGATTGGCATGAAGTATTTGAAAATGAACTTAACATTCCATTTGATAATGAAAATTTATCACGTTGGATAATTATCAATGGACATATTCTTATTATGTCGTTTCATCATGTAACTGTTGATGCAAAAAATTTATTTTATATAGGTCGGCAATATATTTTATTATGTTCATCATTAATAAATAATTTAAAAAATAATATATTTCTTGAACCAATGGAAAAATATCTATTTAATAAATATTCACTTGAAAAAATATCTGATCTTGAATTAAAACCAAGACCTATCCGACCAGATCCAATTATATCACGAACAAGTGTTTGTCATTTTTATTTTTCTAAACAAATACTTGTACATCTAGTAGATCAATGTCATTTACATGAAATACGTTTAAATAGTATTCTAACATTAATTACAGCCAATGCTTATTATTTAGCATGCGATTATAATGAAGAAAAAATTTTAAAAATTCACATGATGGTTAATATAAGACCACATCTTAAACTTGATTATGAACAAACTGGTATGTTTGTTACTGTATTTGAATGTTTTGTTAATATTAATCAACAATCAATATCATCTATATGGTTCGATGCTATTAAACAACATCATGATCTTCATCATCGAATAGAGAAAAAAGAATATATAATGAATTGTAAAAATGATACAGATTTATTAAAAATGATTAATAATAATGAATATTTTTCCTGTGATGATGTTCATTTTGCATTTAGTAATCTTGGTCTCTTATCAAATACGAATGATAATCAAATTGAAGAACATTATTTTGGTGTATCACTTATTGAACAACGTTGGACAAGTTCAATACTTGTTGGTATAGGTACAATAAATGATCATCTTTGTTTTACTATTACATACAATAAAAATAAAGTTGAAAAAAATTTTATCGACAAATGGGTTGAAAAAATTTATTATTTACTTGAACAAATATAAAAAGGAAACACAAAAAAGGCAAAACAAAAACACAACGCTATTTTCGGAATATATATGACTATTATTTATTCTTTTTATACATCAATTCCACTCGATCTTAATGTTAATAATGAAATAAAATACTGTTGTGCTTCTTGAATCATACGAGTACAAGGTCCATATGGTATACCAAGACTTTGTAATTTTCTTTCACTTATATATGGTAATTCATAAATACCAATTTTTTCTTGTTCAAGCAAAGGCGCATATTGTTCATAATTTAATAAACTAAGAAAATAACGAAGCATTGCTTCTGTACCAAAGAATCTAATGAGATGAACACAAAAGAAAAGGGCAAATATATTAAAAATCAAAATTTTACATACTGCTCAATTTTTCGTGCTTGTCGTGGATCAATAATTGAATTTGAACGTTGTATTGTTGATGTTGATGGCATATAAGATGTAGAAATATTTAACGGAGTTGAACTATTAGCAGTAGCTAGACGTTGAACATTAGCATTTATTAAACGTGTTGGTTGATGAGATGTTGGTAACGTTGATAATGTTATACCATTTGTACTAATATGTGTTGCAGATTGTTGTCGAATACTTTGATGATTCAATTGTTGACGAAGTTCAGCAACTTCTTGACGTAATTGGTTAACATCATCTTTAATAACACGTTGCATTTGAATTTGTGCTGATAATTTAGCGATTGATTCAGCTAATGTTACTAAGGATGATTCAAGTCGTGCAAAACGTTGATTGATTTCTCTATAGAAAGAAAAGAAAAAGAAATAAATAAAATTTTAGTTATTTATTTTTATTAAAAACATTAATGTTTTTTGTTTGATTACATCATATCTAGAGTTGATTGACGCACTGACGTAATAGGCATTACTTTTCGAAAACGATGTCTTCGACCATGATGATCAACTTGAGAAGAAGTACTAGATTTAAGACTACTTCTCACCGATTCAATATCAATATCAAGTAATTTAAGAAGATCATTATACATTATTTGAAGATCTAAAGATATAAAACAAAAAGAACTCAAAAATGAAACTTTGATTATTTAAATTAAATATAAACCAGTTAATTGTTTGCGTATTTGACCAACTTCTTTTGAACTTATACTTGAACTATGTCGAGTTATATTTGGTGTTGATGTTCGAATATGTGGATGTTTACGTAATTTAGTATCACTAAATTCACTTGTTAAATCCGACCATGCATCACTACCGAGATCACTTGGTAGAACACCATGTTGACGAGCCATACCTATGAAAATTAGAAAAAGTCTGTTACTTTTTTTTTTCTTTTAGTTTATATTAAATTGATTTCGTCTAGATGAAGGATAAAAAAGTAAAAGAAAGACACCTTGTCACTTTTTTTCATTTAAAACATTGAATAACGAATATGGGACGTCACATTGTCGAAACAAAAAGAATAATTTTCAAATGCAGGTTCGATTTTTTTAAAATTAATTATATGCTTTTTTTTCGCTCTCCTGCTGTCTCTCTCTCCTGGTCTTTATTCTTCCCACAATAAAAACTATGGAATACAGCCGAGAGGTTTAATTTGAAAGGTTTCTTTGAATTTAAATGAGTTCTTTTAATGACTCGACGTTTGTTTTTTTTACGTACCTTCATCTTTACTGTGAGTTCCAGTTGCAGTCGTTTCTGAATCAGATTCCTCTTCATAATTTTTTAATCGGCATGATGGTCGATGAAGTTTTGTATTTTGACGAACACCTGAAGCTGCCCTCGCAGATGTAGTAGAGTATTTATTTCTTTGTTTTCTCCATATTTTATTTAATTCATGGGTTGTTGGTGAGGATGGTGGTGTGATTGAATTATTACGTCTTTCTTGTTGATTTGTATATTGTTTAAATGTTGATGTTCTATCATTATTCATACGTGTATTGGTCCTTTCAACAGTCAATACTTGTGCACCAGTATTATCTCGTTCCATATAAGCTTCATTAAGTGGATCATTTTTCGATGGTTGACGAATATTTGTTGCTGAATTAGTTTGTAATGTTGATCGTCGATGTTGAACAGTATTTTTTGGTTGAACATCAATAATTTGTTGATGTTGATTTGGAGATGATATTCGTTTAAATGTATCTGTTGGTTCAACTTGGATATGATGATGATTTGTACGACTTTCACCTATATTTAAATTCGAAATAATTTTCATATGTTTTTAAATGAATTTAATTATCTGATATACCACTTCGAATTGGTTCATATGATTGTGGCATTTGTTCGTTAGGTTTTGGTACAGAACTTTGAATATGTGGATTTACACTAACTTCAGGTAATGAACGATGTTGACTATCACCACTGCGTATACGTGATGTTGGTGATTCAGTACGAACTGTAGCTCTTATTATTGGTTGTTGATTGAATTCCTTTTTAGATTTCTAATCATTAGAGAAAACAATAATTACAAAAACAACAAATTAAAATCACTTCGCTTTTTTTTTGTTTGTTTACTCTAGATTTATCAGGATGTTCATTAACTGTTTCACTGTTAAAACTCGATCCATCTAATTGATGTAAACCTGTATCAAGACTTTTAGCTGGTATACGTAATGGTGCGGATTCATGTATGTTTGAAGTCTTAGTTGATTTTATTTCATTGTGTATGAATGTTGTAGGTTGTTGTGCAATAAGTGGACCAGTTCCAGATGAAATTCGATTATACGATATTTCGTTTGATGGTTTATTTGATGTTAATGAACTTATTGGTCGTCTTGTTATAAGTTCCGTTGGAAGAGGACCTCTCGTACCACTAGTTGGTTGATAATAAAAACTTGATGCTGTTATTGTACCAGTATTTTTATGAGATACTACACGAGTTGTCATCGGTCGTGCAGGTATTGGTTCAGCATACAATGGTGTTGAATGACCATTTATTGTAGCTGTATTAAATGGTTCTGGACGTAGCTTATTTAATGATTTCGTCAAAGCTACATTTACATTGTTTATAGTTGCTTCTGTTTGAGATCGAGTATAAGTATTTGTCTATATGAAAGAAAAAAAAATTTCATAAGTGATTTAGAACAAATTGTTTATTTTTAACAATTTACTTGAGAATTTGAATGTCGACGAGCATCTCTATAATGATAAGATAAATATGGAAAGAAAAAGAAAACGAACTGTTTTATTTTTTCTAAAAAATTTTACTCACACTTGTTGATCGACTGCCGGATGTGTTGTAAGAAATTCTTTGACAGGTTTAAGTGGTCGTTGATGAAGCTGTGGAGGAATATGATTAGGTGGCTGAAAAGAACAACAAAAAAAACTCTTTAAATTTATTATGTAGAAAAGATTAATTTTCGTACAGAATGCGACCGCTGTTGATTATCATCATTTCGAACACCAAATGATGTTAATGGTGTACCTTCAGTAAAAACACTTCGATATCGTTTTGGTAATGAACCACTAGGAGCAGTATTTTTCGATTTATAAGGTAAATTCAATGCTCCTTCAGGTCGTCGATTTTCTTTTTCCTTAAATAAACAAACAAAGAAAATGTTCAATCGATTGTTATACTAATATAACTATTTCATAGTCATACTTTGGATATATACATATCTTTTGTACTTCTTTTCTTTTTTTTTCTCTTTCAGTTTATACATACTTTTAGCAGGCACATACTTGAACAAATTAATTCGACATATGACTTAGAGAGGATATGTTTAAAAAAAAGGACGCCAATAGGCAAATGTAAAGTAGAAGTGAATCAAAAAATAAAGTAGAAGAAAAAAAACGAGTTCTGTACTGGTGACTTCTGTTAGTTGAACAAAATAACGAATTCAGTTTGACAATATTACTTCTTGAATGTATATGAATGTATTTGTATCAGATTATTGAACCAGCATTGAACAAAGAAAAAAAGAAAGGGTACGAAAAAAAACTTGAAATTTATTTCTACATTTCCAGAACTCAAGGAAAAAATAACAAAGAAAAATTAATTTGTCATATTGATATACCTTATGTCTATGAAGATTATGTGTAACTGTTTTAGTAGAATGTGTTGTGAGAGCCATTAATTTAAACAATCAATAGTTGTTATGCAGAACAAAGGTGAATGCGATTTTCGTCTTTATCAAAAGTAATTGCAGTGAATAGCAGCATCAATAAGTCAGTAGCATGAATGGTGGCAAAACAAATAAAACAATTCTTCTCAAAAAAAAGAGTTGAAAGAGAAGGAATTTGTCTATTAAAGAAAATGTGGTCTAATAGAGCGAGACTCGATGTTGAAGAACAAACGTAATAAGTGAAAGAAAAAAGGAGAGAATGAGACAAACGAATTTGTTTATTTCCTCATCCATCGCGACAACATCATTTATTTTCATCGTCAACTACGTTTTCAAGAACAAAAAAAGAACAAAAAAAAAAAGAAAGAGAGAATGAATAAAGGTGTTTCGTTTCAATTCTCAGCACATATATTTCTTTTTGTTTGTATGATTATAACATATAGAGAGAAAAAAAAAACGAAAGAATTGTAATCGATTGTTGATTGTCATACAAAAGTTGAAATTTATAGGATTCACATTCTTGTAGTTTTTCAAACAATTGAATCGATTCTGATAGATTTTTTAATTAGATAAAAACAGATTTATTTTTTTTCATGCGATTAAACTAATTATTGAAAAAAGAAGAAAAAAAAAAGTGAATAGTTTAAATCATGAATGGTAAATCTTTGTTTTCTTCACCAATACCACAATACAGTGAACCAAAACGGTTCGTTTCTGGTATATGAAAAAATGCCATACCAATCCATTTGAGACAACGAATTTGTACTAATCCACTGCCACGTTCGTATTGTACACTCCAACCTAAAATATATGAAACATTGATTAACCACAATGAAAAAACTATAAATACGAGTTTTCATAATTAACATTCCTAATCAAAGTAGCTGTCATGCTGAGTAGCTATTCAGCTTTGGCACTTATACAATGTACTCGTCGAATAGCATGCTGACTAAGTTGTGACATGCGCTTGCCCACGTGGCTAGCGTATGATTAGTTAGTGTATACTGAAAATGTAAAACTTTTGCATTAAGTCGGCATTCTGTTCAGAATTACAGCTAGTCATAGTTGTAAAAAAGATATCGGACTAACGAATATGCCGCTAAGTAGCACTATACCGTAAGATAGTCGAATGGCACGATATTCTTCTTCTTTCTTCAAATCGAAATGGCCTAATCCTTCCAAAATACAACTTTCATTATTGGGCGCCTCTTCAGTAGTGGTGAGAGACAAGGGTTGGGGCAGGGGGAGGGGATAACGATTTTCTTCGCTATTGTTTTTCACCAATTCACGCAGCAAGAATCCCACTCTCCAATCTTGCCAAACTCATGACACCCCTGTTTATTATAATATTTAGAGTTTTTTTCTACATGATATAATACCTTTTGGTATGTCTTCATCAATCGTATCAAGAAAATGAAGACTTTTATCAAGAGTTGCTCGATGTACAAGACTTTTTTGTTCAAGACGAATTGGTGGACGAAAATGAAAATAATTCGATAATTTGCCACTTTCTGTTATTGTTAATCCTACAAAATAAATTAATTATATAGACAAAAAAAAACATATTTTATTTTTCTTACCTTCAAATGTACGATTTCGTTCTACATTACCATTTGGTTGAAGAATATATGAACCACGTGGAATAATTAAGGCATCTTGTTCAATTTTCCATAATGTTGCAGCTAATCGTTCTTCTTCACGTAATTGAGACTAAAATAAAAACACAAAACAATTTTCATAGATAAATATTTCTAATTACATTTTTATATTTATTACTTTATATTCTTCGATATTTTCTTCTTCTGTATCTTCATTTGTTATATGATATTTTGTTACTTCAAATTCATGTGATGGATCACCTGTAAAACGTCCTTGACATTGTAATGCTAATTCTTTTGCATCATCACTTGCTGGTGTTAACATATTCCAATTGATACAATCCAAGCTATAATTTATAAATTTTTCAATTTATATAAGAATTTTTATGAAAGAAAAAAAATTAAACAAATTACCTGTAAAGAAATTGTCGATCTTTAAGTTCATCTTTTTGACGACCTTGTATAATAAAATAATCTTCTGTTATACCTAATATTTTACCCCATAAATGAATAGTTTTAAATTTATATTGTTCTTTAAGAATAACAAGTGATGTTTGTAATGCAGCACGTTGCTCTGGACTAAAGACAATACCACTGTAAGCCAATAAGTCTAGATCAAGACTGAAATCTTTTGCTTCGATACCCATGTTTTGAATTAGAATGAATTTGTTTTACAACACGTAAGAGTTTCTTGTTGTATTAATGAAAGTTTTTTGATAGAAACATACACATATAATCAAGTCATTCAGAAAATGCGTTGCCTCGAAACCAACCTTTATTGAATGTGATAAGAAGAAAATTAAAAAAAGAAAAAAGAGGTCGCTCATTGGTGCTTATGCATAAGACCAACATTTTTCAGTTTGTCCAACATTAAATTAGAATTGAACAGAAAGCATCGACATGTTAGTAGAAAAATGCGTATTTCTTCTATTTTGCTATCACAATATGTAACTGATAATCTACCAACACTAAATCATAGATAATATTGATGAATGAAATATTTTTCTTCGTGGGATAATAAAAGGTGGTTCCAAAACTTTGTATTTAGATACAAGATGTTCCTAAATACTATTGAAACCTATCACTTTTGATTTTGAAGCGAGATAGGAATTCTTTTCAGATTTGTAAAATACTATCGAAAAAATAATCTGTAACTTCCAAATGAAAAATTGTGATAGCGGCTGAATTGAGAAAAATTAGAACTATATTTGCCGGTTTCCATAGCCAATGAACTCGACATCGTTACAATCGTTTTATAAGAACACAGTTAGGGAAACGTTTGTAATGTATTGATGAAAGATCAGAATCAAGAAAAATATTGAAGCAACTATGTGAAAAATGTAATTTAGACTTCTTTTTAACTTGGAAATCAAGAATAAAATATTAGTTTTTTTAACTCAAAAATGATAAAGATATAGAATCTTTTTTTTTTGTACAATTGATTAACTGTTCTATAGCAATGTTCATCATTGTTAGTTAAATTCAATTAGAACAAGAAAATAACAACAAATGATTTAAATAATTAATTGTTTCTGTTGGACAAGTTATTTTTTGGGAACAATTTTTCAAATTGAGTTATTTTCTTTATCATTTGTCTGTCATAAAATAAAGATTTCAGTTCATTGACATTTTGTTTTTAAAAAGTATTAGTCACTAAAATATAGCTTGTGTTTTACTCTTTCTATTTTTATGGATTCAGTCCTTTTCGAACATTTCCGAAAAAAATAGCTCAATTTGAAAGACAGTCCGAAACAAAAATCTGTTCAACGAAAAACACTACTGTTCAGTGTTTTATGTTCAGCCTCACTAGGATTCAACATTTAGAGATGGAATTTTTTGTGTTTATAGCATCGACACTGCTTATGATTCTGGCGCAAGTCTCGTCTCAGAAACCAACTCATGAGATAGTTATGCGCAAAACAAAGCCACTGGAAAAATTATGCTCAGTATGGTATACCAGTGGTTTATGTGAGGAAAGCTCAATGTCATGCATGCTATTGAGTGAGTCAAATTGATTTCAATATCGATATATCAACATAAAAAAAGTCTACAAGGTCGAATTATTTTTTACAAGACACGTCGTGAAATTCTCTACAAGAATAGCAAAGAAAAAGTCCATTAAATTATTTTGATCTTTTCTTCTGATAAGGCTAAAACTGAAAGACTATATGATGGTCAAATGTTCCTTCATGCTGAGAGAAACAAAAAATGAAAATAGAGTGATTTATGCTGATCTTGTAGTGTTGAGCATTATTTGTTCGATCACAATTCACTTTTTAGTCTTGATTAATCCTTTACCTCCCACGGCAATTCCAGAAGAGTCATTGATACGATAACTTTATAACGAGAACATTAATCTGTCAAATATGTCGATGATGTGGTCTAACCCTCTGAGTGTTCATTTCTTTATGTAGAACTGTTGGATTGATCCAATGATTGCACTTTGGAGAAGAAGGGTTGTACGACATACCAAGTTTCGGGTGTTTTTTTTTCTTTAGCCACATGATTAGGTAGGCAAAAGTAACATCTATCTCATATTATTGTAGGAATAGAAAAATAGGAACAGCCGACTGATAAAAATCAATGCGTTTCTGACATATCTTGTTAAATAAGCATCTACTTTGATTTTAGCCATTTTATAACCTCTAAAGACATTTCATTTATTAAAAAGGTACTATTCCAGCTTCTCATGAGCTGAGGTGTATTATACGTCAATTAGTTTTGTTTTTAATTAGCATTCAACTGCCCAATAATGGCTTCATGACCAATTGTATGCCTTAGTATGTGTTAGTCGCCTAGTTATCCTGATACCCCATGAAATTCACTACAAAAAATGTTCTTATTGTTTTCAGATTCTATGCTTCCTTTATTTTCTACACTCGTTCTACAGTTGGTCACTCCAATGGCCAACAGGGGTCAACGGTTAAGTACTCTCAAGATTATTAGCTGACTGCTTTGGAAATGTTTGGCTATTGTTGGCTAACTTTTTCTTGTACTTTAGGAACAAAGTCGTTTGTTGACTAAATGAATTCGTCTCTTAGCTTGTCCAATTCATATTCTTAAGATTGATGTGCGAACATCAACAAAGACATTTTAATTAAATCAATGTATTTATCGTTGAACTATAGTACAATGAGCCATATTTGCTAACATATTTGAAATGTCTGAACCTTTTCCCTCAGTTTTATTATTGACCATAACGATAACAAAAAGATCTTTACTTTTTTGTTATCTCTGAAAATATATCAGTGCAATTCAAAAGTCTCTTTTATGCATAACTAGCAGGAAATTTAATTACGTATGTTATAAAAAAAATCTAAGACTTTATGATTTTTTAGTGATGAATATATGTACAAAATAATTGATGTTATTTTCATTCTTGATTTCTCTTGACATAATGGAACATTTGAAAATCACAGAGTACTTCAGTTCTAGCCTTATAGGAAAATCATTAAAACAATTTAATAAGATTTTCCAATAGCATTCTTCTAGAGAATTTGATGGCACATATTTTTAAAAAAATATTTACCTTTAGATTAGTCGTTTGTGTTGAGATATCGGTCTTGCAATCATTTTACAATGACGAAAACAAAGAATAGGAATCATATAGAGCAATTAATTAGTATGATAATTAATATTTAAAAAATATATAGCAAATAAAAAATGTTCACTTTCGTGATCAATCAAATTTGAGAAAAGATCTAAAGTAAGTAAAATAATATTTACATTTTCAAATGATCGACTATTTTAATTCTAGACGGTAATAACAACAATAAATGAGATTATGTCGTATTAACTAATTTTTCTCGATCTAATTCAAATCATAGTATCAATGAATGGCAGATTCAACGATTGAAGTACCAGCGATGTTTATTGAATAACTGCATTTAGTTTCTAACACTGGTAAATAGTAAGAATGATCTAAGAACAGGTAAACGAGAAAGAAACAACGAGTTTCATGTTGATTTTGTCTACTTTCAGTGAACGTCGAGTAGAATCATGCAGAAAACTACATCGCGACAAATTTTTTTACGAGTTTTTCCTTAAGCTCGTTGTTTTTGGTATTCTATTCGCTCTAATTTCTAGTTTGAATGTACAGTAAATTATAAAATTATAATCATTGTAGTTATGTATTATTATTTAATCGACATAACCTACTTTTACTACTGAGCTTAGATATCTCACCTAATGGTAATATAAGAAACTTAGTTTTGACCACATCTTTTGCTTTTTCTCTTTTTTAGAAAACAATACAAACCTTTTTTTCAATGCACATCCGATAATTCCTTGACTCTTCATATGCAGTGCACATTATACGTAGTAAACCCAGATTCAATACGTATTTTAGAAGGAGTTAATACTTGCTTAGTCATTATCCCCTCTAATACACATACCTATAGGCCATAGTATTTTAATTGAATTCAACGTTAGTCTATTGTTGACCGTTGTAACAACAACGTTTGATATGCTGTCTGCATATCAAGGATGTGAGTGTAGCAAGGGTCGCAGCGGCCTTTTTGAAAATCAGGAATCAGGACAGGATTTTTAGAGAAAACAATCAGGAATCGGGTCGAAAAATCAGGATTGACGAAAATGGATAGGAATAAGTACAATCATGCCTTCAAAAAATTCACGTGACTATAGAAGATCAGTTTGCAAAATCAGTCAAGCAAGAAATATGAAAAAATAAACATAAATTTGGCCTCAAATTGAGAGTTCAATAAGTCGCCGAATAAACTTTTGAATGACTATGAACGAGTCTGTCGAATCATAGCACTTATGTCATTTTTCTGGAAAAGTTTTTTTTTCAACTTTTGTACTACTTAAGTGAGAAATGGGCGGTAAATAGTTTTGATCAAAAAATACTGCCTCACTACATAGACAATATTGCAGATTTAGATAGTCTTCTATGAACATTTGAAGAAGGTTTCAAAGTGATTAAATGGTGTTGACGTCAGATTTAGTGCATTAATAGCGGATTACTAGATTAGCACGAAATTTAAATAATTCGTCCACTCATTGAGATTTGACCGAGATGCATTCCTTCAAAGCATCGAAGTTTTCATTCTTATCATCTTAGTCTTTTTTTTTTAGAATAATTATGGAAAATCTTGTGTTTCAAAAAATTCGTATCTCTGTCAAATGTCTATTAACGGATGAAACATTTAGAGAGTCTCCGAAGCTAGTTGTCCCGATTAATTAGCAATATTTTACCTAAAATCCATTAATCAGTTAGGAATCTTCTTTGGATGCACCTAGGAAACCGTTTCAATCTCCGACATTTTTATGAAAATGGAGAATTTTTGTCACTGAAACTAACGAAATGGCCATTGCTCCCCTAACGAATGAGGACAAAAAAAATCGAAAACAAGTTGTTCTGCAAAGTGGCTGAAGCTTCATTGATTTATCTTAGGTGATCCGATTCAATTATGTTATGAGCAACTTTTCACGATACTAAAACCTAGCATCACCAGAAATTGATTGATGGCCAACCAGCCTAGATAATCGATGTTTCACTGGGTTGCCAACTTCTTAACAAACTTGCACTTGCTGATTCGTTTTTTCTTACTCAGCGAGAGAACTCGATCTTGTTGAGATCTTTTGACAAGAAGATGATTATTTCCATGGATTCACGGATCCGAGGCGTAGGCAGAGGTTTTTTAAGGGGGCGGGCATCATCTAAGAAAGGGAATCGTCACAGTAATAAAAACTTTTCAATTGACAGAAATTTAGCTCCGTGTACCTCGTGGCAGGAATTTTTTCTCCGACGGGTGACGCTCTCCATTCCCACTTGGCTACTCCACTGTTGCCGACATTCTTCGATTAAAAAAAAACGCTAAATCTATTCTTTTAACAACATAAACAACATGATCATTGAAAAAGCAATATCATCAGTAGCCCAGGACATCATCTGTGAAACACATCTGCATAGTCTAAACTGGTATTGCCAAAGGAAGTGATTACATTTCGACACAATTTTTAAAAAATCAAGAAAATCAGGATTTTTTATCCAAATCAGGATGATTTAGGACAACTTTAAAAAATTAGGAAAACATCAGAAAAACAGGACCGCTGCGAGGCCTGGTGTAGATGTGCGCGTAGGTATGTGATTTCCACTGTAGTTGTGGATGCATGGGTGGAGAGAAAATCCATACTCACAAGCGCATTTACAGGAACACGACCACAACACACTGAGATCCATGTGTCTTTTTGATGACCCTGCCTGGGTCAAAAATTACTCATACCCACCAGACCCAGCTTAGAGTAGTGCTGGTAAAAGTATATGTCTTTTAGCCAAAAGATTTCTACACGATGGAACTTCACAATTACTGTAGTCATTTATTAGAACACTGTAAAAAGTTTAGTATCATAATGAAAATGAGTTGAATAGAGCCAAACAATTCTAGTGCTTGAAAAAATCTGCATGAGAGATAGGTTGAATTACTTATTGAACCGAAAGACTCAGATGCGTTCGTAGATACTGCAACTTGTTGAACACTGTCATTCATTAACATACGCTTTCATGGTTAAAATGCCCGCTAATCAATTTCAAAGACATAGCTCGGCGGTTACTATTTCCAGTCTCACTGTTAATTTTAATACATAGTCAACATTGTTTCACGTCAACAAAACCCATACCACTTAATCTAGTTGATATTGTACTCGACCTTGTGTGTAGATGAGGAATGTCATTTAACCGAATAAATGCTCTGCTTTGATTTAATGACCAAATGAAATTTCCGAAAATGTTCGCATAATAAAGATTGATGATTGTTGTCAGTTGTGACATGCAAATCCATGTAAGAAATTTTCACTAAAAATCAGAAAGATATTGATTAAAATCACGCTATTTAATACTGATCGATATCTAATTTTTATCATATTCAACTAGCACCAGTTTGATCTACTTTTTAATTAGAAAAAAATCGATTCACATCAGATTTTTCCTGTTTCCCTACCTAGAAAATCTTTCTTGCAAAAAAGAAGTACAATTCGAGCCGGGTCGGATGACTTCTTTCGAGTTCTAATGCTACTCGGCAAGACGTAACAACACCAGAATATAACCTCCATGATCCAATCATCCATTCAGCTTTTGGAATGAAGCTCTAATCGATGTTGGTTTCAGTAGTCACATATATGATGTTACATTTTACTTTCTATTTTGCAATATATCACAAAAACACTCTGAAGAATCAATTAGACCTCACATGTTTGTTGCATCCTTTGANAATTTAACTGCATGAGCGTAGAAATATTGTGCCTATTATCGCTCAAGAATAGTGAGAGACTTTGTAAGACTTGGAAAATTATTTTTAATGATGAAGCAATGGGTTTTTGTTTACTCTATAAGTTTCTCCAGGAACATGAAAAAAAAATTGTCAATGTTGGACGTTGTGTAGAGTAGATACTTCTCTGAAAAATGTAAGATGTAGCTTTTACTCAAATGAAGTTACAAGCATTTTTCAAGATCTTTTTTCCACGTGAAATGGTTCTTGATTTTTCAAAAATAAGTATTTAGGAAAAACACAAACCGACGTACCTTGTCGAGAGACAAAAAAACAGAGCATTTTGTGCAGTAACTTTTCAACTACAAACTGAGATACAAATAAAGATCCTAACTTTTAGTTTCGAATCACAATTAAACAAACATCTTGCCTAAAAGTTTTCCAATTAACGGTTATTTCAATATTATTTTATTATATAATTTCATATTTAGATTTGTCATCCACGAGAATGTGCAGAATGTGATCAATTAATAAAACAAATATGTTATTCACATGAAAATGAAAGAGAAGTTTTATGTAGTATTGAAACTGGTAGTACAAAAACTTATACATGTGGTGAACCATGTGGAAAATTACTTTCATGTGGTCATCATAAATGTACAAAAACATGTCATAATGGACCATGTCCAGATTGTTTATTATTACCAGAAAATTGTAAAACATGTGCTTGTGGAAAAACAAATATGGATAATCAACAACGAACATCATGTGTTGATCCTGTATGATTGAAAAAAAAAAATTATTCGAAAAAAAAAAAACATTGTTCTTGTTTTGTTTAGTTACCAACTTGTGAAAAAATATGTGAAAAATTTTTATCATGTGGTCCTATTGATGATCATCATCGATGTTCAGCTCAATGTCATAATGGTCCATGTCCACCATGCAATAAACAATCTATTCTTAAATGTCGTTGTGGACAATCAAGTAAATCAGCATCATGCATAGAAGTAATACAATATGATCCAATAAAAAATCCTTTTTGTTGTGAACGACGATGTAATAAAAAAAAAATATGTGGAAAACATAGGTTAGTTATATTCATTTGTTTTAAATTGTTAATATTTTGTTTTTTAATTGTATACAGATGTAATGAATTATGCTGTGATCGTGATATGCATGTTTGTGAAATAATCTGTGGTAAAACACTTAATTGTGGTATACAGTATGTATATTTAACAAAAAAAAAAGTCGAAAAATAATAATTGAATCATTTTTTCTTCTAGTAAATGTGAAGAATTATGTCATAAAAATTTTTGTCGTAAATGTCCAATTAATAGTTATGATGAATTAACATGTCGTTGTGGTCAAACTGTTCTTCAACCACCTATTGAATGTGGTACAAAACCTCCAATGTGCAATTATAAATGTAATCGAACACATGCATGTGATCATCCTGTTTATCATAGTTGTCATAATGAAGATGAATGTCCACCTTGTACACATCTTGTTTCAAAAATGTGTGTTGGTGAACATACAATACGTAATAATGTATGTAGAAAAACAAAAATCTCCTTGATTTTCGATTGATTTTCTTTATTTTTTTAGGTTCCTTGTCATTTAAAAGAAGTCTTATGTGGACAACCATGTGGTCAACTTCTATCATGTGGACTTCATACATGTCAACGTGTATGTCATTTAGGTCCATGTCAATCAAATGATCAAAAATGTACACAACGATGTACGATAAAACGACGTGAGTGTGGTCATCCATGTAATGTTGTATGTCACGGACATGAACCATGCCCAATAGTAACATGTCGAGAAGTAATTAAAGTTCGTTGTCCATGTGGTCGTTTAGTAAAAGATATTGTTTGTAATATAAAACCAAATGAATCTAATGGAGAAAAAGATGATATTGATTTAACTCAATCACTTGTTCAAGCATTATCAGTTCGAACAATTGATTTATCACTTGCACGTAAACAACCACAACAACAACAACAATTAGAATGTGATGATGAATGTCGCATAATACAACGAAATAAAAATTTAGCTCAAGCTTTATCAATTAATCTAGATGAACCAAGATCAACACCAATTGTTTATACAGATTTCTTACGTGATTATGCAAAAAAACATTTAGAATTTGTTCAAACTATTGAAAAACAATTTACACAACTTGTTGAAGAAACTCAACGTCATCGTGTTTCAAAACGATGTTATTCATTTAAACCAATGAAAATTAATGAACGTCATTTAATTCATGAATTAGCTTCGTTTTATGGTCTTGAAACACAAGCCATGGATCCGGAACCAAACCGTAATGTTGTTGCATATGCATCGTATGGCATGTGTAAAATTCCACCTGTTACGTTAAGTGAAACAACTCGACGAGAAAAACTCAAAGTACCACCTCCAGCACCATTGACATAAACTGATATTTATATATATATATATACATATTTATTCACAGATATATGTAGTTTTTATTTCTTGTGGTTTATTCTTTTGATATTTAGTTGAAATAAAGATTAAAAAAAAGAAAAGAACTAAATCAATGTATATTCTTATTTTGAATATTAAAAGAAATAGAATTGATAATTTTTTTTTTGTTTTTCTTTTCTGGGTTAGATTACGATTTATATCGTAGCTCTGGATATGTATTACCGATCATTGCTTTCAATTTCTCGATTTACTGTAAATTCTTCTAATATTGCAAGTCGATGTTTAGTAGCATCATTCAATGATCAATTGATATATACATCTCAACAACATAATCGTTACTTAACGCAAAGTACATCAAATCAACGACCACCTGGTCGTCTACGTCGATTTTTTCGTTGGTTCAAAAGCGACCCTAAACCAACAGATTTTACGACACCAATAACTCCACCTCCAGCACCATTAAGGACTATGCAACGAGTAAAACGTTTTCTCGCCATTGCTCCAAAAATAGAACGTTTTTTTCTTCGTTCACATATTATTGAAGATGAAGATTTAGCTGGATTATTATCAAAAACAGCTACTGTAACAATCTATGCATTTATTGGTGTCACTACACTTGGAACATTTGGTGTTGATACTAAACCATTATTAGCTGGTATTGGTATAACAGGTTTTACAATTGGTTTTGCTCTTAAAGAAGTAGCAACGAATTTTATATCAGGTATTTTTCTTGTTATTAATAAACCATTTGTTCGAGGATGTCGAATTAAAATTCATGGAAGTGGCGGTGGAATTGAAGGTAAATTATATTAATTTTAGTAGACTTCTTGATATTCTACTGACTATTATCCTCTTAAAAAAGGTCTCGTCCATTTTATCGACATTCGATATGTACATTTAAAAACGAAAGATCGTAAGTGAACAATTTTCTTTTATTATAATAGAATATTAGTAGCATTTATGTTTATATTACAGGTGGTATTGTAATGATTCCATCTGCAATTGTTTATACAAATGCGTTTACTGTTTTTCCAGCCGATGATGAAGCTAATGCAGGTTTTCTTGATATGACTAAACCGCCAATGAATGACCCTACCAAGCCTCCTCAACCATTGTCATCATCAACATCTAACACTGCTACGATAAAAGAAAAACAATTAAAGATGAATTTTGATGCAGAACCAGTGGGATCATTTAAAAAAAGCAATGTTTAATGAATAAAAATAGAATTATAGACGATGTATTATTTTTTTCGACTTGATTATGATATTTTCTTTTTTTAACATTATAAGAGTTTCCCTTAATCTAAATATTATTAGTCTGAATACCTACATATATATTTAATTTAATCTTTTTTCTTTTACAATGTGATTAAGTGGGATGAAAAACTCACGATAAAAATAGACACATTTATCTATAATAAAGAAATATCATTCTTGACCGATTGGTTCATCAAGAAACACGCTATCATCTCGATCAAATATTGGTCGTCCGATAGATGTTTTACAATAATTTTCACTAAAAACCACACGTGCCCAAGCTAATGTTTCATTGCATACTTGCATAGCCCAATATGCTTTTCGTGGTTGTACCAGCCAATCAGGACTATCAAGAAGTAAATCTAGTACATTTGAAGCCTGATACCATTCAACAAGAAGACTACCATGTATAGGTAATTCTTTATGACGTGAGCGAATGTATGAAATAAGGGAATTTAATGTTGGAAAACATCTGGTTCCCTTTGTTACCATGTCAACAATTGATTCTGTTGAACGTAAAACAATTAATAAAGCCGTTTTTGTTATTGATGTTGCTAATGTTATTTGTTGTATATCATCTTTGTCAAGTTCAAGCATTTGATTAAATGTATGTTTCAAATTAAGAAAATATTCAGTTAAACTATCCAAATTAAAGTTACCAGTTTTAGCACCTAATAGTTCATTTTGAAAAGAATTAACATGATCAGTTTGTGCTTCAACTGATGCTGTAATACTTGATTCTTGAACATCGGCTGATGGAAGATCAAACGCAAATTGTCGTAATTGTTCGTTTTTTCTAGCTAATGTATTGTGACGAAGTTGGTCAGCAAGTGCAAGTGCATGAGACCAACGTCTATGGGAAAACTGCCCCGTGTGTCTATCATTTTCATAAGAAGTACCATTATTGCTACTAATATTATTTGATGTTGTTGGTTTTTCACTCATTCTTCTATAATGAAATAAAAAGAAAGCCCCTATGAATTAAATAAGAGTGCTTCAGTTATAAGCATATACAGAGAAATAATAAACGTTCTCCTCTTCATTTTGCTTTTTTCTTATTGTTTTTATACTTTTCTTCTAGATTTTTCTTTATCTCGTGAGTAAGAACGCATTCACATCGGAGGTCAAATATATATTACGGGAATTAAAACTAAATTAAGTAAGAACATTGGTGTTTCTATGTAGCAACACCAACGATATTATTTAATTTTGTTTCAATGGTTGTAGCACGTTTGGGAGAAGCACTCTTGATATTATACTCTTCATTGAATATGCCTACAAGATGCGTTACAAGTCGTATTTTTTTTCTTTCTCTTTCTTTTAGCCAAAAAATAATCGACAAGTACTATAGAGCAAAGCTGACTTTGTTACTGTGGCTGTGTGCTAGTCACTGCATCGGTATATTTATTTTTTCTTTCCTTAGTCTAACGGGCAAGAAAAAAAGCGACATTCTTTCGTTTCTTATTTACTATCGAAAACAATCATTTTTTTATCGATTTTTTTTACTTTTTATGATGGTAGTCAATAAGAGCACTATGTACTCTTATCCACAACCCGAGAAAATATTTTCGCATATCAACTACACTTTAGCCTGAAGGCTGTACATGCTATTCTAACTGATTATCTAAAGATTAATTAACATTACGTGACGTCTATCCAAAAAATAATAATGGATAAGGAAATTATGTCACAGTTCTTCTTGTATTCTGTAAAAAAATAGCAAAATAGCATCGTTATTTGTGTACTACGTCTAATAATAGTAATTTTTGCATAGAAGAATTAAAAGAAAACAATAGTAATCTATAATTTATGTGACAGTGGTTTCAATCCAATAATATATGTCATAGTCTTTGGTCTGTCTTTTGTTTTTCCTGACACAAACACAAGCGATTTACATAAGACAAAAACAGAATCAGACGTCATGGTTATTGTATATTGACTCATTTATTATTTGTTGTTGATTTCAATCACAAGAGCCTAGTATTAAACTAATAGTTATTATTTATTATTTTCAATAATAGATTTCATATAGATAAAATAAAGATGAGTAATATTTGACAAATATAAACAAATTTTTTATGTAAACGTCGATGAAAGTTAAAATACAACGTCTCATGATGACTTATATTTGATGAAGAAAAGGTCTCGTGATAGTTGATCAAAGATATAAATAATTATGCATGACGTATTTTCTATGCTACCAATTCATTATTGTTTTATAATAGATGTGCAGATAGATGTATTGGCAAATATTTAAAAATTTTGCTCATATGAATTTTGTATTTCTCGTATTACTAATATTGATGAAGTCATAAACATCAATAAAAGAAACAATTATAGTCTTTTGAATGTGACTATTGATTCGAACGAACTATATTGTATTTTAATATTTACTAAATAAGTTATTCATTATTAATTGAACACATGTCAAATCTGCAATAATATAAAAAATACAATGAGCGGATGTTGAATAATGAACTATAACATGATTAAAAGAGTAATCAATAATGTTTTATTCTAATGAGCAAATATAGCTGTATTTAATCACAGATGACAACACATATGCATAATAATTTGCATTCAAATATCTTAATTCTATAGATATGAAAATTGTAAAATCTTGATGTTCATGAAAACACATTCATACCTCTTAGAAATAAAAATTTATCTATTAAAATTCAAACTTAAATACAGAATAAATCTGACTTGTTTAAATTCTATGATCAGATTGAAAATGTTACTAATGAAACTATTCTAGTTATTAATTGACATCAAACTTTCAGTCTAAATAAAGAAAGTTTGTTTTAGTCGTTGTTTATTTTTACAAAACCAATATCCGATTACATCACAACGACACATGTTATTTTTAAAGTTATGCAAATGAAAATTCAATATATATATTGTAAAAAATAAGTATAGAATACTAAACTCTCACTATTCGTTTATTACCATAATATAAACATTTTATCTTTATAAATATTGGCAAAGATTGATGACCCATCGCAAATTCATACACTTTTGTACTGTTTTCTGTGTTCGTAAACCTTATTTTTTTGATATATGAACAGAATTAACCCTTTGGTGGCGGATCTATCATTGCATGTTTTAAACATAACTGTGAAATAATAAACCCTTCGCCTGACGGTTTAGTCCCTTCACATATCCAAATAGGATTAATAAACACAGAACACAATACAGGAATATATGAATTTATAATGCGTCTCAAACTTCTCCTAAGACTGATGAAGAAAAAGGGTTTGTGAAAGGAAAGACTACTCAGATAATCTTACAATTGATGTGTTTGCTTGTAATAGATGGACAATAAGAATTTATTATTCTGCACTTTTTCTTTATTATACACTAGATAATAAATTACGTCATTGTATTTCATCTCTTGAATGTTTGTTTATGCATGCAAATTGAAACAGAAAAAAAAACATGATACACATGAGTGATTTTTACTTTCATGTTCATTAGTATTGATATTATGTCATCATACCTTCATTAACTATTTATTTTGTTTCCAACAGCTATACTTCTCTGAAAAGATTATGATAGATGGATCTATGCGCAAAAATTCAGCGTCACAAAACCATCAACGAAGACAATCACCTTCTCAATCTCCTCCGCAACAAATGCCCATACCGCAGGTATAGGCTCAACCACAACCACATCCAGTAGTACTGGCAGCTCGACAACAACAAGTGGTTCAACCTACATCTGTTCAGCAACCAATTTAACAAGGACAAGGTTTCGTACCGGCACAGCAACCCATGATGCCTCCTCAACAACGTAACATGATGCCTGTTCGTCCACAGCAGCCCATGATGCCTAGCCCACAACCTGTCTGGTCACAACAGCCCGTTCAAAGTGATTATACTCAATAATTAATTCGTATAAATGTCAGAAAAATCAGTTAAGTTTTCTCAATTGTTATTCGGGCACACGAAAATATTTGTTACAAGATATGAATGTTCTATTTAATCAAGCTGTTTTTATTTTTTGTATTTTAATATATGCATATATAAAAATAAAATTCAATATTACATAAAAGGTTTGTTTCTTTACGGAAATTGAGATAAATTCAAAAAAAAGTTCTTCCTTTGCTGGCATATTTTTTTGAATTTTAATCTTATTTGATTGATTCTTTACAAAAATTATAAATATATTGATATTTCGAAGATGCTTCTTTGATAAATAAATGCAAGCAAAATGGAAAATAATTGACTTCAATAATAACAATAATCATAATGTTGATAAGATTTTGAGAAAAGAGAAGAAAAGTATAACACCAGTTTGTCCAATGCCAAGTAAGAAACAAAAAAAAGGTTTTGTTTCTACTGAGGCAGCATAAAACATAGCTGAAAGAAGTGCACCTAGAAATTAACAAAATTAAAAATAGTTTTTCTCTTTTTAACTTGAGTGTATCCATTCCCTCTTTTTGATCATTTCTATTTCTGAAAGACGATGTAACGGATCCGCATGAAATGTTTACTATGGATACAGTACCTAAGAAAAATAAGGAGACAATCCCTATCTAACTTTGTCTGATCGAGCTGCAAATTTCTTGAAGATATTTTAGACTATATCTACCGGATGTCCCAAAATGTTTGCACACTTTTTATTTTGCATATGTCTCAGCATAGATACGTGAGAAAAGTCTTGATTTTTTACCAAAAGATGCGCCGTAAAAAGCTCTACTATAGTGGTAATACAAAATCCCTCTTAACATGTTCTGATGATTTTTTCTATACCCAAAATGAAACGCCTATATCGTATGCTACTTCCTACCATATTAATGGATGAGACTGAATAAATAGTCGCGATTAGCATTTCCATTTTCAATCACTTAATAGGTTGTATTAAAAAAACAAGATATACCACAAGATACAGCGTGAAAAGCTCTACAAATTACATAAGATCGCTGAATTTATAGTTTCTCTTTTTTTCTCTTAATGCACAAAGATTTTAGCGATTAGATTTTGATTCTGGAAAGAAGATCATGTGCTGATGCACGACAAATTCCTTTTCTTATTTCTTAGCTTAATGAGTCATATCGAAGATAATAATCGATGGCCGAATATAGACGCATTGATACGTGATCCATGTGCNCTAGTAAATTTATTTCCAAATATAAAAAAAGAGAAACAAGAGAGAAAAAACGAACATTAGTTACAACATCGGAGCAGCTAGCGGCGGCGATATAGCAAAGAGTGCGATGGCAAATATACTTTTATCTTTTCATATTTCGTTCTCTATTTTATTTTGATTGAATGTTGCCCCCCCCCCCCCTGATAGTAGCCGACGCTAGTCAAAGACGATATATCAATTACGTCTTGTTATGATATATGAACTACTTCTTTTTGAATTTCAAGAAAATTAATTAAAAAGATGGTGAAGATATTTGCCACAAAATAAATAGAACAAAACAATCTCCCTGTGATTAGCAAGTATAGCGACGTCATGTTTCACGTTTTGACTCCGTAGGGAATGTGCTAATTGCTTTTCTAATTGAGTTAATAGTCCTGTTGATTCGTAAAGTTTTCGTGACAATGAAAAACCTATACATCATCCTTTTTAACCTTGAAAGGCTTGCATGAGATCTGATTTTGATAATAAGATTTGATATCCTCCTTTTTTTGAAAAAAATTGATTCGTAAATATTATTATTTGTTTTGTTTTGAAATAAATTAATAAATTATTATTTAGAATATTGTTCTCGATATGGTGTACGTGGTTGTTTAAGACATTTATATTATTTAAATGATTTACTCGATCGAGCTGAACAAGGATTTATGATTGATCCACAATTAATTCATTATAGTTATGTATTTTGTGCTTCACATGTCTCAGGAAATCGGTAAAAAAGAAAAATATTTCATTAAATAGAAAAGAAAAACATTGTCTTAATTATGTTTTAGACCCGATAATAATGTATCGACTATTACAATGGAAGAAAAAGATCGTTTTAATGAAATAAAAGAACGATTAAAAATATTTCTTGAACATCAAGTTACTAATTTTAGGTAAGTTTATTTTATAAACACACAAATTTAAACAAATAAATATTTTCTAGATTTTCATTTCCATTTGGTCGACCCGAAGGTGCATTAAAAGCAACATTAAGTTTATTAGAACGTGTTTTAGCTAAAGATCTAGCTACACCAATATCTCGTGATGATATACGACATTTTATTGGCAAATGTCTTGAAAATGCAGCATATATTAATTATACACGTGTATCTGATCAAGCTAAAATTGAAGGTAAAAAAGAAAAATATTCGAGAAGAGAGAATTGGAAGGAAAATGGGGGGGGGGAGGGCAACATTCAATCAAAATAAAATAGAGAACGAAATATGAAAAGATAAAAGTATATTTGCCATCGCACTCTTTGCTATATCGCCGCCGCTAGCTGCTCCGATGTTGTAACTAATGTTCGTTTTTTCTCTCTTGTTTCTCTTTTTTTATATTTGGAAATAAATTTACTAGTATAGATGTATATGTTTGAGTGTATATGGGTTAGTTCGATTGATCTATTCTTTTTCCAGGCGAACGAGAGACACAGCAGCAAACAGATAACGGTAAATTTCATGTGTCTTTTTTTTTTCTAACTACCTTTTTTTTCAAGTGATGTTCCGTAAATAAAAGCTTTTCCCATTCTTTTTTTATCCCTCTTCTTTATTTTTTAATTTTCAATAAAAGAAAAAAATAAATTTTTTTTTAATGAGATAATTTGCTTTTTGTATTAAGTAAATATTCTGAATTGATTTTCTCGTTTTCATTGTAGCAATAGCAGCTTTTTGTTTCGCAATGTTGTAATTTTTTTAATCTAAATGCCTTATTGTGTATCGTCTATAGCATTGTTGTCATATAACACATACATTTCTTATATCTTTTTTATTCTTCTCCATAGTTCATCCATAAAAAAAGCGCATGCAATTAAATGGTTGATCTATGATTTCGACACTGTTATCCCCCTGAAAAAAAAAAACTAAACATTTATCTTTTACTTTCTTTATTTTCTCATTTAAATTTTCTTTTGTCTTTTTATTCTTTAATTGTCTTGTGTTTTTTTTTTGTTTTTTAATTTATTATATAGAAACAGTTTACAATAGTGATGATTCACCGAGAAAAAAAGTTGAGGATTTAATTCATCTAGCTGAATTATGTATTGAATTATTACAACAAGATTCAGAACATTATCGAGAAGCATTTCAACAATATAATGATTTATTAATTGAACATGAAGAAATTTTTTGGTCATTATTTGCTGTTGATATGGAACATGTTATTGATCAACAACCAATTGAAAGTTGGGATTCATTTCCATTATTTCAATTATTAAATGATTATCTTCGAACACATGGTAACATTGTTTTTTTGGTCGCGTTTTTATTGAAATCACGTTTTTTTTTCAGAGTCATTGTCAAACGGCCGATTTCATCAGCAGTTACGTGATACATTTGCACCATTAGTTGTCCGTTATGTAGATTTAATGGAATCATGCATAGCACAATCAATACATAAAGGTTTTGAAAAAGAAAATTGGAAACCAAAAGCGTATGAAAACTATTGTTTTTTTTTTCAAAGTATAAAATTGTCGTTTTCGTATTTTATTTTAGACGAGGATGTGCAACAAGTGAAGATATATTATGGAAACTTGATGCTTTACAATGTTTTATTCGTGATTTACATTGGGTATATGATTCAGTGTTTTTTGAAAAAAATTTTTATGATTCACGATTTTTTTCATTTAGCCGGATGAAATCTTTGGTGAACATCTTGAAAAACGACTTAAACAAATGGCTTCAGATATGATTGAAGCTTGTGCTAAAAGGTATTAAAAAATTTCTGTGTACTATGATAGTCATAGATATATAACGGAATTGTTAAATAATTGAATTGTGTATGTTTTCATATTTATTATAATTATTTTCTTTTTAGTAGATAGTTCGAAATCGACTTTAAAGTATCTATAGAAATAATGTTTATGAATATTTTAGAGTATGGCGTCATTTTGAAACATGGATAAAAAAAGGTGGTTTAATTGGCGGTACCAGTTCAGATTATCTTCTACCATCTGAATGTTGTGTTATGATTAATGTTATACTTGATTGTAAAGTTCAAGTAAAATATTCTATTTTTTGTTTTCTGTTTATAATAACTTTTTTTTTTCTTATCTTATTAGGCTTTAAAATTATGTGCATTGCATAGCGGTGATCTTCATCAATATCATACACGTATTGATGAATATTTAGAAAAAATTTTAAGTGATATGTCAAAAGCATTAATACAAAAATTACTTAGTGTTCTGGATTCTATATTAAAAAAATTATCACGTTATGATGAAGGATCATTTTTTGCTCAAATACTTTCATTAACAGTAAGAAATTTTTTTTTTCAAGTTTTTATTCAATTATTTATTTTTATTCAAATTTAGAAACCAATTAATGAAGATGGTCAAGCATATGTATCATGTGTAAATGCTAATTTAGAACAGTTACGTCAAAAAATTAGTGATGAAATATTTACATTAACTATATTTGAAGTTAGTTTTATAATATTGATTTTAGTTATTGTTTTTAATTAAATGAATATTTTAATAAATATAGGAATGGTATCGACAACAAACACACTTTATTTTTATGTGGCTTGGCGAAAGAACAGAAATTAGTCTTCATTCATATCAATTAGCTTGTTTAATGTTAATTGTTAAAGTAAATGTCGAAAGTTCTTTTGTTGTTTTCTTTCATTTTAATTTCCTTATTTATTTATAGAAAACTCATGGAAGTTTTGAATTACAAGGTGTTCAAGAAAAAGATCTTAATTCACAGTTGTATAATAGTATTATGCAAAGATTACACGTAAGCAATAAATAAACTTTTATTGTTATCTATGTATTGTGCATGTATGTATTTTGTAAATATTATTGTTGCATGGTCTGTTGTATGTATTGTGGTATGTGTGAAAGTGTTTGAAAATAAGAATATTTATTTATTTTGTTTTCAGTTCGAAGAAACAGCAAATGCAGTAAAATAAACAAGCAAAAAGACATTGTCTTGTTCACAAAAGAATCTCGTATCTATATTTGTGATCTTTGCTGATAAAATACTATATTATCATCTAATTTTACTTCTTTTTTGTTTTGTTTTTATACTATTGTCTAATTAGGGCAATCATACTGTGAATAGTTTTTTTTTTCGTGTTTTCAATCTTTAAATTTGTTGTTTTTTTTAATATATTTCAAACTTCTATGTGTTCTTAATGGCAATGACTCAACAGTCTATTTGATTGGTTTCTTATAGCCGGTGGATCTCATATATTCTGTTATCTTCTTTTGTCCAGGTATATTTTATTTGTTGCAATATTTATCATCATCAAAAAATCGAAAAAAAAATCAAAACAATACTAATGAAAAATATTTCATGTAATTATTCACTGTGTCTCTATTTCTCTTTTTTCTTTGACAAAGTGATCCTCTTCCTGTATAGTTTGTCTTTACAAAATAAGAAGTTTTTTTCTTTGTGTGCACCTTTTCTTTTTGTTCGCCTTCTTTTTTTTCTTCTTGAAAAAAGTCTGTTATCGCTATTATTCTTAATTCCATTAATTTCTTTTTTTTTTGTTTTTTGTATTTGTTTGTGTGCTCTTTTCTTTGACACATCTTCTTAAAAAAAAAAAAGAAAGAAAACGAAAGAAAAACAAGAAAACATGAAATAAGTATTTTCTATGCAATATAGAATCGAATACGAATAATTTTCTTCGTTTTCAGATGATTAAAATTTGTCAGATAGTATAATGGATTTAGCAGATATTACTGAATTTCGTACAACATGGAACAATGAAATTTTTCTTAAAAATAAATCTACTTTTTTAACAGCAAAACGATTAATTAGAAAAAGTATTATTATTGGTAAGATATCAATTGATAATTATTTTATGTTTTTTAAATTTTTTTTTATTATTTATAAGTTCAAGCACGATTATGTCGTCAATTAAAATATGCGGAAAATAATTTAACAATTGAATTACAAGCTATAGAACACGAAAAACAAATATTGAATAATTATAGTCAATCGAATTCATTAGCTGAACATTTACAACAAGTAATTGAATATGATAAATTATATTCATTGATTTATTTCACATACAAATGCAGCCAAAAAGTCACCGAGCAGTTTTTGATTAAGAATAACTTTTGATAGAAACAAGAAATAGAACTACAACTTTCACTGTTGAACAGAGAAGACTTAGAGAGAGGGGGGGGGGGGAGAGGATTGAACCATTTAAGAAACATTTTTCCGGAGGGTTTTTGAAAAACTGAGATTAAATAAACTCGTGTAATCAGAATTTAAATTGTTATGAGAACTTTGAAAACTTCGTTTTTTCAAAACCTTCTGTAAAATGTTTTTTATATGGTTCGATCTTCCTCAAACCTACAATTATCTCTTTTTTATTTCTATTTAAAGTTATTCGCAATGAAAACCTGCTTGATGACTTTTGAATCACTCTCTCTATATATTTTTTTTAGAGATTGAAAATATTAAAAAATGAAATTGATAATTATAATCTTCAAATAAAAAATATAGTTAAAAAAGAAAAAGAATATTGGAAACAATTAGAACAAACAATTTCAAAGTTAGTAAAAATGAAAATAAATAAAAACTTTGATTAAATTTAATATTTTAATATTTATTATATTTTAATAGACGAACAAATATACATAAAACAACAACGAATAACTTCAAACCTTTAGAAAATTCATCCAATGCTCAACCAATAGTTGTTGTCAATGCTGCATTTGTTATGCATGTTGATAAAAATAATGAAAATTTACCTCCATTAGAATATAAATCTTGTGAAAGAGATAATAAGTCTCCTGTAAAAATATCTAAAATTCGTAAAAAGAAAAAATGTACATCGTAGTCAGATATGATATTTTTGCTAAATATATGCATATATATATATATATAATTGTTATCTTTTTATCATGACCAAACGAAAAAAGAAAATTGATATTAATCATTATGTTTTCATATTATTGTTCTTTAACTATGATAGAAATATTGAAATAAAATATTGAACTTGTAAATCTTTTTTTTTCTTTCTTGCACAAAGAGAAATATATTCAATATAAGTGTTGGAATGAAAATAAAAAAAAAAGAATTTCTTTTATGAATATTCAACAATTAATTTATTATTCAAAGAATATAATTTAGTCTTCAAATATGTTTTGCATATTGAAAAAAAAATTATTTGAATTTCAATTCAATATGAAGCAACACTTTGAATCAAATTCTTCTCTATGAAACGAATCGATAGTTTTTTTTAATTCAATACAAATATATATTTAATGAGATAGATGTTTGTTTAAAGGTACCCGAGTAACTTTTTTTATATTCGCATTGACATAATGCAGGTTTCAGCGGGCAGAATTCGAATTCATTTTAATACTACATAAGGCAATGTCTACTCAATTTAACATAATCTATGCAAGAGAAGTTAATACATATTTCACTGATTTTTCAATACTGTGAAAGTTTCATCATCTGTCATGTACTTTCAAATAGAAAAATGAATCTGAAAACTGGAGACATCTATCGTTGGAATGAGTAGGTATATACATATATGTTTTCTTCGTTGGAGATTTTTTTCATAATAATCTCATCTGTTGTCAAAGCAACAATGTGCATAATGGTAATGTCATTCATTTTTCTATCAATCAACATTTGAAAAAAAAATGCTTCGACGTCCACCTGAATTACCACGTTCAGTTAATGATCGTCTCAATCGATTGGCAACATCAGTGTTTACACCAAGGGATCCAAATGATTTGAAACATGGAAATAATCTTGTTTCTAAAGAAGCACGAATTGAAATTGATTATTCATCAAGTTTACCATTACAAATGTTATTATATTTTAATGTTTGTTTTTTTCCTTGTTGGCTTTTTTCATTAACATTTGTTTTACCTGTATTAGAATTAACTTCATCTAATGATGCTAAGATTTTGATGATATTTGCATTTGTTTTTAAAGCAATTATTGAATTTGTTAGGTTATATTTGGGTTATACAGGAAATTTAGCTGAACGAATGCCTGAATTAACAGCATTTTGTTTATTAACAATTATTTTTCAAATACCATTAAGTATATTTTTACTTATTTATCCATTACTTGCAACAAGTATTAAACTTGAAATGGCACTTATTTTTGCTGTTGAAATTATATATATAGCATTTGTTGTATTAGAAGGAGCATTTGGTATTTATGCTGTACGTATTATGGTTGCAGCACAATCAAGTCGTTTTCATTATCGACAATTTGAAGAAATTCAATCATTAAATAATGGTCGACCACCATCTGGATAAACTTTTATTGAATTTGCTGTTGTTTTCTTTTTGTAGCAATGTAAAAAACAAAACAGATAAAATATTTGTTGTGGTTTGTCGGGTAATCTATCTTATTCATTTCATATTAATGTAGTTCTAGATATTAAAAAAATAAGATAAATCAATGCATAAATCTTATCAACCAACACGTCCAGCTGCTAATCGTCTTCTTCAAAAAAAATGGGATGATAAATATTATTCAGAACATCGACTTTTGGTAATTAAATTAATAATAAAAAAGACTATTGATGATCTCAGTTCGTATCAATTTCGAAAATTCATAGGTTTATCTTTACGGAAATACAATATTAATTTGAAATTTCTTGAAATATTCCCTTCGTTTTGATTACGATGTCACAATAGCTGATAACATTCTATGGGAAAATCGCAGAAGTAATACATGATAAATATTATGACAAAAAGTATTTATATGATGGATGAAAATTGACATGAAATTCTACGATTATCATTGTTTACGTACTAGTTGTTAGTAAAGTCTTTCAAGTTGGTCCGAAAGCAAGTTTCGGGACCGACAGTATTTGCCATACTCTAAAAGTAATAGTTGATTAGGACTTGATTATTATGAGATCATCGTCCATATGGTCTAAGAAATGTGTAGGACGTGTTGGTAATGATAGAAATGAAATAATCGATCAACTAGGTTGAAAATATTTTGCATTTGACGTGCTGTATTCATTTGCTATATTTCTATTTTTATTTAATGATCATTTTTAGGTACGTGATGCTCGGCCAACTGTTGATACACGTCCACCAAGAACATATATGCATCTTCATATGAAATTGAAAAAACTTCAGGTATATATTTTTCTTTCGTATGTATTTAATGATTTCTATATAGTTTGATATAAATTGTGAGTATGCTTACGCATTTTAGGTTATATAGAAAATTGATATTTTTGTTTTCTCAATTTGTTTGATAAAATAATATGCACTTGATTTTTTTAAATTTTTTTTGTAGTTAGAAGAAGAACGATCGGCAACAATTGAGCGTGATAATCGTATATTATTAGAAAAAATGTCGAATATTATGCGTACAACTGGTAGTATTGATAATCGTAATGATTATGAGGCAAAAAGGTAAGAAATCAATTTAAGATTTTCGTCGTCTTCTAAAAACTCGACTATTTTAGATGAGCATATAGACATGATTCTTAAAATGTCTAGTTTGAAAACTCATAAGAATGACTTCCATTGTTAAAAGGTTTCTTCAGATATCATAATAAATTTTTAGAGTTCTCCAACGAAAAACCTAATATCATATTCATAGGAAAATTATAATCGCTTTTGTAGTTACGACCCTTACATATAGCTTGAAGGCCACTTGATAAGATTCTCGATGAGTTGGTACATTGTAAAAAAAAAATTCGATATTCATGCCAGAGAGTTCTTCAGGTAAATATACATAAAAACATATTCGCGCATTTTTCTCGATATAGACTTTTGCATAGATTGTTGAATTTCTAACAAAACTCTTTCGATAGTATTTATTCTAGTGAAGTATGGTTTTTTTATTCGATAGATAAGATATTTGGAGTTTTAAGATATTGAGATTTCTAAAAAGTAAATACAATAAAAATAAAAATACTGCTTTCCTGATGAGAAGCGTTAAGAAATTCTCTTTGAAATCAGAGTAGCCCGAACGTTTTAGACAAAAATGCTTTGAAAGGAAAATATTTGTACGCACGAAAGTATAATTTTGTACTATTGGCATCTAAAAATCTCGAGGATGGTAAGGTCTAGATCTGTGAAAAAATTTTTAATAGTGTGTTTTCATTAGTCGAATATCTTCAGAAAGTTTCATGAAAACTATATGTACTATATCAAAAATCGATTATGAAAGGGGAGGGAGACTTTATAAGTATATATTTCATTATTTGCTTTTTCCTTTCTTTTTAGTCTTAATCATGAAAAACGTCGTCGTGAACTACTACGTGTATCAAGAGAAAATTCGACAATGATTAAAAGAATCATTGATCGTAAACCAGACATAAACCGAGACAGTTGGAGCAGTAGTTGGTCAAAAAATTTATCTTATTTAGATAATATATCGAAATATGATTCTGATTGGCATGAATCAAAAGTAAAAAATAATTCGTTATTATTTTCCCATTTGTCTGTTTTTTTTTTTTTTTTTTGTATTTTACTAATTAGCCGAGTAGTCGTCAAGTTCATAGTCGAGAGCAATCATCAAAACGTTCGACAGATGGTCCACGTGACAGTCAAAAAGGCATAAAGGCTCTTGTTATGCCAAATGAAACAGATGCAACAAAAGTAGAAAATAATGATGCATAACAATAATTTTTCCATCATTTTACATCGTGTTGGTTAAAGATTTCAATTAAAAAATCTTATCATTTTGGCCTTTACTGTGTCTTCTGCGCCTTGAAATGAACAATATTAGTTTTTTGTGAAAAAAAAAATAATCATACCCTTTTATTTATGAAAAAAGTCATTTATTTTATATTGTTCCCTCAAATCTCATTCATTATTATTATTATTATTATTATGATTATTATTATTATTCTTTTTCTTTTTTGTAAATTCCTTAAATTTTCCTTACTAGGTTCAACATATTCTGTAATAAAATATCGATTTTGTGATTAAAAATTATAAACTAAAAGCCTTTATTCGGGGTATTCAAATATGCAATGTTTATTTTGTGGAAAATCCATGTAATGAAAAATAATCCATATTGATATAAGATTCATAAGCAATTTGATAAAGTCAAAAGAGTGTAGATAAGAAAGTGAAAATACAGATCGAACAGGTAACATAATAATAGTGCATGATTATTTATGTCTTTAACCTATTGGATTCATTAACGGATACAAGTGCTTGATGAGATAAAGTATGTCAACTGTTACTTATGAATTTTGTACATCGTTTTGATTATAAACACATATTAAACGAATATGACAGTATCAACCAAAAAATGCTGACACGCATTCGAAAGATCTTTTAAACAACTAGAATACATCAGAATTTCACTCGATTGTGAGAGGCGGTTCAAAGTTACGCATGTCGGTCATCGAAAAAAATCAATATTTCATAAAAAAAAGTAAATAATCGCTTCTACGACTAATTATACAACGGTTTACCGCTCGCGATATTTACAGATCACGCAGCTAATTCCTTTCCTGTCGCTCTGATCGGAAATTCGAATTATTTACGTTTCCACTAATCAAGTGATCGAAATATAAAAGGAATGGTATAGCAGACATGGAAAAATTCATTTCTAAAAGAATTCTATAAACATGTATTTAGAGGATGCTGTGGATTTATCGCTTAACTATCTATATGATTCATTATTTATTATGAGCTGTTCATATAACTTTGACGAATAATATGGGCGGCTGGAATTTCGTCAATATACCATCGAACTTTCGCCATTAGTGAATGCTCTATTGGCGAGAATCTTATTGACGAAATTGCAGAACCTCGTCACAGTGCAGTCAATGCTAATTTGGTCACCCAGTTTTGTAAGTTAGACAAATTAATATCAAAAGATGTGTCT